AGAGAAGTCGAGACATCAACTCCCAAATTATTTAAGCAAAGCACTGAGACTGTTGCACGGCACTGACACCCCAAAGGTCGATCGTATTATTTTTATTGTCTAAAACGATGCAAGTTGTAGTCATAAAACGCAAAAAATACCGCATCGCAAAAATTATTTCCCTACGCGCGCATGCCTTTTTATTATGGAGTTTTAGAATAACGTGCGCAATATTAGCGCACGCTAGCGCTAAATTTAGGGCTTGTATTAGCGCATGCGACGCAAGAGAGCCCAAGCATCTCGCGCTTGCGACGCCACCAAGATACAGGAACAATTTTTATTTCACACAGGAAATGCTGTAACTTCAGAAAATAAAGCCAGTTTTTTGGTCCAGAGTAGCATTTTAGATTTGTTTAAACATGAGAATGCGACGCCTGCGGTTGACCGGTCGTGTCCACTTAAGTCGCCTCGGCAAGAGAGGTCTCGTGTACTGACCTTCGCACGGCGTACCTTCGCCGAGAAATGTTCGCGCATCGCAAGCATTAAGTTGCCGGGGATCGTTGCCGAACCGAGTACAATGTCGTCCCATACTGAAAATCGCAGTCGCGAGGATGCCGCTGACGTCGCACTCACGACGCCGCCAAAGCGGCCGCCGACATAATCCTGGAAGCCGCCATTTTTTTTCAACTCTGCTCGTCTTGGCTTTAGCCAAGTTATCATCATGAATCCTCTTTTGAGAAGCGCAAACAAGGAGGATAGAAGGGTAGGAGAGGGCATGACGTCCGCCGCGTAGCCTTCACAAGCCATGCTCCCTCGACGCCTCGCCTCTTTCTCATTTTCCTCCTTACTCTCCTCACTTACCATGCCAACGTGACCACATCACGTGACCGTAGCTAGCCTTCGTCTAGCTATGGGGTACTAGAATACACCACAGTCTACCCTTCGATCTGATAAAACCTACCGGACAGAGCGCGCGCAAGCCTGCAAGGAGTCCTTCTACAATCAGCCATCCATCTCACGCGCACCAATCGCCAGACAGATCTGCGGTCACGCTGGGCACAAAATCGTTTAAACTTTTTATGACTAGGCTTCACCAATATTGCAACGTGCCCCCTCCTAGTACTTCTAACCTCCTTGAGCGCAAAGACTTTTTGCGTACGCACGCTATTTCAGAGAAATAGCGCACGCTAAAATTGCGCACGCAAAGCGCAAAACCTGATTTGAGTTTGGAGCATGCGCAGTGGCGACGACGCTATTCTTTGCGTACGGAAAGCTTTAGCGTGCACTATTCTAAAACTCCTTTTTTGGCGCTTTTCTCTCCGCTCCTCACCTCCTCGCTTCTTTTGATTCGTGACGTCAAAAATCATGAAATTTAGACACTTTTTAGGCGATCTTTCTATAACATTTAATAATGGCAATCGTAAAACATATTTTTTATGTACCAATACCAAAAATCGGAGTCCGGTGTGATGTGATGTCGCCTCCTAGATTTGCTTGTGTTCATGATACTGCTCAGACGTGGCATAAACCGTGCGTCATCTGGAGTTTAATTTAATTATTTTTTTCATTTCATGTTTGTATTTATATTTGTGAACACCAACAAAAAAATGAAAGCTGTTTACAACTCCCTGTAACGCCGAATTAGAGCGCAGCTTTTGGTGAGGACAAGGGAAAGGTATGGAGTAGGGGCTATGCCCCTCCTCCTTTCCTGCTCGTCCCCCATTTAGGGAAAAATTTTCCGCTAAATTTAACGGGGAATTTTTTCCGCTAAATTTAGCATTGAATTTTTTCCGCTAAATCTAGCGGGGAAATTTTTCTGCTAAATTTGGCAAAGAAAATTTTCCACTAAATTTAGCGGGGAAATTTTTCTGCTAAATCTAATGGGGAATTTTTCCGCTAAATCTAGCTGGAAACTTTTTCCGCCAAATTTAGCGGGCAATTTTTTCCGGCAAATTTAACGGGGAAAATTTTCCACTAAATTTAGCGGGGAAATTTTTCTGCCAAATTTAGCAGGGAAAACTTTCCGCTAAATTTAGCGGGGAAATTTACCCATCATGCACCGTGCAGTTACGCCGATGGCTACGCCGCTCAAGTTGTAAACAGGCGCCCAAGAGCTGCGCTCTGAAATGAAAAATACGGCGACGAGGTAAACTGAATGCAACGATGCTTTAAACTATATACCGCAGACAATGCTACGAGCCATCAAAACGAATGCACTGCTTTACCCTGCCACGCGACATCGTGCTTCCCCATGCAGTTGTACCCAACGGGAAGGGCACGTGACACACTTTTAGCGATGAGAAGGGCTTCGGTGCAACACAAAGTGAGACGGAATATAGACAGGGTTTCCGCTTAATGTTTTGTATTATCAACTGCGTTGTTGCTGTCGTCATCTTGCTTATGTAGCCGAATAGTCACACTTTTCTTTGACCAGCGGGGGCGCACGCATTTTTATGCCTTCTCGAGTGTCCATAGAAACACGGCAACGTGCTGCGAGAATGTCGATGGGCGGCATGACTCAAAGGGATATAGCAGGGGTGGCCAAGTTGCGGCTCTTCGCGTGTTAAAGTGCGGCTCGCGGCTCCCTCCCCTAACCCTTCCCCCCCCCCCCCCAACACAAACACACACTCCCCCGCTTCCCTCCCGGTCACACAAGCACTTCCTCCAAAAGATAAATGAAACGCGTTTTAAATTGAAAGATAGGTTGCGGTTTGGTAGTCTTCTACTATTGCTACCTTACGCACAGTTGGACTGCTTTTGAGTCGGATATATTGGAAGTAGTTCAAGGTTCATTTATTGCTCAAGTCAAAAGCTTGCCCCCCCCCCCCGCGGCTCTTGGAAGTTTCGTGGTTTTGTTTGCGGCTCTTAGCCCGGGTCAGCCTGGCCACCCCTGGGATATAGCAACAGTCAGGGTTACACAGGCTAACGTCAATAGGATAACGAACGCCTTCCAAGAGGCGGGGCTTATTGGCGATGGACTTCGACATTGCAAGCGCCCTGCCCCCCTTTGCTACGGAGCAGGGGCTCTATGAGATCAACGAAATAGCCTTGCAGACGACACTCCCACAAGAAAGGGCTCTGTGCGCACGCGCTAATCTCTCCCTATGGCCTTACGCCTCCGCGACACGGCGCTGGCCGTCCCGGCTGTTGATGCTCGCTTGATATTAAGAAAGTGGGCCCCTATACAAGGGGAGGACGACGCGGTCTTCTCAACATCGCAAGTACCGTTCTCCACCTTTATACTGGAACGCCTGTTCAAAGGCAACGAAATCAGCATCCGCTCTTTCCTTCTCCCTCACGCTACTTTGCCACGTGTCTCCATGAGGCGGCGCCACCAGCCCGGGGTGGCCGGCTCGGTGTGGCGTGGCTTGACGGCTTGACTAGCTTCATGACGGGCCAAGGAAAACAAGGCCTGCGTGATGCTGTCTTCTTGACAGCATCACTTATTGAGGGTTGAGGCCATCCTCGACAATGAGGCTATCCTTAACAAGAGAAGACTGCTGGCAAGACAGTTGCATGAAACAGCTGAGAACGCCATTCCTGTTCTTGTAGACTGTTGGGTGTTGAAGTGTGAACTCAACACCGAGCGCCACGCAGCTCCTGCAGCTTGTCTGCACAAAGGTTTTCAGACCTCTCCTTACAAACTTGTCTGTGATAGACAAGAATGACCTGGCCAAAGCATTCTCGTCAAAACCTCTGTCACGAAAGGTCCTCAAGCTGCCAATAGACTCAGAGCCTGCGTTTGCATTTTTTCTGAAAGTAAAGTTATGGCATGAACAGACAGTTCTTCCGACCTCTCAATGATTGCAGAATGTATCAAACTGAGTAATTTGTTAGCCGAAAATGGATGAAAAGGCATCAAAATCCTCTTATAGGCTGGTTGTTGAACACTATACAATAAAAAATACCGCAAAAGACGAGGACAGGAGGAACACTTGTCTTGTTTTCCTCTTCTCGTCCTATGCACTTTTCTTTTTTTATTCTCCAGCGAGTATCTGAGAAGGGCACTTTATGCAAACCTCGACCAGCAGCCGACATTTCGCCAAGAGACCAAGATCAGCTGCCGTTTCAAGGCTTATTTGGCATTTTATTCTCACGTGGATATAGTGTGCACACGAGTGATTTCTACCAAGACATGTTTCTGTTCCATGTCTGAAGGGCAGAGACAAGATAAATTGCTTCGAATCGGGTCTGGGATACTCCCATTACAGTTGAGCATTTGATAGTGTTATTGCACTTTTGCACGAATAAGGCAAATTTTAAACACATCGTGAATTTTTTTTTGAACCTGGCAGTGTAGCGTTACGCGCTATGGTCGTGCCATTGTCTGCTCCATCCAGGGCTGGTGGCGCCTCATAGCAGCACGCCTTGAAACTAGCCCCGATGTCGCCAAAGGTTGGCGTGCCACGCAGTTGAGCAGGCATTCCAGTATAAAGGAGACTATGGTAAGACACGGTTTGTTCCCTAACTTCGGGTGTGAATATTGGTACGATTTTATCTCCTAAAAGTAAGACGTCCAAGGATAATAAAACCAGCAAAAAAAATCGTCAATTTCGAAAAATAATTTGATTTTTTCCAACCCCATGTCCCTTTAAGTCACCGATTGAGTGGTTTATGTCTTACAAAAGTGCCCATTTGAGGAAGAGATGACTCGCATGCCAACTTGAGTCATGTGTTCTGATGCATGTGGAGAAGCAGTGTTTGAAAAATTATGCTGAAATAGTGTTGCAAGGCTTGGAGCAGCAGCAATGTAGAGGAACATCTGTCTCCGATATCCATGTAGAGAAATAATAATGATAATAATGTCATATCTTCATTCCAAGAGAGCAACTAAACTGAGCTTATCGCACATTCAGATCCACTCTACATTGTTGGTAGAGCTATGTTGCTATGGGATATCTCATATCCCGGCTTCTTGTGGTCCTGAAAAATAAATTGACCCACATTTCTCTTGGATCCGTCGAGTTGTATAGTATCCAGTTGGTGTGCAGGCCACAAAGCAGCAATTATGGAAAAGCAAGTAGTATCCGATTTCTTTATTAGAAATGCTTCAATGCCAATGATTCTTAATTATTATGATTATAGCGTAGAATTAAGGGGAAACACTGCTCAACTTTGGAAAAATGAGGGGTTTGCTGTTCTGTCCACGAGATATGTGCCACTAAGAACTGCACTATTTGTTTTGCAAGACAGGACTCCTGAAGAGTGTTCTCAACATGCGTGGAATTGAAACCTGATGCTGAATGACGCAGTAACAATGCGGCGACGCAGCTTGCTTTTTGCGAGCGGAGATTCCAGCATGGAGAAGAAAGGCTCGAATCCCTTTAAATCCAGAAATGTAGGGTAGAAGACAAAAATAAATTCCCAAGTAAACATGGCACCTTTAAAAATACTTTTCGCTCATATCCCTGGCACCTGAAAAGTTTGCACGGTAATTTGGGAATTAGGGAACCAAGTAAAAATAAAGTAAGATGAAGTAGGCATCCAATGCATAGGATGCGTACAGACAGTAAAGCGCTAACAAAAGTTACGGCAAGCTCGTAATGCTCTGTGGAGAATTGGAGATACTGATACGACAGAAGTACTGAAAACTAGAATGATTTTTTTTTTGTCAAACCGCCTCCCTCTTACATAAATTGTACTGCATAGAAAACATACGAATATAAGAAGTTGTTTGGAAGTCTAAACTTGGGTAAGGGTGGTAATTTAAAGTATCGACAAAAATGCCAAAGTGGCTAGGTTGGGTCACGACTGTCTTGTAAGCTAAAACATTTCTTTCAAAGCTCGAACGTTTATTTCAAAGCTCAAAGATACTGACAGAAAATCGACTTCTTCACTGTAAATTTTTTTTTTTTTTTCTTTTTACAAAAATTTTACTGGATGATAGACATGCCAGTATAAAATTGGAGACACAAAGTTGAGCAGAGTTCCCGCCCCATGCAAGCAGACGCAAGCCGCCTTAGATGGTGGGGCAGGAGTTGAGGTGGACGTCCCCGTGCACGCGGCTGTCGGCCAGGTTCTGCAGCTTGGAGTTGATCTGCAGGTAGCGCACGCAGCCCACAAACTGGTCGGAGCTCTCGACCGCCCGCGTCTGGCCCGGGTCGGGAACGCCCCCGACGTAGAGCGGGTTGGCCGTGTCCGTGGCGGTGACGCCCCCACGCCCAATGGCCAGGTTGCTGGCGCTGCCCACCGCCAGGGACAGCACATTCTTGTTCTTCACGGCTGCAAGGACGTGGGGAGGACACCTCAGCACAACTTTCTTCGACTCTACCATATTTATCCAATTGCAGGTCAATCCATTTTTAGCTTGTTAAATTTGAGCAGCGGGTCGACTTGCAACTTGAACCTAAGCATTCCATCGGCAACAAAGACAAAATCACTGGGATATCGGGAACACTACGGTTCACTACGGGTTCGGGCGGCCAAGGCGCATGTTTGTTCTGCAGGGTGTTCTTTTCTCTTTAACTGCGCAAATGTGTATTGTTCAGAGCCACAAAATACCGAGCGTGTGCCCATGTAACAATAAGTGCCCACGCGCTACTTCTAAGACGTCAGAAAACTGAGCGAAGGACATATCGAGCATCCAACCTGGACTTCTGAGCATGCCTGGTTAACCGAGAAGCTCTTACGCATCGCCCGCTTCTCCGAGAACGCCGGTGCGATTCGACGAAGCTCGATGTGCGAGCACCAGTCCCAAGTGCTACAGCCCACCCTACCTCGTGCCCCTTTTGCACGTGCGCTCTCGAACCTTGGGTGGGCGCTCCCTCGGAATTGGATGGCAGCCTATTTCATGGCTCTCTGAACAACCTGGCAACATTCGTCGTTCATTGTCGCAGAAAAGGAGCCACCAAGGGCCCTAATCTGGAGAATTCGCAAAAAAGTCGGCAAGAAATTCGGTGGCTATGACTGGTTGGCACCGAGGCAGAATGCGGCGTTGGCCGATCACGGCCGCCGAATCTTGCGCCGACATTTTTGCCGAGCGCTTGGATTAGGGCCCTGGGAGTACAAGAGGCCTCTTGCGCTTTGAGGTGCTCTTTCACTAGGTACTCATTGAGGACATTGAGGTCGAGAAAGAATAACAGGCTTGTGTTAAACGGTTTATCCGACTGCTCGTTCGCTCGCGATTCCCCATCCCCCTCGTCTTCTTTTAGCTCCAGACTAAATGTCTCATGCAAGTGGTGTTCATTGTTAGTTTTTCAACAAGGCCCATGCAATCTTGAGCAGCTGTTGTCCGCATCATCCGCATAATTCGTTGCGAGGCTGCAAAAGGTTGCCCAGAGACCATGCCTTCGAAGAGACTCGCACGTTTCGTTCCCGTTGGCCCGCACTCGATCGTGGCAACCAACGAAAAAAGCCTATAGTCGCTGGCAAAATGAAAACAGCGGGGAGGAGTTTCGGTTGTCCCGCCTCCAGCATGAGCTTCCTAGCATTCACGACGCCTCCCGAGCCTCGAGGGAGTGTGCGCAGTCGAAGTACGACAGGAGGCAATGGGCCTGTGCTGGAGGCGGGCCATCCGAAAGAGAGGCCCCGCCCTTCTCATCCAGTCGGCAACTCTGGGCGACCGACTAACTACAAGTAACGTTAAAAACACGAGACGAGAATCTCCGTCGGTCCAAGTGCGGAGCGTCCTTGCCTTTGACGGTGTGCCACTGGCCGTCGCAGAGGTTGCCGGCGCTGACGGTGACGGCGATGATGCCGGCACCGTTGTCGACGCTGAACTTGACGTTGCCGTCGACCATCTGCAGCAGCACGAAGTCCTTCTGGTTGTTGGAGTGCACCGCAAAGAGTACCCCCGACGTCCGCCGGGGCTTGATGTCCAGCTCGACCGTCATCTCCTTGCCCACGTTGTAAGAGTCGTCTGCAACGGGGAGAAAGACTCCGTCAGCGGGCTGCTGCGAGCGCCAACTGACGAGGCACTCGGCAAGTTTCGCGACGGGTTACCATTCCTCGTTTCACCTCTGGACGTACTGCGACAAATGCTACAGGTCGTTAGCCACTCCAGCGTTCCGCACGTGCTGCGTGACTTTGTATACTACCTCGCATCGCTCCACCCAGCCGAAAGGTCGCGTGACACATCCTGAGCTATAAACTGGCTCGAGTGGCTCCTAGCATCTGTTGATATGAGTTGCAACGTCAAATGGGGTTATAACGAGACTTTACATTTCGGCACACATCAACCGCTCGCAAAGGACATATTCCATCCTCTTATACGAAAGTTGTTCACTATTATTAATTTATTTCTATCACTTTTGTAATGTGAGTCACCTCAGCCAAATAATAACCATGACCCCCGATGATGAGCGTTTTCAAACTGCAGTAACGAACCCTTTTCTTCTAAAGAACTTATCTTCTACAGTGGGTATCAACCGATAGCGCAGTAGTTGAATTTCCCCAAAACTGAGATCTAATATAATATTCCACCAACTTGAAACTAATAAGAGACCAGCACTCAGAAAACAGATTGGAACCAACAGGATACACGGAGTCGCTTTCACTGAAGCGTTTACAACACACGCGAGAGGTTCTCGAATTTCGCTTTCCTATTTTCAATTTGATGAAACATTCCTTCTCAAGTTTTATTCTGTCCGAATTACAATAAAAAATACACCCTATTTGCTGTGGTAGAGTAGTGGGGTAAGCTCTGGATATTCTATTTTCATCAACCAGCTTTTTGTACTGGGGTAGAGAACAGCACACCAGCGCCCCAGCGCTTGGACACCTCAGCACCAAAAGTATTTGTCAGCACGACAACACGTGTTACAGTTTTGAGCTTTGGTAAAATGTCCTACTACAAATATTATTCCATCAAATAAACACAATGCCTGAAAGAGGCTTTGCCGCGCGTTACCCAAACAGCGCATGAAGCGAGCCAACGTTACTAGAACCACTCAGTTGGGAAACTGAGTGGTTCTAGAGACTGCTCTGCTAAAGTGGCCCCGATCTGTCCTTCAGAACCGAGCTAATGGCGAACACAACGCCGCCATTTCTCCCGCAGCGGCCACTCGAGGAACTGCACGTGACTTCCATTTTGGCGCCGAAACAGATACAGTGGAAGAGGTTGCAGGGGTGCCACCCCCATCTCCTAAGCAGACGCGCCGCGAATTACCATTGAGGTTAAGATGCACCTAGGTCGGGACGCGCTACCTGAAATCACCGCTGAGGCATGGTTGTATAAAAGCAATATTAATTGTGCTGCAAAACCTTGCAGACTAAAAATTTTAGAAAAAAACATCACGCGTTCCTTATTTTGTACTTAACTGCAATAAAACTTACTACAAAAAGAGTTTTTTCCATTGGTTTTTACGCAAAAACATGCTTTTAAAAGCTCAAGGTGACCACAGAAAAGACAATGAAAAAGAGTGGCGCTGTTCTCGTATTTAGCTCGGTCTCGGTGGACCCAGCGGCCCAGGTTTCAATGGTGAATTTCCCAACTGAGGGTTCTAGCAATGTTTAAGCGAGCTGACGAGCCGAGGGATCCAAGATCTGCGCGATCTGTCCCCATCTGCCTTACCCGTGACGTCACAAACGATGATGATGATAGTTAGAGAAGTGCCCCTTGTAGTTCGGGCACGCCGCCAATCACCATTGAGAAATCGATGTAGAGTACCAATCAAACTCTAGATTAGGCATCTACGTTTTGGCTAAGGGGCCACATTGGGGACCTGTTGCACTCTCTAGGGTCAGAAAATAGTTAGGATTACATAAATGAGAAAATACTAAATAAGCCTAAATACAAAAATTAAAGAAATAGAGCAAAACTAAAAAAAATGTAACGTGGTTGATTACATATGTACTTTATTTTTAAATGCAATATATAGCTAAATTATGGCATTACTAAAAAATTGTTACCCAGACAACTCACCAGGCATAAATCAAAGTGCATAAATTAACGCAGGGTAGAAGACAGAATGCTAGATCTGATGATGAGAATAAGCGAGAGTTATGGCACAAATCATAGTTACACAGACATAAAACAGGGAACTATGAATATAGTGATGCTGTTGATGACAATGCACAACAAATTCTATGGCAAGAGAATCCACGTTTTGATGCAGATTTTCTCATTCTTTTTTCTATACCTTCGCTTGCGCTTGTAAAGCACGTCGCAACGCCATCTTTTTTTTTTTTTTTTTTTTGCTTTTGCTTTTTTTATGCACCCTTATTTTTGCATTTGCAGCAGTGGGCTGCAGGCCGGGCGTCACTGGAAAGACCGTAACCATCTGCGAGCCGGACGGAGCATCTCCACAGGGCCAGGGTTTTGAGATAGAGATAGAGAGCTAAATTGGCACTATACAAAGTCTTCTCACGTGAAACAAGCACATACTCAATAAAATATTCAGGGTTTTCCCTAATGTATAGACAGTTTAAAGAGTAGTACAATCGAGGATTCACATCATCTGACGTGACAAAAGGCTCCAATTCAAAACCAAGCAGTCCCGACCAAGCATGCTAACAAAATGGGAACCACGCGCAAGCACATTCCTATAAAACAGTGTCGCGCTTCTAAACATGAGCACGCAGAAAAAATAAATTACTCGTGCTTGCTTATCTTCAGTACTGTACCCCGAAATGCAACTAAAACTGTTAAAACTACGCTATGTCTGTAAAATTGGTGGAAAACCTGCGAAAGAATGCCACGGAGCCGGCAACCTGGATTGGATTGTGATGGGCAAACCCCACCGGAATCCCACATTTGCCAGACGAAATGAAAACTCTTCCAAAAACCCATTTGTTGGTAGATTTGTTCGCTTTGGCAATGTTGGGACCAGTTTTCCCTTTGGGCGCAGCAAGGCACGGGCTAGCAAGAATTTATCGAATGGTGCAACTGGACCACCGCCCTCATTCAGTCGCCCTAGTGGCGTCAACTGAAAGGTGCCTGCTGGGCGTCACTCACAGAGCACGAGGTGGCTGCCGTTGTTGCCGAAGAAGGTGCCGCTCTCCACCTTCTGGGAGCAGCCGGTCACCCCGACGCTGACCTTGGGGCGCACCAGGAGCCGGTCCTGCACCTCCAGCTTGCGCATGCAGCCCGGGAACGAGCCGGTCACTCCCTGCGGAGGACGGCTCGATTCGAGGATGGCCAGCAGAGCGTCCTTCGGCACGGCTGAATACCTTTCCTTTTCTCTCTTTGCATTTGTGAACGTTAGAGGAGGGAAGCCCCTTGAGGGGCCTATGGTAGTCTCTAGGCATGTGCAAATATTGGACTTTGATTTCAAAGTGAAGAGTGGTTATGGCAAAATATTTTTGAATTAAAGACCAAATATGGTTTCTTTGAGCCTTACACTACTTGCGCCATACTTAAACAAAATAGCGGCTGAACTCGTGAAGGTTGTTCCCGAGCTTCCACTTGTCCATTTCTAAACTAAAGTGACTTTAGTCCGACTATATTCGTGGAGCATTGCCTCGCAAAGTTCAATGTCTACATAGGATAGCAAGTGAATGATGCATTTGACATAAAAGTATGCCTATTTAAATGCCCAGCTATAGCTAATAGAGAAGAAAAGATATTTGCTATATGCAAATATATTTTGTTCGATCTCGAACTTGAGAAAAAAAAATGCAATCATGGATGATGAACACAGGTCGACAGGACATTTCTACCTAACATACTCTTGCATAGTAGCCACACTTTAATTTTGACAACTTTACTGTAGTGTAATAACTGTAATAAACATTCACAGTTTGTTTCTTTTTAAATACACCAAGCATGCACATGATCCATCCTACTTTGAAAGTGTGCTTTCCTCCCAAGCCCGCGACTCGATATGCAGACTTTTTTAAGTGTTGACCGTGGCAGGATAGCCCCATTGAGCACGCTTCTTTCTGTGCACCAGTGCACCGCGAAGAAGTAACACCCACAGAGGTCACTTTCGCAGGTGCCGCTTCTCTGCAGTGCGCCAGTGCTCAACGGGACTGACCCGCAGCGATCGTTTAGAAAAATGTTAATATTTCAGTTCATATTGAAGTGAATAGCGTATTACTTGAAACTACTATTGAAAAATTTTTAAAATTACACAAACCTAATCTTTTTTAATGGGTGCCAAGTGGACGTCGTATACTCATTGGGGGACCCTCGATTTGGTCTACTCTCAACATATCTTTAGGGTTTTTATTTTATTTTCGTGAGAGAGAAAGTGTGTGAGATCTAGCATCAGCATGTCTTCATCACCATCATAATAATTTCATTGTGTCCTGTCATTCCTCATCCTTAACCCCAGTGCGGAGTAGGCTAACCTATATGTCTTCCTGTCATCAACACCAGATAATCAGACAATCTCCCCAGGTTATTGAGGCAACGTCAAAGACTGACTAGATTTGGCTTAATTTCCAGTAAGGCTGAAATTCTTTCCCTTTCTTTTTTTTCTATTATCAGTGAGAGAGGGGAGCAGTCCTTTTTTGTGCTATGAAGTATGAGGGACCAATAATCCCCAATGAATGCCAGAGGACACTGGGCAAGAGGAGAGATTCCCTCTTTTTCATCTGCAGGCCATTCGTGGGCTTATAGGTTGCCCACTGATGAAACTTGTCAATGAATGTCTTTCAAGTAAAGGTGTGCGAATAATCTCAACTTCCAATACTTCACGAATAGTGCTTGCTACCTGATTCAATTCACACTTTTACTGTGCAAAGTATTTGAGTTCTTCGAATATTTGAAAACCACGAATAACGTGCAACTCCCTGATTAGTTCCAACACGCGGTTGCATTCCCAGTTTGTTTTTGGACTGCGCACTATCGTTTCAAGCTTGGCAAACCCAAAAAGCCAACCTAAGTGCCTTTTCTTGTATGAAGCATTGGAAAGTGGAAAGTCATTTCCACGTGGTCTTCGCTTGCCGCAATGTCTGAATTGCGGAGTTGGCAAAGTGGTCGTAGTGCAAGCATGACCGGAGCCATTGCTGCGATAGATTTGATGAAGGACTACGATTTGCAACGGCACGTGCATCGTCACGAAGGAGATCACTACACTAGCTTAGGTGCTATGGATTCAGATATGGATATAGATTTACGGCCGACATCGGCTATCAGTGATATACAGTGGTTACCGTCGTCGCAGTGATGGATCTAGCCGCTCGTGTTATATTCCGCACAATTTTCTGGTTCATCAGTTTTTCAGGAGTCCTTATGTTATATATTTCTACCTGTTTTCACTAATAAAAGTGAGAAGCTTGCTCCCTCAGCCGAAAAATAGCCGTATTTTTAGTTAATAGCTTGTTTGTGGCGCCCCCTCTCAACAGAATTATTGCAGACGGAAAGAGATTGCGCAAAGCCACCGCTTGTGTAGTTTTGTTTACGTTTACGTGAAGGCATTCGTCCACGACACAATCTTCGACTGTGTTGCGGCTTGCTGATCCGCCTCCACCTGTGTACTTTCGTCTACATTCTCTAACTCCACTCCTTGGATGGTGTTTTACTGACTGATATTTTATTTTATGTTTTTTTTATCAGTCCGGGTGAAACTGTTCTACTACAATAAAGTTGACACTTCGTAAATATGTTTCTTGAAAAAAAGTAATTCCAGTTGCGTTTTGATGAGTATTCTCGTTGAATTGACATCAAGTAGAAAAAATTGTATTCAAACATATTCATATTCAAAGCCATACATATCCGAAAATATTATATTTGATTTGATTTGTAACCTTCACTGTTCGATTCAATTCGCTTTGAAAGATTTTGATATTCGCACACCCCTACTTTCAAGCTGTCCACTGACAAGCATTCTTGTATTCCATACATGAACAATGAAGTAAACCTAAGCCTATCATTTGGTGACTAGGGCACATAATGAAACCGCCCAAGCAATGCAGAGAGCAAGTCGTCTGCTTCTTGCGCGAGAGTTGGGTTGACGTCAGATCGACGCTGATCTCTGATTGGCTTTGATTGAAGGGATAGTGGGTAGACCTCAATGCTAGATGCCTCGAGGCCTACCCACTATTTTCTCGATCAGCCAGTAATAGCTCGGAGTTCTGATATCATCGCAATCCCTGTGCAAGAAAAGAAGCACACAAACTTGTGCTCCGCATATGGACCAGCTCTTGATGAAGGAAGATAAGCTTCTTCATATATGACTTAGACAGTCAATGAGCCAAGACTAGAAAAATAGGCTGTGGAGCCAGATTCATTAGGCAGTGCTTTCATGACTGAATAAAATGGTTCGCTGATTGGCTTACACTGGGGGGGGTCATGTGTGGGAGTGGAGCAGAAAGAGTCTGTCACGTGTTCATGTAATCACCCTGACAATCCAAGGACGACCGTGGCATCATGGCCTAGGATTAACAGCAGACAATACAACTTCAGGATTCGTGGTTTCTGCAGACTTTCTTTGCACGCTGCATCTAGAGAAAAAAAAAAATCTCTCGAAATCGTGCAACAAATTTGGGCAATTCCTAGGATGTAAACGTTTTTATAACCAATTTAAAAAAGATTCTCAATTTAGAATGAAATGGCAGCTTAATATTCTTGTTACACTTTAATAATGCAACCTTTTTCAAACTAAAAAAAAAAAGATACAGATTGCAATTTTTAATTACATAAAACCAATGTAAACCTACCAATCACGTGCTTCAGAATTATACTCTTCTAAAACTGCCCACCGATATTGCATCAGGCCCTGGCAGTTAACCAAACTGCCTCAGGCAGACACACGACACCTGGCAGCACACGATTCTAAGGATGACCTAAGAATGTACTAATGCGGTGGTTCTCAAATAGAGGTAGCACCCCCTTTGCGGTTTCTGAAAGCCTTCTCGGGGTCCCCAAAGTCCTCAATCGTCATTCAAGCCGAGCAACAAAACTTTTTTAATGCGAAAGCATTAACTGGTTTCATGGAGCGAGCCGACGTCATCAGCCGCGCCAAATGGCAGATAAATCCCCAAAGCCGCAATCTGAGGCATCCCAGCTTTGAAACCACGCAAAAAGCCACGCAAAACGGCAATGATATGAAGCCGATGTGCGTCAGTTTCAATTAGCGCCGCCCCATGGCGCTGCTGGCCCGTGCCGGAGCAGAAACGGCCGAGGCGCCGAGAGGATCACATACGGCCTTGGTGCCGAGGGGATCAGAAGTGGCCGCGGCGCAAAGAACGACATTCCTGCTTTTGCATTCACAACTCATAAGAAGTGCTTAGTTGTTTTTTTATTGATGCAGGTCATCTTACAAAGCTAAATAGGCCAAATTATCTGTGCCGAGTGAATATGGTTGATTATCCTTCATTTTGAAGCTTTGAAGTTACCATAATTTGCGTGCATTTAGTTTTTTTGTTTACTCTTTTGTCATTGTAATCGTCCAATAACCTCGCTCTCCCCCGGTGAACAGGGTCCCCCGTCACTACTGCGGAACCAAAAGGGGTTTTCAAAACATTGGTGGTTAAGAACCCCTGTCCTAATGCCTCATTTATGTCCCACAGGCAGTTGAAAGACATCTATGGGACCTGGGAGATGCGTGCACGGCCACTCACCCTGAAGTTGGCCTTGACCTGGGAGGAGAGGTTGCGAGGCAGGCCACCGAAGTAAATGGGCGCCCGGACGTTGATGGAGCTGGTGGTGCCCTGGGAGCTGCCCTGGACGGCCGTGGCATTGTCCACGTACAGCAGCCCCACCTGGCCACGCCGGCTGAACTCCAGCGAGTGCCACTCGCCCAGGTTGTAAGTCTCGGTGGTCGTCAGCAGCCCGGACCCCGTGCCGCAGTTGAACATCACGTTCAGCTGCACAGGCGTCACGCCCGTTTTCAGTCAGTGAGGGAGTCAATCTAGCATGGCTAACAAATATTGATAAATGCAGGTAAATAAATCGGTACTAGTGATTCAATATGAATGAATAAGCATAGGCCAATCGGAGTCGATCAATTTGATACCGCGCTTCAACGTTGCATTTGGCCGCATATGCACCACACTCACTTTCAGCCAGTCAGTACTGAGCCCAGAAACGCCCATATATAAGCACCCAAGGCAGCTCGAAACATGCTGCATATTGAGTTTCCTGACTTCTCTTTGAGCATTATTGCGTTCTTCGACGAGCCAAAGATTGATTTTGCGACGAAGGTGGTATACTGAGGTGGTACATTGAAGTATCCTAATACAGTCGAGCCCACTTATAACGGCCGCAGATATAACGAACGCTCGCTTAGTACGAACAAGGGTGGTGCTACCGTCAAAATATACATTGGGGCAATGGCACAGTGTCTCACATAGAACGAACTGTTGCGGCCTCACCACTCGGTTAGAGCGAACGCGAAGCTGTCGGGCCCCCGTAGTTGACCGAGCCGGCGGTGCTTGGCGCGGTTTCGCTCGACTGCGAACCCGCGGCAGACGAACTTCGCCCACAGAGCGTCCCCCGGACGCTCCTTTGCGGAGAAAATAAAGAAAAAAAAGAAAAAGCGCGCGTTGAAAAGTGAAAACGAAAAAGCGCGCGCGCGCGGTGACGAAAGAAAGTGGCGCCGCCCGCGTCGTCGGGATGCATCCACGTGATCTGCGTCGAACAATCCGGAAAGTTCGGCGCCTGCTCTACCCGCTTTACCGGCCCAAACCGGTTCTCCATTTGCTGCTGCTCCGTTGCCACCCCGGACCGCGGATATTGAGCCGTCGATTCTTTCTGTGCGATGGCACTGCGTTGACATCGTTGCCGCATTCGTGCTCTTCCCAGATCGGGGATTTGAAGGTTGCCTCAACGCGCGAGTCCAAGGGCTTGACTTGCGCCTGGTGCGATGGCGGACTGTATGCCGACCTCTTCAGGTGCTAAAAGGAAAGCAGTCGACATTGCAACGAAGATGGCCATTGTTAATGAACTTGCTCAAGGTGCAAAAAACGGCGATTTGGTCAAGAAGTACGGACTGTCGAAATCGACCATTTCGACCATTGCTAAGGACAAGGAAAAGATTCTTGGTGCTACCGTGAATGCCAACCCGACAAGAAAGCGCCTTCGGAAGGCGACCTACGCGGACGTTGAGGACGCACTGCTGAAGTGGTTCGCTGACGCCCGGTCTCGCAACGTTCCGATCAGTGGACCGCTGATGCTCTCCAAGGCTAAAGACTTCGCCTTCCTTTTGGACTTTCCCGATTTCAGCCCAGGCAATGGATGGCTCCACCGGTTTAAGGCTCGCCACGGAATAGTTTTCAAGGCGGTCGTCGGCGAGGCCGCGTCTGTGAACAACGAGGACGTCGATGCATGGCTTTTCGACAACCTCCCAACAATTGCGAGCTATGCTCCACGGGACGTTTACAATGCCGACGAGACTGCGTTGTTTTATCAGATGTTGCCATCTAAAACGCATGCCTTGAAAGGCGACAAGTGCGCGGGAGGTAAGAACAGCAAGTTGCGGATAACCGTTCTTCTCTGTGCCAATATGGACGGCAGTGACCGGCGGCTACCTTTTGTTATTGGCAAGTCACGTAAGCCGCGATGCTTTGGAAGCTACGTGCCCGTACGCTACAGGAACAATACGAAAGCCTGGATGAGCCGCGACTTATTCGCCGAGTGGCTTGTCGAGTTTGACCGCGACATGGCACGAAAAAACAGGAAGGTCCTGCTCGTGCTAGATAACTGTGCGGCGCACCATGTGCAGCTTTCCTTGAGTGCGGTGACAGTACTCTTCTTGCCTCCCAATGCAACCTGCAAAATTCAGCCCCTGGATATGGGCATTATTCATGCGTTCAAGGTGTGCTACCGGCGGCGCGTCATCCAACGCTTGTTGATCGCAATTGATCGGCCAGATGCCGCCATGCCGGTTCGCATCAGCTTGCTTGCCGCCGTGGAGATGTTGAAGGCGGCGTGGATGGAACTCACCGCGGAGTGCATAGCAAATTGCTTCCGCAAGGCGGGTTTTATGGGCCCAGGCACCGAGGACGCCATAGATCACCCACAGGAAGGCCGGTCGCACGAGGACTTGTGGCAACGCGTCGTTGACACGCAGCTGGCCGGACCTGACGTTGCCTGGGACGATTTCGTTTCTGCTGATGACGACGCCGACATCGCGGAGCCGTGCACTGACGAAGCTATTGTGCGTGAAGTGCGAGCCCTTCCCGACTGCCCAGAGACCGACGAGGACGATGACGAGGATGCTGCTCTACCGCCGGTTGCTGTGAACGCTTCAACCGCGATCGGTTACATCGCGTCGCTTAAGGAACTCGTGTGCAGCAGAGGTCTTGGTGATGAACATATTACCGCGCTGGAAAAATTAGAAACGGCAGTGATGCGATCAGCTTTGAAGAAGCAGACTTGCATCATGGACTTTTTTCAAAAATAAAGTTAACTTTCTTCTCGCTTGCTCTTTTTGCCTGTATTATAGGTGGTCCACTTACTACGAACTTTGGATACAACGAACAAATGCCGCGTGGCGATCAAGTTCGTTATAAGTGGGCTCGACTGTAACCAAGAACACCCTTCCTTGAGAAATCTTGGTATATAGTCATTTGTGCCCCTCTAGAATGCTTCAAAACGAGTACTCCGGCAGACTTGGTGCAGACAGAGAAAAGCGCAGACTCACCCTGCCCTGCTTCATGAAGATGGAGATAAAGTCGACCTGGTTGGTGTTGCCCACATAAAAGAGTATGCCGTCCTCGTGGCGGGTACGGAACTCGAGAGACACGGTGGACTGCTCCAGCAGCGAGTTGGCAAAGTCCGTGGGCATGCGGAACTCCTGCCGACTCTCCGGGCTGTTGCCGAAGCGCAGGCCGCTGTTGGGGCCCACGTCTATGTCCCGAGCTGGCTCCAGGGGTAGCGCACAGCCCGGCAGGGGAGTGCTGTCCGAAGAGCCTGGGGGTGGGAGGACTCGGGTTACTCCCTCATAGAGTAATCATGTTAGTCTGTCTTCGGCAGGGGCTCGGGTTACTCCCCTTGCAGAATAATTACGTTATTCTGCCTTCAGGAAGGGCTCGGGTTAATTCCCTCATAGATTAATTATCTTAATCTGCCTTTAAGAGGGGCTCAGGTTACTTCCCTTGGGGAGTATTCATGTTAGTCTGCCTTTAGTGGGGGATCAGGTTACTACCCTTGTAGCATAATCATGTTAGTTTGCCTTAGCAGGGGCTCATGTTACTCCCCTCAAAGTAATCATGTTAGTCTGCCTTCAGTTGGGGCTGAGTTTACTCTCTTTGCAGAGTATTCATGTCAGCCTGCCTTCAGCAGGGGCTCTGCTTAGTCCCCTCGCAGAGTGATCGTGTTGGTCTGCTTTCAGCAGGGGCTCAAGTTACTCCTGTAGTGGGGTAATTATGTTAGTTTGCCCTCAGCAGGGGCTTTGGTAAATCCCCTCATGGAGTAATCATGTTAGTCGGCCTTCCATAAGGGCTTGGGTTGCTGTTCTCGCAAAGTAATTATACTTCTTGGGTCACTCTCCTTGCACAGTAATTACGTTAGTCTGCCTGAACAGGGGCTTGAACTGATTCCCTCATGGAGTAATTATGTTAGTCAGCCTTCAGCAGGAGCCAGGATTATACCCCTTGCAGAATAATGTTAGTCTGCCATCAGAGAGGACTCGCGTTACTCCCTCGCAAAATAATCCTTGAAATCTGCTTTAGCAGGGTCTCAGTTTACTCCCCTCAGAAAGTAATCATGTTAGCCTGCCATCAGCAGGGGCTCAGGTTACTACCCTTATGGAATAATTATGTCTGCCTTCTGCAGGCAGACATAATTATTCCAGAGTAATTATGTTAGTCTGCCTTTAGCAGGGGCTCGGGTTACTCTCCTCATGGACTAATTATGCTAGTCTGCCTTCAATTATACTCCTATCATTCCTAAGCTGAGACTGCGGACCAATCAACCACTTCCCTTTTGTCACCTGACCCAGCTCTCCTTACGAGGAAGAGGCGAGCGTGATCACGTGGCGAAGGATAGACACATGACTGGTCCAACGCGCTCATAGCTTCCACTGCAGTGTCAGCTTAGGGGTGGACGGAGTATAGGGGCCTGGTTACTCCGCTCGTGGAGTAATTATGTTAACCATGTTGAATTAACCTGAGACTGGGGTAGAGAAGCAACATCAAAACATAGAAGGGACAGAAAATAGACAGGACGACGTCTTGAATGAACCTGAGACGTCCCAGTCTCGGGTTAATTCAACATGGTTAATATTCACCAGCTCGCCTGCACCCTTACGATTTTTTCTATAATTATGTTAGCCTGCCATCAGCAGGGGCTCGGTTATGCACTGGGATTCCAAAAAAAACACATTTGAAGTACCAAAGTAGTTACGATTGATATTGACTAAGAAAATTAAATGTGTAAATCAACACTCATCTTGCCACTATTAACTTGTAACAATGAAAAAAAACAGAACTTCAGACAGGTGGAGAAAAGGATGTTCAAATTTCGCTGGGCTATCTACGAGGTGGTATCCGAAATTTTCGGCACTGATGCTGCCATCTGAATAACAGCTATAGGAGCGCACTCCAATGGTAGATGGAAGCACTAGCAAAGGTTGCGAGTCAATGGGAAACATTTCACGCACATGGGTGCACACGCATTTTTGCAACATCATGTATGTGGCATGTTGTGATTTTCGTGATAGATCAGGAAAAGTGACAGTGGGGCATCAGGAGGGGGCTGCGTGGGGGGCAGCAGCCCTTCCGGGATTCCGGTGTATCGGCGGCAAGTCGTTACGATGACACCCTCTTATGGCCGGTACTCATGACAGAACGACCAGGACCATCAGATGTGAACAAGCTCAATGATGTGTGTAACAAACACGACAGAAGCTCTAGGTCATCGCATTTGTATAATTGACACCGCCAAGGTTGACAGTCTTATGATACTCTTACTTTCATCGACAAAAGCAAAATTATTACTACCAGAGGACTCTTATACTACTAAACACATAAGGGTCCGCATTTGACGAATCGTGGCATACCACAGCAAAGGTTTTGCTCCGTGGTGTAATCCAGAGTTGCTACCGCCTAAAGAATTAAAAGAGATCATTCCCCCTTCCCATTCTTGCCCTTAAAAAAAATAGGTTTGCCCCCTCTTACAAAAGTTCTGCGTACACCCATGCTTGGAACACAGTTTGATAACCCATGCTCCAGAACATAGATTATTTCGCGGGTTCTCCAACCGGGTTGCTAGGAGCACGGGTATTCCCTGAAGTACCCTCGTGGGTCCCCGAGCCTCTATGTTTTCTCAACCGTCCCCTGAGCAAAGTGTTTTCCCAGTTTGAGTGCTATTTGAGAAGATCCAAATCCCTCATCAACGCACGTGTACGAGCTAGACAATCCCTAGTGCGCACATTATTGTCGCTAGCTTCGTACCTGAGTGCCGGTTCATAATGATGCCTTACCAACTCGCCCAATCTGTAGTATTAATAGCTCCGTAGGCTCTCGAACTGCTTTAGTACGTCAGTGCCTAAACAGGGAGGGGATCCTCGGCTATCCTACAGGCCCTAGAAGTTCTGACTCCTTCCTTACCCGTGGAGATGTGTGGGGTCTCCTCGGTGGACAAGTCCTCGTCGTAGCTGGCGGGGCAGGAGGCCAGAACGGCGTTGCTGTGCTCGGTGGCCGCCGCAAAGTTCTGCAGGGTGCCCCGCACCGTGGCGTCCCCCAGGCAGCCCACAAAGGCCGGCGGCAGGGGCTCGCTGGGCTGCTGCGACGCAGGCAGGCCCCCGAAGTACAGGGCGCTCGAGGTGAGCACGTACACCCGCTCCTGCGTGCTGCGCTGCACCTGCAAAGGGGAGACGGAAGAGCAGATGACGAAGGGGAGTGGAGAGCGGCACATCACGACCGTCAACGTCGGTAGGCACGCGAAAATAATTCGCAGCTTTTCACTACAGCGTGCAAAGAAGTCGCAGCTATAGCTCTTATTGCAGGTAGTAACAGCCACCTTTATGTGTATCCACTCTTTACCTATTTTCATTAGCCACAACCAGGGTAGGAGAGCATCGCGATAGAAATTTATTGCGGTAGTATCTTGGAGATACTTTTAAGTATCCATATCTCTGGTTCGAGAAACATACGAGAAATCAATTTGTATCTCAGCAGCGAAATAGCTTAATGATGTCTCAATTGTATCACAATACATCGGCATCCGCTTAGGCATCTCGTAGCATTTGTAGTCAAAAGTGTACCGGTGTGAGGGTGTCGGGATTTATGACATAAAACTGCCATATAACATCTTCTAAGAGGGGGGAAGGGGGTCCTTTCGCTTATTGTACATAAAAGTCACTGAAATTGAAAAACAAGTCGTTTTTCCTGTAGATTCCAAGGGTTTGTCTCCATTGTCCAATCTCTTTCTCTCTTCTCACCCTTCCTGGGTAACTCAGGAGCCCTTAGGACGACAGTTTGCGACACATTTTTGTGTTTCGAGCTACTAGCAAAACCGAAAATCGTACTGTTCCAAACAGGAAACGAGGCGGAACAGGGCTCATTTTGGGCAGACCGCCTCCACAGCTTCTGCAGCTTCTAAAACCGTGATTCCTCGTCTTTAGCGAGATCAGGAAAGCCCTATGTGAGGGCGAAAGACTTTAGATACCTTGATGACCCCAGGAAAAACGTCTCAATCCTCCAGAACGTTCCTTCCAATCAAGGCGGTATTTATTAGTTTTAACACAAATTTATGTTTGTCGACGGCGGTGGACATGCTTGTTCTTTCCACTTACCACTTAGACCACTTACAACGTAACCGCTTATAGTGCAGGACCGGGTATAACGTGGCTTATTTAAACCACCGGTTTGCCTCCCATTGAACTCCATATAATTACATACCGCTTAAAATGCAGGCGCGAAGGGAAATACCGGTTATAGTGCAGTTTTCGGAACAGCCCGGCGACCGCGCCGACTGACCGACGCAGAGAGCACACTTCCCTGTGCGACACTAGATAACGGTGCGAGCCGCAACAACACGCGGCACTCGCGAGGCAAGGAGGGTGCTCGAAGAAGCGGTGAAAAACAAACAGACAGGCTTCAGTTGCCATAGCGACGGAGGGACGCACGCACATGTCGTTCACATACGTGCGTCCCTCCGCAACCACAACGACAGGCCAATCGCAGGTTGAGGAGAAGTGTTCGTGCGCGTTGCATGCCAGTCGCGGCCCAGTTACTTCTATCCGCAAACATGGCGTCGGTTGTGATCGTCGACGTAGACAACGTGGTTCGTTCCGCGTAAAAGCGCTATCCTTGACTGAATTTTCGCTGTGTGTCACTATGATAACCCAGCACGTACTAGAAGGGAAGATCCACCTACTCGTGCGGCGATGTCGTGGAGGCACTCTCAAGACGGCAGAAACGCCAGTGTCGTCGTGTTCGTTTACTTCGACTACAGCGGTGACTCCTGCATTTGTGTTTTCGAACATCGCCCGGATTTCTTATTTGGAGCATTTCATGCCTGTGCTCTAAATTTGAAGGTATTACTGGCGCATTCCGTATAAAGGATGCGAATTTTCACGCGTTTTCATCACCGGAGAATGCTATAGCAACGTCCGTCCACAGCCCGCGACGCCGTTAAAGGCTGCGCCAGGCAAAAGTCGCTCGTTTCTTTCAAAATGTGTGACACACGTGAGAGAGAAGTGTACTAGTCCGGTGAAATAAAGACTTTCTTAAAACTAAGCTTCATTTTTCATCTAATATAAAATAAATTTGTTTTACAAAGGTAAGTTGTCTCATGGCATGTATTTTGGCCTGAAAAATTGATGTTTTGGCTATAACGCGGTACCGCTTATAGTGCGGATTTTCGCGACTCCCGCGACGTACGTTATATGCGGTCTACGCTGTACCATGAGCAAATACCATCAGTGCCTTGATGATAAGCACTCTGAAGAGCTACTCATAATGAAGTATTGAGCAAAAAAAAAGGTTGGACATTGCATTATTTTTCCAATAATAAATTGACTAAACAATGGGGATTTGGCCCTAATGAAAGATGCAGCGAATTTCTTCACAATCGATGTGCAGAGCTGAAACTTTGCACTGCATCTTTTATTGTGACCAGAGCGATGTCATGACATCATGACTAGTGTGGTGCACGTGTTGCATTTGACTTGCCTGCCACTACCGGAGCTTTGTCACGATTGAAGTGACCCCAGGAGTCTTTGCCTCGAGGACATGCCTGGTGTCAGGGCGTGGCATCAGTTAAGTAGGAGTGGAGCAAGCTTGCAAACATCCCCTTCCACATTTTTGCCATGTCCAGAGCGTCGTTCTTTGAGGCAGTTGCATAGAAGCTTGTTAGCCTCTTTACACAATTGTCAGCTTGCCTTTTCCACCAAGCTCCTTCTTAGTCTTCTTTAACTTCCCCATCCCTGCGTACATTCACTTTGCCACGTAATTGACAGCATTCCTTCTGCAACATGGTTAAAAGCCTTACTATAGCCGTTGCTCAGCACAGTCACATACTGCATCTTGCACGGCTCCACTGAGCGGCTGAAGATGGCACCAGCAGCCTCCACTTCCATTGCATTGGACGAGCCTTCAAAGTTCTTCTGGCAGGCTCCCTTGTGCGACTCCATCCAAGCTTAGTATCCATCTGAATTTATGTCTCGACCAAAGATACAACCATGGCAGTAATTAATTGAGAATTCAACTACCAAGCCAGTCTCGAGCTCGATGACTGCACTAACCCCAAAGTGTGACGTGTGGCTGCACTTCTGTCATGCGCTGCCGTAACTCACACAGATGTCAAGAACATCCCCTCCAACGTCCTGTACTTCATCTTGAGCCTCCTCCCTCGGCACCTTCCTCACAACCTTCGTGGCGTCCTTCGTCGCGTCGCTTGCATCTACGCATCATGCACGCTTATTGCAGCTTGTGGTACGTCTGCAAATGCAACAGCAGCACTGCGGCGCATTAATGCCTCCAAAAGAGATGACCGCATCTCCACGTGGTGAATGATGTTGATTGGGACGAAGCTCTGGTGATACTGATGATACTGATTTTGTTTATAGGTAGTGCTGATGGTGCTTCCGAGCTCTCAAATCTGGGTCCGCTTGGCGTTTTTGATGCTTTGCAGCAGCTCCTCGCGCCCTGGTCTCCGGAGCAGCTTGCTGTCCGCGTAGACACTGAGCCGCAGCATGCCGAGCTTTTCATTCGTTTTCATCCATGTCAGAAAGAGAATGTGTGGTATGGAACGTGGTTATATACGCATTTGAGCATTTGACCGCAGCGCCCTCTCCTCTATAAACATTGAGCCAATGCATGCAAAGTTTAACGCGATTATATACGCATTTGACCGCAGCGCCCTCTCCTGTATAGATGTTGAACGGCTACATGCAACGTTTCATCCATGACATCCCCAGCTCTTGAGTTACTACCAAATCTCAGAGCCCCCTACTCGTCCCGCAGTCGTGGCCGAGTGGTTAAGGCGATGGACTACAAATCCATTGGGGTCTCCCCGCACAGGTTCGAATCCTGTCGACTGCACAAACATTTTTCTTTTTTTAGGAAGACAGATAGGATGGCAATCGATGTGAGCAAGGACGCCGGACAAAGCTAGACCCTAAGTAGCTTCGCCCCTAAAAGTTGGTTCGCTTTGTTAAGCTAATACCACTGTCCCAAACGAAGATGCAGAGGCAAGCCGTAAGTTTTTGCTTCAAAATCATTCCCACAAACGCGGTGCCTTCGCGATCTCCCCACAACAGCCACAAATGACAATGAACTTCAGATTCGCTCCAATTCCATCTTCCGCCAGCTCGATTCCGTTTTGCGAGCAGGTGGGACACAACGAGGCGCTCAGCAGACTTTGCACAGCCAAAACACGCACAAAGTAATGTTCGTCAAGGGACCGACGTTGACTGCAGTTGCCAATCGGTTCTCTCTTCTCCTCACTGTGTTCCGAAAGTAGAATCTTCAGTTCGAAGATAGTCCAGTCGTCGCCTGTCTCCGAGTCACAAAATACAGTCCAAGCTCGTTATAACAGACCTCGATTTTGACCAAGATTTTGGTCTGTTGTAAGAGGAGTATGTTGTATGCAGCTATGAAGTTGAGTCAATGGTGCATAGAGGAAAACCAACCGAACCTCACAAATCGGTATGTTATATCCAAATATCTGTTGTAACCAGCTATGTTATAATGAGCTTAGACTGTACGATGTACAGTAGAATCTCGATGATACGAATCTTGCAGGATCGCGGAAAATATTCGTATGAACAAAAAACAAGAGCTATACGTACATGAAAGCAAAGCGGGGGCTACTTGCCGTTTATTCGTCACACTCCCGGCCAAAGAAGTCAGTAATGTTCTTCTGAGTCTTCTTTTCTTCAATATCACCCAGGGGACAGTTTTGGAACGTGTACCTAAAAACGTTCCAAAACTCCTTTACCGAATCCTCGTGTTTTCTTTTAGGGTCCTCGTCCACTTTCCTCAGAACTTCCAGCTTCTCTTTGAAGGACAGCGATTTTCTCTTGCGAGACACAGTAAATCAAGTCGCAACTCACGCTGGACAGACGAGGCAGGATCAGGGATATCCTCCCGAAAATTCGTCGGTGAAAATCGCACGGAGCTCTACAGACGTGCACATGTGTGTGCAAACAAAGGATGCTTGCTTGTTGATGTTCACATCATCAACGCCGATTTCGAATGTCATCTCTGGTGTTCACTCGAGTGACTGAGAGTTGCTAAGACCAGTTATCATGCGACAATAAAAATAAAGCAGCAACCCTGGAGTAGGTAAGTGCGAGTTACTCCAGCATACCGAATTCAAATCACGTGACAACAGATAGTGCAGCAACAATGAACGTGGGTATGTTTTTGAGTTTTGGAACGCAGCCGCGGTTATTATGATTGCAACGCGTATGTAGAAAGAACGGCAAAGAAATAACGCAAAAACGGTGACTGCGGTTGTTTGAGCCGAGTGATGCCGCCCTAAAAGGTGTGTAAACGTTGTCGATCATTGTTCGTATGATCCACCGTGGCCCGATGAACCACCCAAAACGTAATACATTAGTCTTAAGGGACTTTGGCCGGGGATTTTGACAAATTCGCGTCATCCCAAAATTCGGATGAACCGTGATTGTATCCACGAGATTCTACTGCAGAAGGAATCTCCTCCACTTGTTTTGGTGATGTCAAACTGCAGCATGGCTGTGATGCTGGCGAGTCCAATTCAATCGACTTTGAAAGGTCCAAACACTTGCGGGCAATGAGACTTGTCGGTTTCGCTAATCCTAACGAAGTCAATGGGACGGCAAAAATATTCCAATATAAGCAGTAATTTGGTAAAAGCAAGAGCCCCCAAAAAAGCGACAGCTGCCTTGAAAGTGCACAAGAACACTGCGGAACATTCCGAGAAAAAAATATATAAAATCAAACAACCCTCGGTTAAGAACAACTTGCGGCAGCTTTACCGAGTAAAAAAATAATTGAGTGGAATTTGCCGATAAGTTTCCAATCGTTCGATGGTCAGGCCATCCCAAAGTTGCCCATCTTGATCGTCCGCTGCGCCGACTAGCAGCTACCGAAGCATTGCTCGCTCACTGCCCTCAGGCCACGATGGCCATCGCCGTAAAAAGCCAAACAGACATTAAGCACCTCGGCAACAGTTTGAGAACCCCGGACACTGGCATTTGCAGAGAAACGAGGCCGCCCCCGCCCTTACCACGAGCCCGTCGTCGACGTCCAGCCTGAGGCGCGTCGAGTAGAAGCTGGCCGTGACGTAGTGCCAGCGGCCGTCGTCGTAGCTGGCCTCGGTGTGCACCTCCCCGCCGGGGCGCGCCTGCAGGAAGAGGCGGCCCCCCCTGAGCCCCACCGCCAGGAAGCTCGAGTGGTCCTGGGAGGACGCGTAGAAGATGAGGCCATCCGGACGCTGGGTGCGGAACTTGAAGGTCAGCTGGCTGTCCTCGGACAGGTCCAGGAACGGCATGGCCAGGTAGCCGGGGGACGAGAAGGACACCAGCCGAGCCACCTGCGAGGTCAGCGTAATGCAACCGACGATGATACTGTAGTGCACTGGTAACACTGTACGAGTATCGTCAGCTTTATGGCGCCGACTCGTAGACAGTAGTCCCATCCTGGTGCCCGAAACATGTCCCCAACTGGTTTGTCTACCGCATCCTCATTCGTGGTACCTCGATGTCCAATTGGTGAAAACACACTTATGCCATTCTGTTGCCTGCTGCAACCCTGGTGGCGACGCAGTAGCCGAGGTAGATATGGCGAACGCAGATTCTGACAGCTCACGAAGGCATCAGCAGCCAGGAATCGGGATGTGGGACAATGGCAAGACTCGCCACATTCACTCGTCTGCTCCAATGGTACTCCTTACGACCAACTGCCGAGACTGCGAATACCGACAGCACGACGCGTCAGCTCCCAGGGCACGATTTGTTGCCATTTCGGGAGTACTTTCGATGCACGGAGGGTACAGGATGCTAAACAGTCTGATTGAGGACGCGTTTTGGGCACCATAGTTTCGTTAACACCTTGTCCTGCCGTGGTGCCCAATCGCATCTTCGAACACCCTGTTTATCGTTGTACGTCGCGCGCACGTCGGAAGTGGATGCGAAGCGGCAACCAATTACGTCCTATGAGCCGACGAGTCACGCTGTCGAATGTCGCGATCCTCGTGGTTGGTCGTAGCAGTTGCGGTAAAAAGCGGGAGTGAATGCAAGTGTCTCCATGCAGTGTTAGGCTGGAGAGCTTGACACTGCATAAAAGTTTCAGCATGTCGTCATGACGTCATGCCATGACGACACGACGTGACGTCGTCGGGTGGAAACTGAGGGACCAGAAAGAAGGATGTGCTAAACGCACCAGTCGAAGATGTGTTCCAGACACTGCACTGGCAACTCGCTCGTCAAAGGACTCGATTTGAGAATACGTATGCAGCGTGTGCGTGCATTCGTATAGAAAACTAGATTAGATTGCATATGCAAATGGGATCTAGTTTTTTTTATTGTTTTTAGTTTTTGAAAATGGAAAATCACCACCTCTGGCACAAGACAGTGCCAGAGGTGGTGATGGGCGCACTCACGATGGCGGGGCACCCCGAAGTAACTGCCAGGGCTTCCTTGGTCTTGTGCAGGTCCAGCAGCCGGGTGTCCAGTTCAAGGTCCTGAATGCAGCCCTCGAAGTTCACCCGCGTCACCTCCCTGTTACGAAGAGGGAGGTCGTCCGAGTCAGCGCTTCCACCTTGGCTCGAACTGAAGTCGCATCGGCTGCCACTGTCGTTACATCGCTGCTCGCACATAGCTTCTGCAGCACGGGTTCTCAAACTGGGTGCCTCAGTGTAGCCTCGAGGGTTCCCCAAATTCCTCAGTCCTTCCTGTCTTCAAGTAAGCTGTTCCCCAGTTTAAGCACCATTCTTCAAAGTCCGAGCCATCCATTCATGCATACCTATGTTCCAAACCCGCACTACCGTATTTACATGATTGTAGTTCGACCCATTATTACATTTTTGAGAATCAGAAGCTGCGGGGGGGAGGGGGTTGGACTTATAATCCGAACTAAAGGATTCTCTCGCTCACAAAGCCGAAACAGTAGCGATATCGGAAACACCTCAGTCTGCTACGAATTAAGCCAGCTGTACCAGTAGTAGTGCGCCATTCTGTGCACTTGTTTTACAATTACTTTTTTTTTACCTGCACGAAGAAACATTACGATGATCGCGATTCGGAAATCAGCACGAATACGCAGCCACACAGTACGAATACACACGACGCATTCTGAGCAAATCAACTTTGAGAAAAGTATCGAGAAGCTTTTATTTTCCCCTTTTTTTCTATACTCAAGCTAGTCTTTGAGGTCTTTGTAGCCGATCTTCTCCCTTGCCTTCACGTTTTCCAGCGACGCGAGTACATATATAGCAGCTGAAGTAAAGCATTGCCATGCCGCTTCGGTAGCGGAGCACCAGACTAATGAGAGAGAGTTTGTTGGTTTAATTCCCAACAAGGGACAAAGTGACTTGTACAAAAACAGCTGGCCATAATCATATATTTTCCTTCTATCCTTTCAGATATTGGGCCCACTTCCAGCAGACCCGAAGTGCGCATAAAGAAACAGCACGTAGCAGAAAGAATAATAGAAAGTGCATCGTAACGCGGGTCCTCTGGCCGTAATATTCTATGAACATTGCCATCACCAGTGTCACCATTCTTAGTCCCCTGCTTCGAGTCTCAGCAACTATGTCAAATTCCCTTGCATCGTGCACATTGTGCTTAGTGTCCTTTGGCACAACACTGCATATTATCAGCACCAGTTTTATTATTCTCATTAGCCTTTTGCACTGGGTAAATTTGCTAAATTTCCCATGCGCTTTGATTTAACACCTTGCGAATTTCCTCGGTCAAAACTTTTTGTGTCGAGTCATAATTAGCTAATTATTAAATTTCAAATCGAAGTCTCCAAGTATATGCATTCATCCACCTTAGGGTTCTTTTTTTTTTACTACTTACTCTAAAAAAAAATTTCTCAGCTGAAATGCTTATCTACTTATATTTATTAATTTTGTCCTCTTGTAATTACTCTTCTTTTTCCGGCCCTTGAGACTGCGACAGATCCCTAAACCAGTCCCTTAGCCAAAACATTTGGGGACCCCCGGACTAGATAATCGGTTCTCAAACTGGGTTCGTACGAACCTAGGAATTACCCAGAGTACCCTTAGCAGTTCCTTGGGCACTCAAATTTGCTCAACAGTCCCTACTCCAGAGTAAAGCCTTCATTCAGTTTAAGCGCAACAGTAGGCTCGTGATAATTCAAACTTGGATATTGGCCCTGTTGAGCCCGCTTCTTTTTGAGCCCCAGTGCACTGCAGAGAAGCAACATTCGCAAAAGACAGCATTGCAGGCCGTTCTTCCCCGCAGTGCACCGGTTCTTGTGTTGTTGAGCCTAGTCGACGCCACCCAAAGTTCAATTTCATTCGATAAATAAAAAAAAAGCACTGGATAGGTCCAAATATTAACTTAAATTATTAACTGGAAGCACATAAAATATTAGGCAAATTCGATGTAGATTAAAAAAGACACGAAAGTAATGCTCCAGCAGAAAATGCATGATTGCCTGGGCGAGTAAATAGAAGCCAGGTATCGCAGAAGGGTCGCGTGATACCAAGATGGCAGCACCCATGAAAAGCTGCTGTAAAGCATCTACAGGCTTCTGCGCTGTTTTTCTGCACTGTTTTACTGCATCAATGCCGAGGCTGACAGGGGTTCCTCAGCTGCCATTCGAGGTAGACAAGGGTTCTTCGAAGTTGAAAAGTTTGAGAACTCCCGCTCCAGACTTAGAAGCCAGCCCTAAAGGTGCCCCCTCCTTAAATGCTCAGGCTCACTCGTGACCGTGGAAGCTGGGGTGTCCGCCCACAAAGATGTCGTCCGTCGAGTCGAGGCCCTCCTCCTGACCCCTGGCTCTGCCGGTCACCGAGTCGTTGCCGCCAACCTGCAGGCGTCACGGCGTGAACACGGCCCTCGTGCAGGCACTGCTCTTCTTCCCGGGCAAGCTTCAGCTCAAGTCCGAGTTTGCCAAAATAAGGTTGCATCAAATGCAGAAACATGCATACCCCAGAACTGCCCTTGGAGGAAGGCAAATGCAAGTTTAACGTTTCGACAGAATGAGGTCGGTCCACTGTCGTACGGCGACACTGGTATAGGCCGTAGATCGGCGATTCTCAAACCCTGACAACCGTGACACTCGCCAACTTGCTGAACCCGTCAGAAGTGAGCCAAGGAGGCGAAGGAGACCATCCTTTCGGAAGCACCGGCACGTGCATCTAAGTATGCCCTACTCGCTGGCCTGATCAGCCCACTTTAGTTTTTGCACACGCTGGGTTTCAAGCACACTGCGAGTGTGTGCTTGAAATCGTTGGCAAACCAACCAAGGAGGTCTTTGATTCGCCTGTGCTACATAAGCAATAGAGAAAATGAAAGAAGGTTGTGGAGAGTTTGGCATGATCATGATCATCATCATCCGTGCCTTCTCAACAACAAGGATGAGAACGCTCATGCATTGTTGTTCGCACGTTTGTTTTGCAAAAGTGGCACCATACAGGACAGCATATAATAAACATAACTTGGTAAACAGGAGGTCTAGAGAACTTATTTTACACGAGTTGTTAGGGCGCCAGCCTACACAAACGCCCCAGCACTACCTCAGTGCTATTAGTCAGCACCGGGAATGGCGCTGATCTTGCTGATGGAGCACCGACTTTCTGCTATATTAATGACCGAGACAGCGCTCATGCGTGAGTGCTAAGTTCCATTCGAGTCGGCGCTGTATGACTGCTGTTCTTAATGTTGATTTAGTGTTGCACTCAATGCGCAAACTGGCCTTTAGAGGACATAGTGACAGTTGCGCACACAGGGACAAGGACAGAGAAGAGGAACACATAGACGACAGACAAGCGCACGTGTTCTACGTGTTCCTCTTCTCTGTCCTTGTCCCTGTGTGCGCAACTGTCACTATGTTCAATAACTACCAACTCGCCCAACTGTCTACTTTACTTCAGCCTTTAGAGGCATCTAAAGGAATACCTACGTCATATTTAACATATTTATGCCCCTTATTGGATGATTCAGATGTATGTGTACCAAAGATTGGTTAAATACAACTAGAGACATAGCCTCCATAAAATAGGAGTGTGAAAATTTTGTGAAATAACAACAAGAAACAGTCCCCGACCCATATTCGTCCTCTTTCATAATGCGTAACAATAAACTAGACTTATTTCTCGAAAATACAAATGGACAAAATGAAATTTGCCTGTAAACCAAAACACAATTTAAAAATAGGGGCTTTTTATGTGTATTTTTGCTTACCTTAAAGAGTAGTGTCCCCCTTAATATAATTTCTGGATTTTCGAAGTCTTAGCCTTTGTGGCAACCTAAAGCCACTACATCTTAAGTAGAGGCAGTACTTGGGCTAGAGAATGAATACCCGACAGCCGCGTTTACGAGAGGTTCCCGTAGCCGCCCTCACCGTCAGGTCGGCATCCATCTGCAGTTGTGCCGCCCTCAGCTGGTGCCACATGCCATCGTTGTAGGCAGCGTCCGATCTCAGCTCGGTCGTGCCGCTGCCCAGGTCAAACTTGTACACTACATGGCCATCGCGTAGCTCCAGTGCCATAAACTTGGGCTGCACGAAGGACAAGAATTTCACGACAAAATCTCTAACATAGTGCTACAGTTGGCAAAACAGCTGGTACTCTAACCTTGCGACAGTTATGCAACGTAAGACTGAAGCCTAGGTTGGGTGGTGGAACGCTTTCAAATGGCAAGAACAGTGCACACGGCAGACGACCACGAAAGAGAGGGGCACACATACGGTGTTGTGCGTGCTCCTCTCATGATTGACTCGTGTCCACTGTTCTCACCCTTTGGAAAGCTTGGTCATGCATGTACGCTCTGCAACACTGTAAGCGCAAACAAGCCATGGCCATTTTTTTCTGTTCTTGTCTAATTATTGAATTACTGTCATAAAAACTACCATAGCGGTGAAAAGTGCTCAGTTGGGGAGCTAACCTAAGTGGTAATTCTTTGTGCTCGCCAGTACCCCTTTGAAGTAAACTGTGAAAAAGTGCCGGAGTTGGGTTCGTGCTAACAGTGTTGCACAGTGTACCTTAGTACCCGATAACAGAGGCGCTACTGATGCAAGTTTTAATATGTCAAATGTTTACACAGCTGCAATTTTGCGACACAAGAGAATTTTCTATCTGCTAGGCATAGTGTCACAACTTGGGTTTCATTTTTATGATTACATGAGGAGACACAGATACATTATATTGCAAGCCCCAGCTGGTACTGAGCCCGTAAATGACAGCATCACGAATAACATCATGATTGAGAGGTGCAAAACCAGAAAATAAAGACTCGGGGCCAATGTCAGAAAAGTGTGGGACCAAGCCCAAAGAAACAGAAGAAAACAAAAAAAAAGACATGCGGTTAAAATCGCCCCCTGGTAGTCTGAGGCTTGTCCACCACTCATCGACCAGCGCAATACATCGGTGCACCTGCCGTCAAGTAGTACAGCAATTGGTACTCATGCCTAACCATGTCTGTAATGTGAAAGACATTACGGACATGGTTAGGCAATATGAAACATGGTCAGACAATGTGAAAGGTGGCCTGGACATGGGTGTAAATACATGTCAGCTGCACCGACAATCAACTGGACAACAATAAGGTGAACGAGTTGACCAAAACGCATCTCTCTGCGAATGAGCAAGCGCCAAAAAAAAGGAAGAGGCAAAGTGATCACGTGTGCAACAAATCTCCATTCCCACGGATGCCATTTTCTTGGGTGAGTAGCAAACATTATGTTGGCCGCAAGTTCTTCGTTTGTTGTAGCGAGTCCGGTAATTGTTAGTCTGCGAAAACAATGTACCCTTCAAACAATTTCGTTTCCCCTTTCTCAAGGGGCCAAGACCTCCTTTGTAAGGAACTGGCGGACTTCTGACAGCCATAGAAAAGGCGGGGCAGCCTTTGCTACAACTAGCAAACGACACCACGTTTGAGTACATTGCATCCTTTCGCGATGCCACTATACCGTCGCATAAGGAGCAGACAAACTTGCTCACCGAATCGCCGCATCTGAATCAACTCCGGCATTTTGGCACCTCTTGGTATGACAGTGCATGGACTAGGTCCACTTCGTCTCATGTAATGAACCGCAGACGAAGCTACGAGCCATTCCAGCCCAACATTGCTAGATCCAAGTTTGTCGTCAAGCTTCCTGAAATGCCTGGCACCTTTCTGCGGCACATTTGCTCGACGGTGCTTGCTAGGCTACCAGCCTAGCCCATATAGAGAGAAGTGATGGAACTGGTGAAACATTGGATTCATATTGTCTGCAGTAGAAAGTGATTATATTGTGGCTTTTAAGGTGAGTATAAACTTTGTGCTGAAGTTTTCACAAAAAGGGCATCGTTTGAAAGTGGTCCTTCTCCAATACCCGCCCATAACTGCTCATGTACAGGCAACAGAGAAGGACCGTTTTCGAATGCTGCCCTTTTGTACAGCTTGTCAAGTTACAGATCTAATGTTAATTCCATGCCCTCAATTGGAGAGCAGCGATGTGCGGGACACGTTGTCCCGCAATAAATTCATAGCATTGGATTGGCTGGAACGGCTCGTAGCATCCACCGTGGTCCATGAAAAGGTGAAACAGAGGAAAGCAGCGCATCGAGAAACAGAGGCTGATGAGGCTCACCCCGTTGTGTATGAGAAAGAGCAGGCCCTCCTTGGCGAAGGTGCGGAACTGCATGCTGATGCTGATGCCACTGCTGAAGTCCCTGCGCTCCTTGGACAGGATGGCGTAGCCCGTCCCGTCAAAGCGCAGGCCGCTCCCTCCCGGCACCTGTGCCAGGACATCCCGTTCGGCGCAGCCCATCAGCTCCCCGCCCTTCTCCAGGAAGTTCCACAGCCCCAGGGGCAGGCCCCCAAACTCCAGCTCCTCCAGGAAGCCCACAAAGGGGACCCAGTCGCCAAGCTCCACCTGCGCACGGAATCCTCTCAGGATGGGCCAGGGCTCGTCCATGATGTCTGCCCGTTGTATGGCGCCTGGATTGAGTCTCCGACCAGTGTGTTTGGCATCCTGTCCCACCCGTGCACAAAAAGTGGTCCCAAAGTGGCTATGAATGACGTCGAACACCGCGAACTATAATTCTGCTGTCTCTATGCCCCCTTTTTTTTCTACTTTTTTTACAGCAGTAGCTGTTGGTGCTCCTTCAGGGCGAAATCCGGCGGCATGTGTACGTAAAAACGCAGTCATTGCGGGAAGGAAACGATGGCACCGCTAGGAAATCACTTTTTCCATCGCCATTGCCACTCATGTTGTCCTTGTATTGAGCGTGTTGGTTTCTAATTCACAATAAGGAAAGAGGGACATTGAAGACAAACAGACAAGACAGGTTTTTGCCTGCCTTGTCTGTTTGTCTTCAATGTCCCTCTTTCCTTATCGTAAATCTTGCCCTTGTTTCTTCTTTGGCGTTGAAACCAGTGTTGGGAAGCACTTTAAGTACATTGTACTTAAAGCACTACTTCAAGTAGATTTAGGAAACTTGTACGTTACTTGAAGTACATTCTCTGAGTATGTACTTGTATCTTACTTAAAGTACTTTTTTCTGGTACTTTCCAAGGAAAGTACATTTCTCGACTTAAGTACATTCCCCAAATTTGGTTTCGTAGAATTTGTATCACAAAATGATGCTTTGTCAACTCCGAAGAAATACTGGGAGGGATATTCCACTCTCAGCAAACGAAGCATCGCTCCGCTTGTTCTGGGGGCGGCTTTCCCGTAGCTTTTTGAACACTTGCTACTTATCGGTGGTTCAGCGCAGGTGAGGAAGTTCAAAATATTATGAGAGCAAAATTAATCATAGTCTAGCACCTGAAACTGTGGTGTAGAACAATTAAAGTTTCAAGTAGAAGAAAAATACAACAGAGGAGAACGTCACAATGTTTTGAGACATTCTTTTTTGTCTTTTCCTTCGACTTGAAAGTTCCTCAATTTTTCTGCACCCCACTCTCAGGTATCACATTATGACTAATTATCACCAGCTCGCTTGCACACTCACCGACGTCATGCTCTCTCCTGATATATATTTAACACCCTTGGGTGCAAAAGTCCAGTGCAAGCGGCGCCAAATTCAGAAGAGGGACTTCTGAATGTAGCTAAATTCTTGAAAATAACTGCTCTGTGGCCACTTGACTTTATCAAATATTCGCCGCTGTTTTTGAAAATCGTTCATGTATCCTGATTACCCCTGGGCAATGCATACCGGTTAAAAAATCACTGTATACACGTTTGCAAGTCTCAGGTCTCAGGGTGCCGCCATCTTGCCCAGTGCGGTGCGCTTGGGCGCAGCCATAAACCGATTATGACTCCTTAGCAAGGCTTTGTAATTGGATTAGGACGCGTCCAACACACCCCAGCGAGCAAGATGGCAGTGCCCTGAAGCCGGACTTGCAAACGTGTATAGGGGAACTAAAGGACATCATGAAAAATTGTATCAAAATACTTGTAATTTACTTTGAAACTACATTGTATTTATAGTACTTCACTTCAAGTACATAGCACCCAGTGTACTTACTACTTTACTTAAAGTACAGTTAGTCTCATTTACTTTGTACCTGAAGTACCTTTTAGATGTACTTTATCCAACACTGGCAAGGTCAGCTAATGGGCTATGGCTTCCTGTTTTTTGTTGGGCTATGAGTTCCTCTCAGTATGGCTGCTAGCCTGAGGCTTTTAAAGTGCGTCGGGCAGTGGTGAAACATGACCGCATGTCGGTACGATGCGCATCCAGATTAAGATCGATGGACAGGGGTGGGGAACGAACCCAGGATCCCTGACTTCTACAGCACGAGCTTTTGCTCCGCATGCTCCATGCTGTGTTGCGCTAACACACTCTGCCACTGATCTTAATAATAATGGTCTCATGGGTCCTCGAGGTTTAACTAAAAGATGGAGATGACAACGAAAACGTTCAAGCCAAGGAGTGCCGCCAGACCTGTTCGTCTGGAGGCAGCCCTCCCAGGTAGAACTTGGACGAAGACTGGTCCAGGTTGAAGACGCTCTGGGTGCCCTGGAGGTACTTGGTCTTGATGCTCTCGGGCTCACCCTCCGTGCGCACCTCCAGGTTCACCGTCTTGCCAGTCCTGCACGCCGTCCAGAAAACACTCGTTAGAACGGAGGTTCGGGCAAGTTGGTTGCTCATGTACATCACGAGAAAACATGCGTTGAACCGGCTCGAGCCCAGTGGTCGAGATGCTAACTGCTGTACCTCGGTGGGGATGGCGCGACTCATCATGTCCACAATGAGGAGCAGAAGTTGCGTTTAGGGCGGCTTCACTAAACGCCTTTTTCCTCCCGGTAAGCTGCATTCCACCGTAATGGTGAACAGCGTTCGATACTTTCGCTGTTTGTTTACACGCAGACACTTAGTTATCAGCATCGTTTTTGGAGCTGGTGGAATGTTGAAGCACAGCGAGTGGCGAAAGGACTTGGTAAGTGTGACTGGGACATATTCAGGCCAAGTAAACTTACAGTTGCTCTGCTCTTTCGTCTTTCTGAAACGCTCCAGTGCTATCTACTGCGACCATTTTGGATGCCAAAAGGTCGACGTTTTGATCGCCGGCTTGTTCGAGTCCAGATAAAGACCAGTATGTATAAAGCTGAAGAATGCTGCCTCCGTGCAGAGAGACATCTGGCGAAAGTTCATTGACACGCTGTCCAGCGAAATTTCAAGATGGAAGTGTGCCATTGTCTCCACGAGATATGTAGACCACCTGGACGTTAAGCTTATGTAAGTTACTTCAGTTACCTCGCAATCTTCAGTTAGCTCGCAATCTAAGAGGACGAAGAATTCGAGCTGCTATGACATACCCTCAGGAGAAGCAGAGGCCTGGGGAACTTCGTTAAAGCACACTCCTCACAAACTCCACTCCTGAATAAGCATGTTAGTGTCATGCAAGCAACACATCCAAAACAATCCGAGGGTCCCCCGACCAAGTATGGCAAATCACACGCTCGATACATTCTGCACTTTCCGGACTTATCAAAATTAACGACCAACACCAGTTTGATTTTGCTTCTTGAGGTGACGAAGAGTACAGCGAGTCGAGGGAAAATTATTTACATATACAGTTACTGCCTGAAGCACACAGCCTGGAACACTTACCTGTCGATGATAATCTGGTGCCATTGATTGTCGGCCACGTAGCGATCGTGTCGGATCTCCTCGGTGCCATCACCCAGGTTGATGACGAGCACGGGGTTGCCACCTTTCAGCAGTAGGGCCATGAAGTCATCCTGACAAGGGTAATCAGTGTCATAAGTCAGAGAGTGCTCAAGAACATTGATGGCCACTGACAAAAAGAGAACAACATGCCTTCAGCTGTCCCATCTCCAGCATGACCTGACTAGTTTTGATAGCACTGTGGCATCTTGTTAGCCTCCAACGTGCATGCACTGTCAAAGAACGGTGGAAGGCAGCCAAAGCATGATGGAAGGCATGGTGGAGGCCGGACATGCAAAAGAGGCACTCTGCCACTGTCGCAGTTCTTTGGCATTTCTCAAGATCAAAGAGTTTGAGAATCCCAGCTGAAAGGTTTCTCAAACTCTTCTCCCACAGACTCAGAAGAGCATGTGTGCCATGTATATAAGATCCAAATTACGAAATTTGGTGTACAGAATGCAGACTACAAAATTTTGGTTAGGGAAAGCTGGTTACGGAAAGCATCACGAAAAAATAATTGTGGAAAACAACGTGCAGAAAAGGTGTTACAAAAACAGTTTACGGAACATGATCTACGGAATGTGCATTGCAGAATACAAGCTATGAGATGTGGGTTACAGAATGTGGGTTTAAAGAGGGACGCAGCAGGGAAAAACTTTTTTTTATTATTTACGATAAATGAATGAAATTTGCATAGTTTATAGTGCTTGATCTCCTTCTTATAAATCTGGTGTAAGTTTTGATATAGCTTATTTTGTTATGTTCTGGATGCAATGCACATGCTCGACAATACCATGTTTTTGCACACACTTTATAAATATAATAATATACATTCTCACCAAACTTGTATAGTAGTTGCATTCTACATATCCTAAAGCATACGCATGGCAAATTTAGTTGTGATAGGACAATATTAAGAACAGAAATTATTGTGCAGAAACTGTGAAAAGGGCCCAAAATTACAAAAAGAGAAAAATGTGTTTGAATATTATTAAGCTATATTAAAGTTACATTTCTGTCTTCCCTAAATGCTAAGGTATCCCTCCTGAAATTTTGTAAAGAGTGCATAATTTATGTTTTGAGAAAGTTGTTTCAGCATCAGCTTCAGCGTAATTTTAGCCCACATAGATATTATAAAGTGATATTATGGCTCAAATATCAATTTTCAAAATAAGAGACTTGGCAGATAAAAGAAAAATAGCACGTAGATTTTAAAAACGGCACTTTCCCCAAAAAACTGATTTTAGAAATTTTTTTAGCTCCAAAGACCCATGTCTCCCCTTAAGGGAATCTAAAGTATGTGTTCTGAAACACAGGTCACATATTACGTATTGTGAAACACAAGCTACACGTTACGTATGTAGAACACACATTACGTGCTTTGAACACAGATTGTCCAATACAGAACACAAAATGAGAGGCCCAATCCGGGAGCTGCAGACGGGTCCCAAGGAACCGCAGCCCCGCCCCAAATCGACGGCATACCTCCCGGGCGCGCTTGGCTCGGCCGGGCGCTCCTCGTCCGTTGCCGAGGTAGGCCACGGTCCCCTCGGGCTCTCCGGTCTTGAGGTAGAGCGAGAGGCGGGTGTAGGTGGCCGCCTCCTGCAGGTTCTCCGGGTTCTTGAGGCGCAGCCACTGCTGCCCGTCAAACTCCATGCCTACCTTCACCTGCGCGCCCGTCAAGCGCCCTTTGTCACGTCCTCGAGCGCCAAACCTCTCCAAGCTGCTGCCAGTAGGGTTCGACTTCAACCTTACTGATCCCTGGAGTCGTCCATAGAATGTAACGTGTGAAGGGGTAAAAACTTTGACATTCTGTTTTTCTCGTTAACCCTTCGAGTGCCGGATTTTTTTCCCGTGCGTCGAACGCAAGTTTTTGCCTCGATAACGCTGTAGTGTGCACTGTGAAGAATATTGATTTAGAAAAGACGCACTATTTTATGGGCAGAAAGTTAAGTGATGTCTGCACGCCTCCAGTCTACGACAAATTTCTTGTACAGTGCTTTTCGACAAACAATACTATGCAATGGCACTTCGACCTCACACCCCGAGGTCACCCTTCTGAGCAGCCTTACCCGACCTTTGTTTATTCGAAAGTGAAACTTCCTTGTTTTCACAGTCATCGAATTCCGAGTTCATTAGTCATTTCTTGATATCAGTGTCTGCCATAAAGCGTGAGGTTAAAGATTCGCCATTTTGTAACAACGAAGGAGCAAATTAAAACAGAATCATCTAAAAAAAAAGAAGAAAGAATTATGTGCCATCAGAAAGTAACATCGCAAGATAAAACATTGTTTTCACCACTTGCACATACATGCTGCTATGCAGAGAAAGAAATGACAGCCCAGTTGACAGGGTAGAGAAAAAGGTGAAACTGAAACCACACGGAAACGTGCCAGAGGCGTGGCATTCAAGGGTTAAGAAGTAGTTTGTTATATAGCCCTCAAAACCGGTCACGACTTGGCTTTACTCCGGTCAATGGCTATTTTTAACGAGACTCGTTCTTGGGCTATAAACAGAGAGCCATAAAGAAGGGGAAACGGGCAAGGACTTGTCCGTCTCTTCTTCTTCGTGTCCATCTGGGTTTGCGCCTACAGGTTTTTTGAGTAAATGGGTAAGACCACAGTAGAAGCGGTCATCATAAACGCATGTGAGTGTACAAATTGCACCACATAAAATGTAGACGTGCTTTTACATTCTGCTGATCTCTTCTTGCGAGACACACAACCGAGCTAGTTCTGGGCTTAGAATTCCAGTTGCCAAGAATTGCTTAGAATTCCACCCACCAAGCTCGGAGGTAAAGGGCAACGAAAGGGGCCATACCCTGTTGGCCTCGTCCCTTGCAAGGGCCACCTTCCGGCGCAGTTCCTCGATCCGGGCGCGCACGTCGTCTGCCGTCGCTCGCATGGCCTTGTGCCTCTGCACCAGACGGTTGGCCTGCCGACCGAGGTCTTGGTCCGGAGAGAGGGCCCGGTCGACTGCGCGTGCATACGCAGCCAATCAGACGCCTTGCGTCACATGCTGCCTCACGTGTGGCAGAGTTGGAACGTAGGCGGCTGCCACGTGGAGGAATGCAGTGCAAACCACACTGGGCCTGTATCTTCATTTTATTAATCGGTACTCTTCCGGAAAGTTCCGAAAATTATCAACTGTCGTCGAGCGGTCTGGTTCGGAACAGTCCTGAACGTACCACGCGTACAGAAGCAGCGGTAACACACTGCTTTGGGACAATCGCCTTTTCGTCGCCGACGCAGGATGCTCGACACTTTCTGTTTTATTATCTGGGCACAAGTTCACCTCATTTAACGTTTAATTTAAAGCGCTGTACGGGTGACACTCCATAGTGATTTCGTTGGTGTCTGTCGTCGCAGCACAGATGGAAAAACCCTTTGTTTCTCCCCTCATGGCGTGAGAGGAGAAGTTGGGCATTCTGATTGACTGCGCAAAGAGGGAACGTTATGCGTCCCCCTCTCCCCTCACCGCTGAACGTCAACTTTACACCCTACCTTCACCGCACAACAACTCCGGGAAAACCTGCGCCTTCGCAGGCATCGTCAGTGCCTCATCAAGGCCCTACTACATCCCAGGAGCGAGCGTGCTGGGAGCAGCTAAGGAGCCCTTGCAGGTACTCTGGGAAATCCCTGGGCTCCCGGAGTACCCTCAGGGCTTCCCTTCCATATTTCCTCGACCTTGCCTGTCCCTAAGCAGCGTTTTCCCAGTTTTAAGCACTATTTCAGCCGCACACACTGATGCTATGTGCCAAACACTCGCTATTATATGTTCATTATTGTTTGCGGGCTCTGTAGGCTCCTGAACCACTTTATAGCATCAGCGCCAAGACCGACCGGGACAAGTCCCTCGGCTATCGGTCTTGGCAAATAGAGGTTCCTCGATACTAAAAAGATTAGAAATCCCGGCACCAAAGCATCCTTCTTTAATGCGAGCAAAACCCCAAAACTCGAGCGGCAAACACTCACTGTAGCTGGAGGCAGCCACGATGGCCTGCTTGTAACCCAGGTTGTCCGAGGACACCTCCTGGGCGTGGGTGTTGGAGCCCGGCAGACGCTCCAGGATGTCTTGCACCCGGGACGACGCCTCCTCCACACGGGTGGCCGCAGCCTGGGCCTCGGCAACACTCTTGCGCAGCGCCTGCTGCACTTCGCCTGCACGTTGCAGCCCGCACACGTTAGCATGCACACGCACGTAAGAGCAGACGGCCAGCCTTCAAAAGCCCACCGCGTGCACCATGGTGCCATGATCGACACAGTCGATTCCCAAGGTTCCACGAAATGGGCAGTTCGGTGAGCATCTTTCAGTCACCTTCAATGCCACATGTAATGATATGTAGGGGTCCAAATGCAACGGTTAAGTACCATAAAATACGGGAGAAGTGCCCACCCCTCTTCCACTGAAAAGTGGTTTAATCTAGACATGGGCGCTTGTCTGGTCAAATTGGGTGCTTAACATAAACTAGCAAATTAATATGTTGAAATTCCCTGACTTTTCCAGGTTTCCCCAGTCAATTTCAGGTGAAATTCCCTGACCATTGTAGAGGTGGATAAATGTACAAGACCGTTACAACACAAGGCATTGAGCATTGAGCATTGTGAGGATCATTCTGCACGGGCTTAATCCAACTTGCACATTCCAAAATGTTCGGGTTCATCCACTCCGGATGAAACGAGCACTTTCTTGCCGCCGACATCGTCAGTCAAGAGGCCAATTCCGGAGACACTATGAAAACACAATGCTCGGCCACACCCGTCAATAACCGAATGGCAGCATGGCCACCAGATGAACACTTTCAGATACTTTCGGTTTAATGGGGTCTGCGGCTTGCCCATTTGTTACTAAATCTGGTAGCTCTAACTGGATCTAGTCTAGTGTTGCACCCTCAATCCAAGGCTTGGACTGGATTTGTCGGCTGTTCCCTTTACGTCGGGTAGCACACTCTACATCGGGTGAGCAGAGCCCGCGCTCCGCTCTAAGCAGAATTTATTGCCCATTTCTCTGCCCCCAAGTCCTCGAGTCTTTGCTCAGGGCACTCAGTGGCATTTCCGGCTCCCTGACTGGGCTCGCTTTTTGACAATATCCCTGACAATTCCCCGATTTTTCCCGGTAATTAAAATCTCCGTGACAATTCCCGGTTTTTCCGGTCACTAGACACCCTCGTAAAATTTGCAGAATTCCCAAGTTTGGGAAATGTTGCGTTACAGCCTTGTGGACATCCCAGGACTGTCAACGAAGGGACGTACCCGTCTGCAAATTGTCCAGGTCCTTATTGACGTCGGCCAGATCCTTGGCGTTCATCTTGTTGTGGAGCTCGATGGCGGCCAGTCTATCTTGCGCTTCGGTCACCCTGCCCTTCATCTCTGCAAGTGGGACACATCGCTCAGCCCTTGCCCGGACGTGGGAGGAGCCCCGGGGGACTCACCGAGCTCGACCCGCTCTTCCAGCTGCACTGCCTCGTCCTTCAGCTGCAGGCTCCGCTCCTTCGAGTTGTCCGCATTTTCTATCACCCCGTCAGACTGTCGACGGAACAGAACAGGGCAAAGGTCAGCTAAAGCTTCGAAGCAATGCGTACAAAAGCGAGCAAAGTAAAGGACAGGCAACTCACAAAAAAAATAGTTCAGTAAGGGCGTACAAGTGCTTGGCATTCATAATACCAAATCATATTCAAGATTTGATATTCGGTTCATATCTGAATCTTGTTTGATTCACGTTGGATCTAAGGAGAGCTCTTTGTACACTTTTTAATTTGTGAGCCATGGACAAACAATTTAAGCCCAAGAATTCAGATGAATGACAAAAGATCAATACGCAGCATTGCAGCGAGGGTACAACACCCACTAAGCACACAGTGAAAACTATGTTCACTAATTTCCAGCCAACAATGAGGATTGCCATCACCACACATCGGTCGTTTGCATGAAGGAGTGAGTGCATATAGGTTCTTTGCGATTGTGCATTTGATAAAGCATCTAAATTCAGTTTTTTGCACTACAGTTAAAACACCATCTAACAAAGCTGACGGGAGCCACAAATTACTTTGTAAAATCGTAAACTTCGTTAAATGAAAAATTTGTATTCCTGTGGGCATTATTAGATAAACCAAATCCCGTAATAATGCTCACTCTGTATAAAGAAATAAATGTTGAAAAGCAAAGGGTGGGTTATCTTTGGGGTAGGACAAGAAACCCTTACAAAACAATTAGTGATAAACCCCGGGGCACTTGCTACAAACCACGTGACAAGGGAAGTGATATCGCGTACGTACACAACAAATTCGTGTTTCACGATGCGATAAACACGCAAGAATTCGCTACAAACTCCTGTGTCATGGGAAAAGATACCACAGATAGCGGATGCACCAGATTCGTGTATCACAGTGCAAGAACACGCGTACCCGCCGGGAACTCGCATGTCACGGGAACGGAAACCATAGATCACAGGCGCGGTAGATTCGCATTTCACTATTCATATTACACGCGGGAACAACTCGCGTGTCATGGGAACCGACCTTACGTGCGCAACTGAGAACCTGCTGCGAACTCGCTTGTCACACATACTAATACCGCAGATCGCGCGGTTCATGCGAATCCCGCCGAGGTGGGAGATATACGGATATTTTATTTAACTAGAAAAGCAGTATGGGCGATCTCTCGGGGGAAGGCACCCTTACGGGATTTTATGGTAGTTTTAACGTGACAGCATCCAGAGAGCTATAACGATACCGCATTCTCAAACTGCAAATGCAGCAAAAATGTGACTGATGCGCGTACAAGTTTGGTCTGTGAAGATGACCCGGATTATGGTACCACCAGTGCATGAAGGAAGCCTTAAAACTCGGCAGGCTGCGAGAGCCAGCCGGGAGTCACGTCGAAGTCCACATACGCCCCCGGAGACGCCAAAAAAGTGCCCTTTTCAATACAAGCCCAAATAATTTCCGCATTTTCTTTGACGGTGAGCACTTTTTTGGGGGGATTCATTTCGCGATGATGCAGAAGTCACTGATAGGAATGGAATAAAACGGCGCAAAAGATAAAAAAAGGAAGAGTCCGGTTCGTTTCTTCCTTTTTGTATCTTTTGCACTTTTTTATTCCATTATGTACAACAATTACCAACTATCCCAGCTATCAACCTTATCACTGATAGGACAAGCGCATGGCATCCTTGTCTCTTTTCGATGCCTAAAGGTGCGTTTCACACCGGCGATGCGATCTAGTTGCGCGATAACTTTCGCGCAAAAGCGACCATCGCGGAAAAAAAAACTACACGATTCGAGCAGTCACTAGCTGACCCGACTTTTTGCGATGCGATCTAGTTGCAGAGTGGCTGAACCAATCAGCGGTGTTCGGAGCGACAGTTTTCCAGAAGCGACTCCGGCGACTCGCTCATCGCGCACGCCAGTGTGATCATCTGATTTTCTTGCGCTGCGATCTAGTCGCATCACGCGAGTGCTTTACATCACCGGCGTAAACGTCCAGTGTGCAAGACTCGTATTCCATGATACTCTGGCTGTGCACCCGCGCCCCAAGATCACGAGACGTGCAGGCGTTAAGTAGAAAGCTCACACTGGAGGTGCGACGACTGAAAACCTCTTTGCCATTCTCGTGTTGTCGATGTCCTGTCATTCACATCTATTGCGCCAGTCGTTAGGCCTAATGGGTGGGCGAACCAACACGAAATTGCGGAACGTAACCGAACTGAAACCGAACAACTTGCGAACTCTGGCGGTGCCGTGTGTCGCTTGCAACGTTAACGCCATGCAATGCCATGGAACAGCTGGCGCCGTCTGGTATAACTGACTAAAAGCCCAGAGCGCCGAGTTTGTTTTTCCGTAAAAATGAAACTAGGGTTGTGCTATCTTATTGTTGCCTGGCAATTATTTTCGAGGCATTCTAAATTAAAATACATTTGAAATTATCCCTTTTTGCACCAATTTTTCTAGGAACGCATCGGGTTAACAATCAAACTAATTTTGTTATTTCGAGTTCATAAGAGCATGATGCCCTATGGGAATCTGTGGGGGAATTAGAATTTATTAAAAGAGTAGTTTTTTTATAACAATGAGTTTTAACTGTAGCGGTATTGAATTCATATTAGGAGGTATTGGAATTCAGACAACCCTAGGTATGTTGATAGGCAAATAGAACAGCCTTTATTACAACTGTTCATTTTTGCGTGACTTTCGAATTCATCCTTATCTGCAGAATGATTGTACTCCTTTGGAGGCGTATTTAGGGGCACAATATGTTAAAACAAAAAAAAGAATAAAAGTATTCACTTTTATGATGTAGAAGCTCACCTATGCACTCACCGTTTTTTATTCACTTTCCACTCTACGTGATAAAAGTATGTACCGTAATATCCCGAGTCGTCGCCCACCCCCCGAGTCGTCGCCCACCCCCCCGAGTCGTCGCCCACCCCCCGAGTCGTCGCCCACCCCCCCGAGTCGTCGCCCACCCCCCCCGAGTCGTCGCCCACCCCCCCCGAGTCGTCGCCCACCCCCCCGAGTCGTCGCCCACCCCCCCCGAGTCGTCGCCCACCCCCCCGAGTCGTCGCCCATCCCCCCGAGTCGTCGCCCACCCCCCCGAGTCGTCGCCCACCCCCCCCGAGTCGTCGCCCACCCCCCCGAGTCGTCGCCCACCCCCCCGAGTCGTCGCCCACCCCCCGAGTCGTCGCCCACCCCCCGAGTCGTCGCCCACCCCCCGAGTCGTCGCCCACCCCCCGAGTCGTCGCCCACCCCCCGAGTCGTCGCCCACCCCCCGAGTCGTCGCCCACCCCCCGAGTCGTCGCCCACCCCCCCGAGTCGTCGCCCACCCCCCCGAGTCGTCGCCCACCCCCCCGAGTCGTCGCCCACCCCCCCGAGTCGTCGCCCACCCCCCGAGTCGTCGCCCACCCCCCGAGTCGTCGCCCACCCCCCCGAGTCGTCGCCCACCCCCCCGAGTCGTCGCCCACCCCCCCGAGTCGTCGCCCACCCCCCGAGTCGTCGCCCACCCCCCGAGTCGTCGCCCACCCCCCCGAGTCGTCGCCCACCCCCCGAGTCGTCGCCCACCCCCCCGAGTCGTCGCCCACCCCCCCGAGTCGTCGCCCACCCCCCCGAGTCGTCGCCCACCCCCCCGAGTCGTCGCCCACCCCCCCGAGTCGTCGCCCACCCCCCCGAGTCGTCGCCCACCCCCCCGAGTCGTCGCCCACCCCCCCGAGTCGTCGCCCACCCCCCCGAGTCGTCGCCCACCCCCCCGAGTCGTCGCCCACCCCCCGAGTCGTCGCCCACCCCCCCGAGTCGTCGCCCACCCCCCGAGTCGTCGCCCACCCCCCGAGTCGTCGCCCACCCCCCCGAGTCGTCGCCCACCCCCCCGAGTCGTCGCCCACCCCCCGAGTCGTCGCCCACCCCCCGAGTCGTCGCCCACCCCCCCGAGTCGTCGCCCACCCCCCGAGTCGTCGCCCACCCCCCGAGTCGTCGCCCACCCCCCGAGTCGTCGCCCACCCCCCGAGTCGTCGCCCACCCCCCGAGTCGTCGCCCACCCCCCGAGTCGTCGCCCACCCCCCGAGTCGTCGCCCACCCCCCGAGTCGTCGCCCACCCCCCGAGTCGTCGCCCACCCCCCGAGTCGTCGCCCACCCCCCGAGTCGTCGCCCACCCCCCGAGTCGTCGCCCACCCCCCGAGTCGTCGCCCACCCCCCGAGTCGTCGCCCACCCCCCGAGTCGTCGCCCACCCCCCCGAGTCGTCGCCCACCCCCCGAGTCGTCGCCCACCCCCGAGTCGTCGCCCACCCCCCGAGTCGTCGCCCACCCCCCCGAGTCGTCGCCCACCCCCCCGAGTCGTCGCCCACCCCCCGAGTCGTCGCCCACCCCCCGAGTCGTCGCCCACCCCCCGAGTCGTCGCCCACCCCCCGAGTCGTCGCCCACCCCCCCGAGTCGTCGCCCACCCCCCCGAGTCGTCGCCCACCCCCCGAGTCATCGCCCACCCCCGAGTCATCGCCCACACCCGAGTCATCGCCCACCCCCGAGTCATCGTCCACCCCCGAGTCATCGCCCACCCCCCGAGTCATCGCCCACACCCGAGTCATCGCCCACCCCCGAGTCATCGTCCACCCCCGAGTCATCGCCCACCCCCGAGTCATCGCCCACCCCCGAGTCATCGCCCACCCCCGAGTCATCGCCTACCCCTTGTTTTAGGTGAAATATCGATTTCGTAAAAAGCACCGAGTCAACGCCCACCCAGTTTCGGGCAATCGATCTCGTAAAAGAAGCACCGAGTCATCGCCCAGACCTGAGAAACGTCAATTCCAAGCCCCACAAATGGCAAACAGAAAAAAAAAAAGAAAAGAAAGGGCGCCCTCCTGCATTTTCACGACCTCCAAAATCGGAGGATGCCTGTGCAGAAGAAACACAATAAGGATAAGAAAGCGAACCTATATTTATCTGGCAAACAAAAGCAGACACGTTTCCGATCCTTTCTCTCCTGCCCGCACCCCCCCCCCCCCTTTTCAGAAAAATAAATAAATATAAAAGGCCAGAAGGTCCGTTTGCAATATAGCGCCTGGACGCGCGGATCATAGGATGAAAAAAGATCGTAGGAGGGAGAGAAAGAGAAAACGGAATGCCGCTTTATGTTCTTTTTCTGTTCATAACTGAAAGTCCGTTTTCACCGAAAAGATAAGTCAGGCCGCGAAACCGCAACTTAAATAGGACGCGGATCGGATGACTAACTCAATACTGCGAATACAAGTGGTTCAGAACAAAAAGCCTCGTTTCGATTTGATTTTCTTTGCCCAAAATCTACTCCGGCCGACTTGGCATTCTTGGAGAACGTCGCGACCACTCCGCGCGAAGTCGGAGTACGTTTATAGAACACCGCTTCCTTTTGTTCCTAACTGAAAGTACGTGTTCGCCCAAAAGATGAAAAACGCCCATCGGTAAACCGCAAAGGGGGCAAACACGCAGGCATTCTTTGCGAATGCCGCGACCGCCGTGTGCAAAGTCGATTGGAGTTCGCGACAAAGAGAGACGAATGAGAATAAAAGGCAGCTTTGTTTCGTTTCTAAACAACTTGCATTTGCAGTACCGAGTTATTCATCCGGCCCGCACCCTATTTAAGCTTCGGTTTTGAGGTCTGATTTCCACTCTCCGTCTGTCCCCCCACACGCCAATCGGGCGCCGGCGCAGAGCGTAACCGGTGGCTGCGTTCTGAGAACAACCAATGGCTGTGCTCCGCGTCGGTGCCCACAGCTCCGGTTGTACTGCCACAAAAAGTTGTCCCGGAGCCGCGCGCGCGCACGCACAAACTCGAAGGTTATTGAGTTTGTGCGTGCGCGCGCTTTCCGCGGCAACGGTCGCGCCCGCGGAGAGAGCCTTTTTATGGTTTTCGCTTTTGTCATCTTATTTTTGCTTTTGTACTGGGTTCATTTTAGGCGTCGGTTAAAGGCTGCCGGTTTGCTTGGTTCCGAAGTCGAAAAGGAAGCGGGACCCGCTTTCCTTTCGGCTTTCGTCACCTTTGCTCGGTCACTGTGGCTTCTTGCGATTTTTCTTTTCTTTTTCTTTTTTTCAATGATTCTCTTCTTTCTTTTTTTTTCCGTTCACGTTAGACCGAAGGCTGCAGCGGTCGTGGCTTCGAATTGCGCTTGCTCCGAGGAGGCGGAAACGAGCCCCCCGCGAAGCAGTGGATTTTGCTCGACAGCAAAATGAGTCGCAAGTAAGATACCAACCCGAGATTTGAGTTCAGTTAATCTCCTGTCTAGCTTCGCTATAGACAGACCAAAAAAAATCGCATTTTTAAACTTTTTTGAAACTTTTTGAGCTCGGTACCCGAGTCATGGCCCACCCCACAATTTTTGAGAATTTCAGGCGGTGGGGGGGGGGTGGGCGTTGACTCGGGATATTACGGTATATATATTTTATAGCTTTCATAGTTGAACAGTACAGCGCACCTATACTGAACTACACAAAGTTAAGCCTCATAAAAAGTCCTACCTCTGGAACACGAAAGTAAAAGAATAAAGGTTTCAGCTGTTCTACAAGGAGTGTGCTTTGGAGAAGGAGCACATGCAAGTACATTCGAATAGAACTTACATTGTCGTGGGCTTCGTTCGACGTAGCAAGGGCTGCCTCCGAGATGTTCTGAGCCTCGTCGATGATCTTGGCAATCTCGTCGTAGGCCAGGGCCGAAGAAGACGTCTGCTGCGTGGAGTTCAGGATTCTGCAAAGCAGTACTCGTTCAGTAGGTACCCTCGTCGTCTCCCACACGAAGCCACGCATAAAAACATTCGGACGTCCACCAGAATGTTCGGTAATAACAGCAAAACACCATCGGCCAAATACAATTCAGATGTCTGCCCATGAATTGGCCAACTATAACCAGAAGAGAAATTCTCCAATATTTGTGTTGCTCGCGTTAAAGGTTCTAAGCAGGCTGCACACTTAGTGGCCTGAAGTGAATGGTGCTGTCAAAAGCTCGCGGATGAAGATGACGCAATACAGTGTCACTGGACGGGGTGAACTGAAAGCCTTGTTTTGGATGACAACCAATCAGCTCGCTAAAATCATGTTTGCCACATTTTTCCTGTTTGGATGTATAAGGTTTCCTCGGGCGCTGACGCTCTTCGATTGTAAAAAGCTTCCCGAGGAGAAGAGTAGAATAAATGCCACTTCTAACGAGGGTTAACATGTTTTTGGCTCTGTTGAACATGCACAGGGTAGTCCCAGCTAAAAAAAGTAAAACTTCACTGCCTGCTTGCTCAGCAAGCCACTGGCATGGTCAAAAACTTTTGGGGAAATAAATCCTACATGATTATAAATGAAACTTGCTGAAACCGTGCATTTGAAGTTAATAAATCCAAATATAATGTTTCTCATTTTTTATTAAAAAAATGTCTTCTGAACACATTTTTTAAGGGGTTAGGACATGCCAAAAATAAAATGAGATAACTACCGTAAATTCCGAGAGATAGCCCACCTAACATTGAGAGCGGGTGAAAATATAGGAGTGGGCCAACTTTCGGAGTACGATCGAGAAAAGTTTGAAAAAATTGCTATACAGTATACACTCCGTGCGACGCGACTGGCGCGCCGCCGCGCGGCCGGTACCGAAGGTGGGCAGTGAGAACTCCAGAGAAAACGAAACCGAAACTACGCCGCGTACGTTGGTACGCATTGAAGACGGAGTGGTGCGGTTGCGCTGGGTTCACGGCATGAAGTGCTGCCTGTGCTTCGTCATTAAGTGCTTCAATAGTTATGCGTCGTATCTCGTGGAGACAAAGTTTCACAGTTTCTCACTTCGCCGATGTTTTGTGGGGCAGCGACAACGATGGAGCCGTGCCGTACGACGCGAGAAATTTGGTGTCCCGATCATGTCTGCCACTGTGTCGGCACGGCTGACATATTCTACGCTGCCACTTTGCGCCCTGCGTTTGCTTTCATACCAGTAACGCCTACATGTGTAAGCGCCGATGGGACGAACTGAAATGCCATCCCACACTCGCGGGTATGCTGTGCCAATTTCGTTGGAGGAACGCCCTCCAAACAAGTTTCGTCCCCATCGTACGTGTCGATGATATTTCCGGACAAGTATGACACGCATTCTGTACTTCATGAAGAAAGATTCGAACGGTAAAAAAAGTGACAAATATAAATCTAAAGAAAACAACAATAAAACTCGGAATCACTGGAGAATCGGCGTTTCAGTATGGAAGTTTATGTGGTGTGCTTCCTTGCTTGATCAGCCTCCTTCTGGATGTGGAAACGCTGACACCCCGAGTTCTGTAGACAACAATTTTTTTTTCTCGGCTTTAGAGCCACCTATCGCAAAGTGGTTCGAACTGGAAGTACCGTCCACTGGTCCATTCCTACCTGTAAAGTGTGCACCTCCCACGAGTGGTATTATCTTGACAGCCTTTGACGGTAAAAGCCAGTTCCCATTTAGTTACGCCGCCCAAACCAAATTTCCACCTGGTTTCGCTATGCCAACTATTTTTGTTATAATAAGTGCTGTGCCAAGTGACGGTCATGTCAAAGTACCTGTGCGCCGAAAATCAGCACCTCGCACAACAGCTGACCGCAAAAGCCCTTGGCGGCCAAACCGTGTGTTTGCCGACAACTTTGTTTTCTCGGCTTTGGAACCACCTTTCGTAACGTTGTTTCGATTGGAAGTACAGTCCACTAGTCCCTTCCTACCTCTAAAGTCTCCACCTCCCCCGATCAGTGGTATTCTCTTGACAGCCTTTTCATGGTCAAAACCGGTTCCCATTGAGTTACGCCGCGCAAATCAAATTTTCACCTGGTTTCCCTATGGCACCTTTTTTTGTATAATAAGTGCTGTGTCATGTTACTGTCAGGTCCAAGCACCTGTGTGCTCAAATCTGCACTTTGCGCAGCCCGCTATAACACAACATTTGGGGTCCAATATTGGATATACCGCACAGCTTTATTTCTTTATTCGTTAGAAACATAACTTTCACACCTGCTGTCTAAATGAAACTTGGCACACTTCGTGCACAAACTTAGTGAACATCTCACTCGCCTCCAATATCATCGTTCCAGCAGTCCTACGTTTACAGCGACGAGCGAAATAAATTTCCCACTCAGAGCAATTATCGTGGCGGCCGTCTTGCTTTTTGGAAAATCGCTCCAACTCCTTTTTTGACCGGAACTAGAGAAATTACCCCTAATAACGACTCAAACCCATATATAAGAAGTGGAGAACAACTAAATGTCTTTCTTAGGTATGCCCCAGCACTCATGCAACGTCACCCTCAATGTATCGGCTCAAAAAGCAAAAGTTTCGTCCGTGCGCGCTTCCGCCGCCACAGCTTGGCATGCGAAAAGGCGCCGCAGGCTGCTGAACGCGCCTCGCGGTCGAACGCCAGCTCGTCCGCTAGCGGCGCTGCGCGCGTTTTTCAAAGCGCCCCCTATAGTTCCCGCACGGAGTGTATAGACCACTTACAACGTAACCGCTTATAGTGCAGGACCGGGTATAACGCGGTTTTTTTAAACCACCGGTTCGCCTCCCATAGAACTCCATGTAATTGCATACCGCTTAAAATGCAGGCGCGCGAAGGGAAATACCGGTTATAGTGCGGTTTCTGGCACAGCCCGCCGACCGCGCCGACGACCGGAGCGGCGAGCACGCTTCCCTGTGTGACACCAGATGACGGCGCTGACGGCGCGAGACGAGCCGCAAGGCCGCAAGCGGCACACGCGGAGCAAGGAGGTTGCTGGAGGAAGTGGGGGAAGCGAAGAGAGAAACTTCAGTTGCCATAACGACGGAGGGACGCACGCACGTATCGTTCACGTGCGTGCGTCCACCGTGCGTCCCTCCGCTGCGTTGGAAACAAACAACCGCAAGGGCAGACCAATCGCAGGTCGAGGGGAAGTGTTCGCGCGCGTTGCATGCCGGTCGCGCAGCTGCTTCTACCCGCGAACATGGCGTCGGTTGTGATCGTCAATGTTGACGGCGTTCATCTCATCGCGTAAAAGCGCTATCCTTGACTGTGAATTTTCGTTGTGTGTCGCTATGATAACCCAGCATGTACTAGATGGGAAGATCCTCCTAATCGTGCGACGATGTCGTGGCGGCGCTCTCAAGACGGCAGAAACGCCCGTGTCGTCGTGTTTGTTTACTTCGACTACAGTGGTGATTTCTAAGCATTTGTGTCCTCGAACATCGCCCGGATTCCTTATTTGGCGCATTTCATGCGTGTGCTCAAGTTCAAGGTATTACTGGCGCGTACCGTATGAAGGATGCGAATTTTCACGCATTTTCATCTCCGGAGAAAAGTAATTAGGGTTAGCAATCCTGAACGCTCGCTACGTTCGTCCGCAACCCGCGACGCCGTTAAAAGGCTGCGCCAGGCAAAAACCGCTCATTTCTTTCAAAATGTGTGACACACTTGAGAGAAAAGTGTACTAGTCTGGTGAAATAAAGACTCTCTTCAAAGTAAGCTTTATTTTTCATCTAGCATAAAATAAATTCTTTTACAAAGGTAAGTTGTCTCATGGCATGTATTTTGGCCTGAAAAATTGATGTTTTGGTTATAGCGCGGTACCGCTTATAGTGCGGACTTTCGCGACTCCCGCGACATACGTTATATGCGGTCTACACTGTATTTAGGTTGTGTCCCTTCCAAGCTTTCTTATGGTGGAAGGGACAACAAAGCAAAGATGACTGTACTTCCCCAGTCAGCAACGTTCGCTTATACCTCGCCATAGCTAACCAGCCGCATTTACGCCAAGGCCATCATTGATCCCAACACTACTTGTACTAGACTGGGCTATCTTTTGGTGTTTAATAAAATATAGGAAATCAAGCCAAAAGTAGGGGGAGGGCTATTTTTCGATGGTGGGGCATCTCTCGGAATTTTACGGTATACTGCTATCACACACTGTATCTTCCTATATTTTTTCCCGCATTAGTAGAGATGCACGGAAACTGGAGCTTAAGTTAATGTGTCTTCATATATCAAATTGTCATTATATCAAAATATTTTACGCTTCCCTTTGAATTCTATATATACGGGTTTGAATGTATCACAGTAATGAAGTGGTCATGCACTGCTGTCACAACACTCTAGCTCCCGCCCCCGGTGTAAGAAGGTTCTTTAGGTGTAGAGACTCTGCTCTCCGCCGCGACCAGATAATGACACCCTGCGCGCTTCACTTCACGGAGCCACCCCTAGATGGCGCCGTAAGTTTCAGGCCATCCGGCAGCGAACCGGGCTACTTGTGCTAGCTGCCTGCTCGGCGTACAGCTTGCTTTCGGTGGCTACGGGTTCGCGTACGATGTGGTATGTAGGTGGGGCCACTATCATCTCTCTCAGCACACTGAAGTTTTCATAACCCGAAAAATGGCAGGCGGACAAACAAGAGTAACTCCCTAATACCAGCCGACGCGGCGGTCTACGAGTGAAAAAGAAATATCCCTCTGCTGTAGATAATTTCTAGCCTAGCTTACACTAACGTCGGTAAGCGTTTGTAAAATGAATAAACTCTAATTGCACCGCAGGTAAACGATAACTTGAGTGTGACCGAAAGAAAAAAAAAAGAATGCACAAAAATAAAGAATGTTTAACACAAACCCTGTTAGCGGATAATAAACTGAATTGTTTTAAGCTCCGTTCGCGTGACTTTTCTAAAAAAATATATATATTGGGTTCGCAAATTACTGTTAATTCAACTGGACTAATAAAAAAAAATTTTTTTTTCAACATGCGGGGCAGCTAATGTGATTATTCTTTTACATATTAAGGCAGCCTTTGAGTCCTGCTAAATTGAACTGCTGGCCGAATTGGCACGAAGTTACACATTTTGCACGCAGAGTTTAATGAAAGCAGCTTTCTTTGAAAGGTTCACTTTGTTAGTACACTTACGTTGGCATGTAGCAGATTGCAACAAAAGTTTATAGTAACCACACTCGTCAAGGAAAGCAAACCGGTTGTATTAATGGCACTTCTGATATAAGTATAATAATAATACAATCACAAACTTCAAAAGAAATAAAAAAAAATTGCTGTAAAAAGAGATGCTGTTCAAACATTGTTTAATGTATGACATACTTTATAGTTGCTTTTGGAGTTCTTTTCCACATTACGAGTCGCACAGTCGGGACTCTTCCTTCTTCTCTCGAGACTGCTTCTTTGCATCTCGGTTTTTTCCTTTGAAGTCCTGTTGCATTCTCATGCGATCCGAACCCTTTTGCACGTTCGACTGAAACCAGAGAAGCGTCTGCCTTCCACAAAGGTGTCTGCATTCCACGAGAACGCCAGACAGAATCCGACCCTGAACAGATGGGCAGTCTGTTGTGTCTGCGTCTACCGCATGCAAGACAATCCTATACTAGTCGCCCTCAATTCGGAGAAGAACAACAACTGAGCATGTGACTGATGCATTCGGCAGACGTCTTTATCCTGATTGTCTCTTTTACTAATATTTTCATGTCATTGTTTTTCCTTTCTAAAATGTTCACGTTTCCCCAGGCTGGAGAGCAGTCGGCGTGTTCATTCAAATGTTTGGCCATTTCCAAGTTCGGATCTTTGGTTTTTTACATTTCTTTTATGCTCTTTTCACCATTGCAAAAAAAAAAAAAAAATTTGGAAACATTTAGAGGGGGCGGAAGCAATGGGTGACTTGGCCCACGTTTCGGCAGAGGGCCGGCGACTGGATGGCCTGAACGTTTTGGCGCCCTCTAGGGGCAGGCGGAGAAAACATAGGAAAGGAGGGGAGATGATGTGTTCGCCGTTCCGACGGGGCGAGGAGAGGAGTCTCCACACCTAAAGAGCCTTCCTACACCGTGCTCCCGCCTTTGTCCGTGCCCTCCCGACGCAAGGGACTCACGTCTGGCACTCCCTGGCCTGCTGCTGGAGCTTGTGCGAGTGGATCTCCGCCTCCCGCACGTAGGGCACGGCCTTCTCCGTCGCAGGGCTCAGCTTCTCCAGGAACGTCTGCAGTTGGTCCACCATGTCTCGCAGACGGGCAGAGTTCTCACGCAGGCCCTGGGGGCAAAACGGGCCGGGGCGGTCATAATCTGGAGGTGCGTTGCATCGTCAAAGGTGCATTCCATATTCGCCCGCATTATACTTCACGAAACCGACGGGCACACTATTCTGGCAGGGGCAGTAGTGACACTGAATGCACCTCGTCGCTTCGCGGTGATGTTCAGCGCCATTTTGAGACATGCAATGCCATCTGGGATATTAAGAAGGAACTCTGCTTTAAGTTTCCGTTTCATTTTTTTTTTTCTCTTCTGCGAGGGGGCGTTATTTTGCGTGACTTTAAAGTTCCAGGATCGTGAGTGATCGTACAGGCACAGCGTCTTCGCTGCACGCCGACGCCCCTCAGCAACATCACCTGTCTCGTGATTCCGGTGCATATGCAATTAGTTTTCTGGATAAAAGTGGCAGCAGTGAGTCAGAAGATGACTTTCATTCATTGGATCTTAGTTTCAATTGTGGCAGTGGGTCGAACCAGCAGGAATTATCCACAGGTGCCTGTCGGTACGTTTCGTGTTAGCTCGCTGAAGGCATTTCTTGCCTCCGTGAGCTTCTGTGGACACACTGGGTGTGTTCGAAACGCTTTATTTTTCACCTGCAGGGCGTCAACCTTACGTACAATTGGTTTTATGCTGTCAGCAGGAAAACGAGTGGAGTTTTCTCTGAAAAAGCGGCCCGGTCCTGACCTCGGCATCAGGCTACGGAGTAGCATGGAACGAGTTGGGTGGGGCTTTAAGGAATGGTACGGTCGTCACAAGGGCTGCAGAACAAGAGGTTTTGCATGGAAACTTTTCAAATTCGCAGGACTTGTTTCTAGAAGAGTAAGCTACAAAATATATGTTTTAATTTTTTTTACTCCTAATACTTTGCAAGGTACATCAAATTAAAATAACTTCTGCATTGGTTACACAAAATTTGACATTACATTTTTTGTGCTACATAATATCTTAATGACATTTTCGTTTTTAAAAAGAGAATTCCTTTAGCTACATTTTGGTATGCTTTGTACAGAATTATACCTAGTAGGGATATTTGCAGCTAAACAATTTTTCCTTGAGATCACCCCATAACAGCCTCTTTTCCTGTAGTAAGAAAGATTTAAGTTTACTCCACTAGCAAGCATATTATGTAAGATTCTGAGCGCATTTCCCAACACTCCTTGTGAAAGGTCATCGCTTTCAGTAAGGTAGCATGGGTGCTCACCTCATAGGCGTTTTCTGCGTCCGGGTAGTAGTCCTGGCAGGCCCGAAGGAGTTCCCTGGCCTCCTTCTGAAGTGCCTCGGACTGCAACTTGAGCTCCTCGCTTTGGGCAATGATCCCCTGAACCAAGCCACAAAGAATATTCTATTGGAATAATCCGCCAGCACACAGAGCCACCAAAGACGAGGTAACAAAATTCCATGAACTCATTGTAGAGTGACAATAACATACAATTTATCTCAATTGTGTTTCACTTGTCTTACCTATCTTACTAATCCTTTTAACTTGTTTTTGTACATTTTTCTTGTTTTGCCATTATGTTTAGATATTTGTTACTTTATAATAATAATATTCTCTATTTTGGGTGCCCAAAAACAACCAGATCGGTCTTCCCCTTGGTGCACCAACACAAACAATAAATCCAGCAAACAAGCAAAAAATCCTAAACACACATAAGGTTAAGAGACAAATGTAAGATTATCCAAATGGCGACGGTACATTGAACAGCTGCAGATATATCAAGGTGGGGTGGAGCAATGGCGTTATAGAATGACTGAATCCAAGAGAGAGGTGAGGCATTGCACAGTGGGTGAACATAGAAGCAAACAAAATGTCCGGTTAGACGTGAATACAATATATTCTATATAGTACCCTACATAATATCCTCCCTTGGAGAGCCTTAGGGGCATGTTGAATAAATAAATAGATAAGAAGGTTTGAAAGTGCACTACACAACAAGTAACAATGCAGCTAGAAAAAATTGCAAAATACAAAACAAAACAAAAATCACATTATATTACTGGTTACATTAAGGGGGGATATGGCCTGGGAGGGTCAACTTTTTAACCCTTTATTCAAATCAATTGAAATTTGCAGGGTAAATTGAACACTGTGAGAAAGGATAACCTGCCAAGTTTCAGCATTATAGACCAATTTTCTGACATACTAATTTCCTCAAATTCCAGATTTAAAGGGACCTCGTTAGGAAATGTATCAATGAAAAAATATAACTGGAATTTAAGAAATTCTTGCTTTAATGTGAAGTACAATGCACATGCTGCAAGTTAAGGTAAAAATCAATTATAAAAGCTGCAATTCTAAGGGAAAAAACACACCTAACAACAGAAACAATAATTTTAAAATTTTTTGTGTTTCAGAAATACTTTGTTTTTATAATGAAGGAGTGAGTTTTTTAAAATAAAAAGTACCTTATCTTGTTCCCCACAAAATTCCAGCCCAGGAGGACTCTAAAGAAAGTCTTTCCATATTGAAAGTGTCAAATGATACATTTCCTAAGGTGACAATTCGTGCCAAAAAGTGAAACTGAGAAAAATGCATTTGAAGTTTCAACTTGAGGTTTCTTTATTTTCGATGGGTCCCAGGAGCTTAGAATCCTCCTGGAGCATAGGTGGCACCCTCGCCGTCCAGGCTGCGCTGTTCCCGGACAATAGCTTCCAGCTTGCGTCGCTTGTGGGCCATCTTCGACGTGTCGAGTGCCCTGACCTTCGCCTTGGAAATCTTGCCCAGAGTTGCCTTGGAGGCATGCTTCGCCTGGTGGCTTCCAGGAGCAATGTTCATCTCCTTGAGTACCCTTTCAAAACCTCTAGGACCAAGATTAAACTCAAGCACGGCTAAAGCAACAGCCGTCTCCACAGTTTGCAGCGAGGCAAATTCTGTTTTGGGACAGCGCTTCCAGATGAGGGCATTGAAGCTCTCGTTTGCATTCTGCGTTTTCATGCGGGAGCATCGAATGAGCCATTCCCGCTGCGTCAGCCTGTTGTAGATCGGAACAATCTCCTTGGCGACATCCTTCGGGAAGGCTGGTCGGTGGGGTCGTGGTGCTGAAGGCTTGCCTGCTGCTTCCAGAGCCTTGTGGCGGTTATAGTGACACCATGAATCCTCGCTCTGTGGACAGGCATTGTGACGGGGCTCCTGGTCTGTGGAATAGCTATGCAGGAGGCTGGCGAAGACAGCTTTCTGCATCTTGGGGACGTCGGGAGCGTTGTCCTTTATAGCGCACGCATAGTAGCTTGTCAGCTTCTTCATCACCACATTAGTGAGTTTTCCTTTTCCGCCGAGCCCTTTTTTAGTCTTCTTGAGCTTTTCCATTCCTGCATACATTCGCTTGGCCACATGGTTCACACAGTCTTCTTTGTGTATTTCTTTGTCGTACAGTTCGAGACCAGCTACGTGCGTAAACGCCTTGCTGTCGCCGTCGCACAGGACGGTGACATATTGCATGTTATGCCTCTCGACAGACCGACTGAAGATGGTTGCTGCAGCTTGTACCTCCATTGCATTTGATGAACCCTCATAGTTCTTTTGGCAGGTCTTCCGATGCGTGTCAGCCCACTCCTCGAAGCCTTCGGTACCTTCCTTGGGGCCCAGCTGGCACCCATGACAGTACTTGCTTTGCACTGCGAAGTCGATCACAAAGCCGGTCTCTAGCTCAATTGCGACACCGACTCCGAACTGTGACGTGTGTCCACGTTTGTGCCACGTTCCGTCGTAGCTGATGCACACATCCAGAAGATCGCTCTCGGCGCTCGTGCCCTCCGTTGCCTGCGCTTTTCTGACAGCTCGCGCAGCCTCCTCCATTACTTGGGTCGCCGCCAGCATCGCGGCATCGTGCACTTTTCCCGCAACCTTCTGATAGGACTTCACGTGCATTGGGGGCGGAGCATTTAGTCCCCCAAAGAGATTCGAGAGCTTCGTAAAGCTAATTCCGCAGTCTCTCCCGACGACTCCAAGTCGCATCACGAGTTCGTTCTGTCGCGACTTGCCAATCGGTGGCGAGTGCGGTGCCGCGACGATGTCTCCGCAGGACGAGCATCGAACAACAAACAGAAGATCGGCACCAGTTCCTCTTTCTTGCAAGCTGAGCTCCCCTCCATGGCACTTGGGACACAGTAGAGCGTCGATTAGTCCTTGCACGGCCGACACATTAATTAGGCGATAACCATCCAGAGGCTCTTCAGTGGGAGCGTCCGCCATCTCCGCGTCGTCCTCTTCGCACTTGAGCAGTTCGAGCTTTCTCTCGAACGTTGTCAGCAGGCACTCCACAGAGACCGGAACATCCTCAGCATTTGACGTTGAAGCTATAGACTCCGACGCGTGAGGGCTAGTTGAGCCAGACAAACTCGAAGCTCGCGACGACAGGGATGGTGACGGCAGTGTCAGCGGGTCGGCACCTTTTCGGGGGCGTCCTCTTGTCAAGCCTCTTCGTTTTCGAGATCGTGAACCTCGGCCAAAGCTACTGCGAGTGCTCGCTTTCGTGGCAGGCATTCCTCGGTAGAAAAACCAACGCAAACAAAGGTAAAACGAAAGAGCGGCCGGAGCGGCGGAGTAGCGATACGATCAGGAGCGGAGCTAGCTGACGAAAGCGAACAAACCGAAAAAACGAACTGTGACGTCACCACCGCGGCCAATCGCGAGGCCTGTTTCGGTTTTCAACCAATGAGATCAAGCGTAGCATATTAGGAGCGTCTTTTTTCTGTTTTTTCTGCTTCGATGTTTGGGCTCTCCCAGACCACAAAAACCCTCTAACGCAGAAAGCTTTTCACGGCAAAAACTAGAAGAAATGGCGCTTCCAACGAGGGTAAAATGATTCGCCCGCGTCGAACGAGCGCGGAGTAGGCTTAGTTTGAAAACGCCGCATTTTGCCGTGGCCTCGCTCAGCGGGGCATCGCGCGTGCTCGCGACCGGGCTGAAAATATTTTTTTGTGAAATAAATCCTGCATATTTCTAAATGAAACTTCTTGACACTATGCTTCGAAAGTTAATGAACCGAAAATAAACTTTTTTTAAAAACGTATTTTTTCGAAAAAAATCGGAATTTCGAGGCCGTATCCCCCCTTAAGGGGGGACACTACCCAAAAGAGTTAACTTTTGAACCTTTTGCTTATTATGAATTAAATTTACAGTATATACTGGCAGTTGTGAGGCAGAATGCAGTGCAAAGTTTCATCTGCATACATGAATTGTCAAATAAATTATAGTCGTTTTTATCAGGAACACACTGACTTTGTTTGAGAAAACTATCGTTTGAAAAATAATGTAATACCAAACGTTTTTCTTCACTAGATCTGTAGCAGAATGCCTCAGCGTTGACAAACGTGCATGCAAGATGCCATTTGTTTAGGCTTTTACTTTAGAACAGTTATTGCTACAGACGCCAGCACATGCAACGCGTGGAACACCATTCCCTGCATTCTCCTCGATGCTTGGGTAATTTAGCAATAGGTCTATTATGTAGATAAGTTATCAATAGGCACCATTTTCAAGATCAGTAGACTCCCAGGTAGATAATAAAAGTTTCTCGAAGATTTGCCACTGTGCGACCAGCGTCGGCCATGTTTACGCTCGCACTGCCCTCTATTTGTCGTCAAAGTCAAAAAGCCAAATTGGATGTTTAGTGTTTATACAGCGTAAGGTCGCTCTGCAAGGGGGGGGCGACACTAGTTTACACTGTAGATGAGCAATTTTGCCAGTACAGTACGACTGCTAGCCTGGGTCTTTAACGTGCATCACGCAGTAGTGATACACGACCACATACCGGTACGATGCTCATCCAGATCGAAACGGGCAGGGGTGGGGCTCGAACCCTGGCTTCTGCAGCGCGAGCTTTCGCTCTACGCGCGTCGAGCTGGGTGTGCACTGTAGCCCACTCGGCCATTGATTCCCCCCTCTTAGTCGTCGTTCTCAGCTCTTGCCTGCCTAGTTTCCTTTCCTTCCTGCCTCCCGGAGGGGTGGTCCTGTTGTGCATGTCTAGTTTCCTCCAGCTCCTTAGGGCGGGTCTGTTTTGTGTGCTCAACAGCTTCGCAGGTCATGCACCTTCACACAGTGGAGTAACTTATGATTTCCGTGTTTTTTGTCAAATATGATATAGAAAAAAAAAACATTTGCATACAGCAAGCTGGTTTATTAAGCCCCTCAATTAGGATAGCTGCGACAAATATGTCATTTACATGCCCCAGTTAATAAATATAGTTATATCAAAATTAACCGAGCTTAGAAGTGGACAAGCGGAAGGTTGGGAACCATGGGCGCCGACTACAAGGGACCTTGTTACCATGATCAATGCCAACATGAGAAAGAGAGGTCTGTGGAGGGCAACTGCTCTCGGAGCAACGTGATTTTTAATATGGTGCACTGCACGTTAGCATGGAGCAGAGCCTCTGGCTCAGGATGGCAGATGCACTCACCCTGAACGGGGAGCTGTTAGCCGTGTTCTGCAGGTGGGCCACCTCCCGCACCATGTCCTCGACCCTCTGGGTGTGGTTGGCCAGCTCGTAGAGGCGCCCCTCCAGCTCCTCCGCCATCGTCTGCCGCAGGTCCTCCAGGGTTGCGTCGTTCTGCACCGCCGGCAGCGAGAAGTTCTGCGCACGCTCCAGGCCTGCAACGGCACGCAGTGGGCACCTTCAGCAGAGAGTAGAGAGGCACGGATGTCGAGCACTCGGCGACTTATTACAAGGAGGATTAGCCAGGGCCAAGGCCACTCATCCTTCTATAAAAACAAAAGGAAGAGCTAAAAGGAGGGTAAAAAAAAATTGACTGCATCTCCACGTGGTGAATAATGTTGATTGGGGTAAAGCTCTGGTGGTGCTTGTCTGCGCAGATGCTGAGCCGCAGCATGCCGAGCATTTCGTTCCTTTTCATCCAGGTCAGAAAGAGAATGTGTAGTATGGAACGTGGTTATATACGCATTTGAGCATTTGACCGCAGCGCCCTCTCGTCTATTAACGTTGAGCCAATGCATGCAAAGTTTAACGCAATTATATACGCATTTGACCGCAGCGCCCTTTCCTGTATAGACGTTGAGCGGCTACATGCAACCTTTCATCCATGACACCCCCAGCTCTTAAGCTACTACCAGATCTCAGAGCCCCCTACTCGTCCCGCAGTCGTGGCCGAGTGGTTAAGGCAATGGACTAGAAATCCATTGGGGTCTCCCCGCACAGGTTCGAATCCTGTCCACTGCGCAAACTTTTTTTTTTTTTTTTTCATTTTTTTTTTTTTTTTTACACGAGCATGTGAGCACGTGAGCTCACGAGCACGAGCACCAGCAAGATCGATGTGAGCACGGACACCGGACGGACAAGGCTAGACCCTAAGGAGCTTTGGCCCTAAAAGCCATCACTTCAACAAATCTGCAATGATAATATTAAGGCTAGGTTGCAGCAGCATACGTGACATCACAGTTTACACTGGCCTATTGTCTGTCTGAAATTTTATTGCAATTTTATTTTCCTCTTTAAATACTAGATAGCATTATTAAGGTCACCCTTTCTTCGTGTTGGCGCCGTGGATGTAGCCTCGATGGAGAAGAGCGATCAGTCGCCCATCTGTTCTTGGACTGAGGACTTCTCTCGGTAAATGCTCAACAGAAGAAAAGCAGACCAAAAGCAATATGAAAGCTTTTGCTTGCAGCCTTTGTATATCACCAAAATCCTGCAGGAGCGACAACGGCAGGTGCAGCTTGGTGAAAAAAGAGCAGCGAGGGACTCGGCTGCCAAAAGGAGAGTGTTGGACCCAGTAGTGACACAAAGTCAGTTGCTCTTAGTGGCCGCCCGGCAGTTCAAGTGCCAGTTTACATATATAACCCATTTAGTATGGCGATAACGTCCAAGACAGACTGGTTTTAGACGGACGGGAGCAAAAAAGGGGCTTCTAAATGCTACAACGCCTTAGGTAAATGCCAAAGACTGCTATTGAACAAATATTCTAATAGTTGTAATTAACAATACACTACTCAATATCTGCTTCGAGATGAGCTGCGATATTCTCGCTTTTACAGCGGACCTGTTAAGGGCTAGTTTCCCCAGGATCGTGTCCACCAGCAAAGAAATGATGACACCGAACTCTGGACACCTGCTGCCATCTATGAGCGATGGCGGCAACCACACAACTGCTTGCCGCCGTCGCTCGTAGATGGCAGCAACCTTTTTTTCGGAGGAAGAAAAGTGGGAGTGGAACGAGCGGCGATGTGCGCAACAGCGTGAATGGTTTCGCAATTGCTGCGAAGCCGCTATCACCCAAAATTCCACCGCGTCGAATGGCTCAGATTCCCTTGGAATAGAAGAGCAGATTGCTCGCCTGGAAAGACATCACCGAGAACAGAAGCTACAGCTCCGCTGCTCTTCCTTCTTTACTAAAGTGGAAAGGCTGAACGTTTTTTTTTTTTAGTGCGGAAGCATTGATTGTCCCATGGAGCGAGCCGATGTCATCAGCCGTGCGAAATGGCAGATAAATTCGTGAAGCCACGATTTGAGGCATCCCAGCTTTGAAGCCGCATAAAACGCCACACAAAACGGCCAATAAATGAGGCCGCCGCGCGTCAGTTTCAATTAGCACCAATCCATGGCGCTGCCTGCCCGCATCTCCAGCGCACTAATAAATGGAATCGGCTGGCGCGCTCGGGTGGCGGCACGGCTGCCGGAGCATGCCGGCCGATTCCTGCAGCTGATTCTGTGCCACTGCGGCACGGCCGGTGTCAGCGAGGCGTGGCAACTTCACGAGGACGTGTGCAAGAACGACATTCATACTTTCGCATTCACAACTCATAAGAAGCCTTTTTTGTTGCCAAATTGGAACTTGGAAAAATAATATTTGCATATAGCAAGCCGACTTATAACACCCCTCGATTAGGATAGCTGTGACAATTTTGTCGTTTACATGACATAGTTAATAAACATAGCTATAATAAAATTAACCGAGCTTAGATGTGGACAAGTGGAAGGTTAGGAACAACCTGCATGAGTTGAGCTGGAGTTTTCTTTAAACGCATGGCACACGGTAGTGGAAGGCTTCGAGAAACTATTCGATTTAAAAATATTCGGTCAAAATCGCCATTCGCTTCGAAATGGCTTCCAACTCAAGATTCACTCTTCGCACAGGGCTACTAAAGAGACAGCCAATTTTTAACTCGGCCAATTGTCTACCACATGCTAAGACGACAAAAATAGCAGGTGCCACATCTTTGCAGTAGATTTGGAGCCATCTGAAATCGCCGGCGCGGTTTTCGAAGCGCGTGTCCGGTTGGCCGACGGAGGAAACCTTAGTGCCATTAGAACCGAAGCAATGGATCGATCCATCGCGGCAGCGGAGAAGTGAACGAAACACCCACCTTCTCTGGCCTGCGCCAGCTCTTCCTCTGCTTCGGCGAAGGGCCTCATGAACTCGGTGGCATTGAGAAGCTCCACGATGCGGGTGGCTTCGTCGAGCAGCGGCTCCACGTTGGCGGTAGAAGTCGAGCCCAGGCCCTCGGAGAAGGCCGTCAGGCTGCTCAGAATGTCTAAAGAGACGAGGCCAAGAGTCAATGTGAGGCAGAATGGAGCAGCTAGAAGAGCTATGCTTCACACTTTTGGGGGTTTATTTTTCTTAGTTTGGGGCTGTTTTTTCTGGGTTTATTTTTCTTCTTGGATTCAGTGTTTTTCATAGTAAATTTTGGATGTCAGGCAAAAAATCTGCACTTATGGGTGCTTAAGTTAAAAAAATAAGACATGGACGTCGAATTCCTCGCTCCTCGACGAAACAAACGCGTGATGCAAATACTTGTAAAACATCCTAGTACCGATGAGAAGATGAAAGGAGAAAACTGGCATGGCACAGTTCTTGACGAAAGCAGCTGCAATGAGGGTCAGTTCGGGGGGCTGTCCCGGGCAGAGGTCGGCATTTTAGGTCGCCCTCACTCACCCTCACCTTCACAGCCACACTCGCCTAAGCTCCTCACTCACCCTCACCCTCACAGCTACACTCACCTTCAGCCCCTCACTCACCCTCACCCTCACAGTCACACTCACCTTCAGCCCTTCACTCGCCCTCACTGAACCTCACGGCCCTCACGCACTCACCGCCCTCACGGCCCTCACGCCCCTCACGGCCCTCACGCCCCTCACTCACTCATGGCCCTCACGCCACTCACCGCCCTCACGCCACTCACCGCCCTCACGGCCCTCACGGTCCTCACCGCCCTCACGGCCCTCACGCACTCATAGCCCTCACGCCACTCACCGCCCTCACCGCCCTCACGGCCCTCACGCCACTCACCGCCCTCACGCCACTCACCGCCCTCACGCCCCTCACACCCCTCACGCCCCTCACGCACTGATGGCCCTCACGCCACTCAGGCCAGCTTCAGATGGGGCAATTTCGCCCAGAAACTTTACGTCGCAACACCAGCAACACGGGCCGCCCGCAATCACACGCAGCAACCAATTGCTGCAATTTGCCATCGTCATCATAAAAATTTTATTTTTCTTGCACTGTTTAGACAGAATTACGCGTTATAAACGTGTTTTGATGCATTTAAACCTCGTTAAGAATACTAATGCACCTTTCTGAAACAGTTTATTTAAAAAAAAACGATCGATTTCATACCAGAACCAAGTCTTTCGGTGTCATCATCACCGGCACGAGGTATCACGTGAAAATTTTGTGTCCCTGATTGGATGAAGCCGCTTCAAACGTATTCGAATTGCTCCGAGTTGCTTGCTTATTGCGAGCCGGACCCGATCTCAGCAATTCGTGTCGATCTAGGAAAAGCTAGAGAACAACCCGCCATTAACACCAAAATTGTTGAGAAAGATGCTCGATCTGAAGGGGGCCTCACGGACTCACTGCCCTCACGGCCCTCACGCCTCTCATGCCACTCACTGCCCTCGCGCACTCATGGCCCTCACACCCCTCAAGCACTCACCGCCCTCACACCACTCACGCACTCATGGCCCTCACGCCACTCACCGCCCTCACGCCCCTCACGCACTCATGGCCCTCACCGCCCTCACGGCCCTCACGACCCTCACCGCCCTCACCGCCCTCACGGCCCTCACGGCCCTCACCGCCCTCACGGCCCTCACCGCCTCACAGCCCTCACGGCCCTCACAGCCCTCACCGCCCTCACCGCCCTCACGGCCCTCACTCACCCTCACACTCATGAATTTTCCTGGTTCAGAAACTCACTCACCCTCACCTCACCTGTGAAGATGAGGGTGAGTAAGGGGGAGTGAGGGCCCTCATGAGTGAGGTTTGCCGAGGTATGGTCCCGGGTCAGTACAGAATAAAGCTGTACATAAGGCTCTTCTTTCTCCAAAGCTTACTGGAATTCTCTCATCCAAGGACAGCTCCAATTAGGGTTTCTTTGGTGTTTCCTCCAATTTTTAGAGCAAAACATTCTTTGGCTAGGAGCTCTGCATTTCGTGAAGCCCAAAAGTAAAGCCTGGATCAAAGTGTGGCTGTAAGGCTTGACACTGATTCGTTTTGAGCGGGGGGGAAAAGGCCATCGGCAGTAAAAGTGCGTTTGCACTTAGTGAAAATCGCACCCAGACCATTGAGATTTATTAAGTGGGCGTTTTTCCAGCATGTCACAACACGTCGGCGTAAGTAGAGCTGCTATTTGGAAGAAAAGCCCTGCAGGGCGCCCACTCTGCGTCTGGCAGATGTCAACTGGACACCCTGTCACACCTTTTGAAAACCCGGGTCAGCGCCAGGAATCGAGTGCACATGCCACGCATTAAGCCAGCTCACAAAAACTAACGCACAAAAAGAGAGCATAGATGCCACACGTTTAACATGCAACACAATTGCCCAGTTTTTCACAATGTTTCAGTCGTCATCGAAAACATTGAGCCCTACTTACGACACACATTATCTGAAATTGCAGGAAATACGCCGTATCTAAAGTGCGAAAAGCCGCATTTTCAAATCGTAATGGCCGCCCATTGCACCCGCTCTGCACAGGCAACAAAATGGCAATGCCCGCAAGACAATCGGGGGAATACAGTGCCGATAGGCCAAGCGTAGCTTACTCAGTGGGTCTAGTGAGGAAGACACAAATCCAACGAGGGAAAGAAGGAAGCAGTTGTCAAGATTAAAAAGACACCTGGCTGACCCTTAAATCTCACCAGCCGCTTTCCTTTCTACCCTCATCCACGCTGGCTTCCTCGTTCGTCGGCCGTCGTGACACGTCGTCAACTACTTCGACGGAAGCAGCCGAGCTTTAAATTAAAACGCACAAAACGGTACCTCGCATCTCCTGGACCGTCTTCTCCACGTTGAGCTCTTCCCGGTCGGCTTCCAGCCTGGTCTTGTACGCCGTGTGGTTGTTCGCCGTAGCCGAGAGCGCCAGGCTCGAAGCCTGCACGAAAAAGAGCAGAAATCGTCGGTGGTTGCGCGCCCTCCCCAGAGGTACAGCACCCGTTACGCGTGGCGTGATTTACGACGTCTCGGTTTGCCGATTCCTCCATTTCCACCCGATCACGTTGCACGTCTGTCGCGCCGGCGTGATCCCGGCGGTGGCGGAGCAGCGGCATGAGCCGCAGATGCCTGTTCCGCTGCAGCTCGTTTAGCAGCCAGACGGTCGATGGAAACCGAAGCAGACCCGAAATGGGACACTGGGACGGCGGGGACCGTTGTTTCCAATCGCCTTTTTTGCCGGCATTTCTACCATTAACCGTCACAATCGCGACATCCAACAGCATGACAGACCGTCTTCTGCGACTTAATCTGAGGCCACATCACAGCCACTTGCAACACACAGAGAGTGTAGTGCAGTAAACACACCAGTCAAAGGCGTGTTCCAGGCGTTGTGCACCCGAAACGCGTCTCTGACCGGTGAGTTTGGCATCCCATACTGGCAATGCATCAAAAGCGGCTCCGAGTGGCAACTGGCGTTGCAGAAGCCATCATGTCGTGCTGTCGGACGTCGCGATCCTGACAGTTTGTCGAAGAAGGTTGTGGGGATCGTGATCCCTGAACATTCTGTCGCGTCAGCGTTTTGGCGCGCCGTGGCGGCCGCGCTGACGTAGCGAGAGGGGGCACTGCTTATCACTGAGTGGCTTCCTCCTTTCCCCCCTGGGGGCGATTTTCGTAATGAACCCCCGCAGAAAGGAGATCGACGTGTCGCTCCTTGATTAGCCACTTCGCCCCGCCGTTATCTTAAAACCAGTGAACAGCAAGATCTCTCTCTCTCTTCTTCCTGGGATTCGGCGGTGGCGACAACGGGGAACCGCCCGGCGCACCGGTGAGCATTTACCTCGTCCTTTGTATCTTTGTGAACGATTGTTCGGCCGTGGGCGATTTCCACACCAACGGCGTTCACCAGCTGATAGCCGCTGTTTTCTTATTTGTTTCGTTGTTAATAAACAGAGTTTATCACCGTCACCAACGTGACTGGTGTCTGATTGCGCTCAAAGAGCAGCATGCCACGCGAGTACGAACTCGCTTCGTGGTAGAGCGTCTCACCGCGAACGTGGTACTCCCAAAGGCAGTGGCCCAAAGGAGAACCACAAGGTCTGGCAAAAAACTAGGAGCGAACGCATCGCAACTAATGGCCGCCGAAGCTTTTGTGGAGAGTCAAGCCAGAGAGCAGCCTACCGCATCTACCTCCGCTTTTGTGTGGATCGTGGGAGGCGACAACACTTCATGATGTGAGTGGGTGGACGGAGAAGCTTTCCAGGCACCATAGTAATGAAGGCGAGAGAATGACTCACGTCCTTGCGCACTGTCGAGGCCAGTGCTTCCAGATCGCTGACGTTCTGTGCCAGGGGGCTCACGTCCAGGGAGGCGGGCTTTCCGCTGAAGCTCATCAGCTGCTCCTGTCGAGGGAAAGAGCGTCTTATTTTATTTTCTCATAGTCTCGCAAAGCACGGAGAGTACTCTGTCGAGAAAAAGAGGCGACAAATTCGGTGCACCAACGTTTGCTCTGCACGTGGCATCGCAACGGCAGTTGTTAGACTTTGCACAAAGCGAACGCGCCGTCGGGTAAAGTTCATTGATTGTTTGCGGCATACGGTGAAACACCACTCCAACAAACAGCTGAAGAAAATTTTGTAAACTTGCCCAGCAAAACAGCACTGTGTCCACTGCATCCAATTAAGTGAATTCCCACTTTAGCAAACTTTTTTTTGAGGTCCCTCGAAGTTTGTTTGAGTGTTATTTCACCGTATTTGCTCCATGAAGTCCGGCCTCAACATGGTACTTGGGAAGTATGAGCCCATTTCAGATAATATATTCAAAGGGACCATACCATTGTGAGCATAATAAAATTTATATATATACAAATATAAAGCTGGGAACATTTTCCATTATTTTCCCTGCTCGTTTGCATGTAAGGAATTGTTTATTAGCTCGATCAATGACAGAACTGAAGAATTGGGGCTGTATTTGGGTCGCTTAAAGGGGTACTACAACAAAATTTCGGCGCTCATTTTTTGGTCTATATGTGTTCAAAGGAGCAGCATCACATCGAACATACCAATATCTTGTAAAAAAGGCTCGAAAAGAAATTTTAAAACTAATTAAACGATTAGCAATGAGCACCTGATGGATGTCGCTAACACCTCGCTTGTAATGTCCGTCTAGGAACCTTGACAGCTAGTGACGGAGGTTGTCTCGCCTCCGGCCACGACGAGAGAAGAGGGGAAGGAGGAACTCCCCTCTTCCCGAGAATGCCTTTTGTGTGCCGCAGTAGTCGTTATTGTCCCCCTACAAGATTATAGAAGATTAAGCCGTCACTCAAAATTCGTACAAAAGCAGCCGCTTCGGTGGCTGGAACGACCAGGCCATCCTCTCGACGTCAGCCTCGCCGTAGCTTTGCTCGTCTTGAGACGACCTACGTCACGATTGCGTTGGATGTCACGTGGTCTCCGCTGGGCCTTCTCTGAGCGCTTGCCAGAGTGGGCCGTTTATAACGAAAAATACAGCCACCAGAATCAATATACAAACGTGCGATTGTCATTTACGGATATTGTGAATCATATTCAACCTATTTTTGAACACAACGGGAATCTTTCAAATATTGTTGAAGTATCCCTTTAAACCCAACAGTACTCCGTTTTTTCCCCCTTGAGAACTAGATCGGCAGCATATGCCGGAGCCATTTCATTCAACAAGCCGACTTCTCGAGCGCCGGCTCGTCTTAGCCATAATAAAAAGTGGTATGTATAAAAACTGAGTACCACCCGAAGCTCTTTTATCTCATCAGCTGCTCCATCAGACGCAGTCGATTACAAAAGAAGGAAATTTGAGCGAGCTGGAAAACACTGCCTTTGTGACCAATAATACACAGAGCATAGGTGTCCACCATGAAATCCGGTGAGATTTGAAGCCTGAAATACCAAGAAAAAAAACTGAGGTACACCTAAGCACTTCTTATGAGTTGTGAATGCGAAAGCATGTGCATCATTCTTGCTCTACGCGTGTTGGCGCGCCGGCTGGCGCTGACCTGGCGCTGCGTGTCCGGCGAATGGGAGCCTGGTCGACGTGCGCTAGCCAATGGGATCGAAACGGCGTAAAAGGTGCCATGGCTAACCGGCGAATGGGAGCTAGCTTGACTTGGAGAGCATTTAAGAGCCGTTTGCGTGGCTTCAAAGGTGATGACGTCGGCTCGCTTCATGAGACAGTTAATGCTTTCGCATTCAAAACCGAGTATGCACCCATGTCTCAATAAGTGCCCACCCCTTACTACAGAAACATTTCAAATATAAGCCGAGAAAATATGAAGCGTCCATCCCAACAAACTTCTGAGCCCACCGAGCTAACTGAAGTGCTTCACCACACTGGATGCCTCTTCAAGAAGACAGCGCTATGCAGTAGAGCAGGCTTGACGAGAGTGCCATGTCTGCTTTGAAAATTAGGGTTTTGCCAGACCCCTATATATCTCCTATACAGTATAGACCACATACAACGTAACCGCTTATAGTGCAGGACCGGGTATAACGCGGTTTTTTTAAACCACCGGTTCGCCTCCCATAGAACTCCATGTAATTACATATCGCTTAAAACGCAGGCGCGCGAAGGGAAATACCGGTTATAGTGCGGTTTCTGGCACAGCCCGCCGACGACCGGAGCAGCGAGCACGCTTCCCTGTGCGACACTAGATAACTGAGCTGACGGCGCGAGCCGCAAGCGTTGCGCAAGCGGCACTCGTGGGGCAAGGAGGTTGCTCGAAGAAGCGGGAGAAGCGAAGAGAGAGGTTTCAGTTGCCCTAGCGACGGAGGGACGCACGCACGTGTCGTTCACGTGCGTGCGTCCCTCCGCTGCGTTAGAAACCAACAACCGCAACGACAGACCAATCGCAGGTCGAGGAGAAGTGTTCGCGCGCGTTGCATGCATGCCGGTCGCGGGCCGGCTGCTGGTTGTGATCAACGTTGTGATCGTCGTCGTAGACGGCGTTCATCTCATCGTTCCGCGTAAAAGCGCTATCTTTGACTGAATTTTCGTTGTGTGTCGCTATGATAGCCCAGCACGTACTAGAAGGGAAGATCCACCTACTCGAGCGGCGATGTCGTGGCGGCGCTCTCAAGACGCTAGAAACGCCAGTGTCGTCGTGTTTGTTTACTTCGACTACAGTGGTGCTTTCTGTGTCCTCGAACATCGCCCGGATTTCTTATATGGCGCATTTCATGTGTGTGCTCAAGTTCAAGGTATTACGGGCGCGTACCGTATGAAGGATGCGAATTTTCACGCGTTTTCATCTCCGGAGAAAAGTGATTAGGTTTAGCAATCCTGAACACTCGCAACGTCCGTCCGCAACCCGCGACGCCGTTAAAAGGCTGCGCCAGGCAAAAGCCGCTCATTTCTTTCAAAATGTGTGACACACTTGAGAGACAAGTGTACTAGTCTGGTGAAATAAAGACTTTCCTCAAACTAAGCTTTATTTTTCATCTAACATAAAATAAATTATTTTACAAAGGTAAGTTGTCTTATGGCATGTATTTTGGCCCGAAAAATTGATGTTTCGGTTATAACGCGGTACCGCTTATAGTGCGGATTTTCGCGACTCCCGCGTATGTCGCGGGAGTCGCGAAATACGTTATATGCGGTCTACACTGTACTGTTCAATCGGATCAAACAAAAACCTGCCCTACCACGTAGCCCTTCTGCTTTTCTGCTTTCAAACCGAACAAGCACTCATCCCCATATTTTTAAATGATCTCCCGTACAAGAAAACAGTGCCAAATAAATGCCAGGGCAATGATAGACAAAACAGGAGCACTCTGTACTGTTTCTGTCTATTTTTTTTCCTTACGTTTATTAGGTGCCGCTTTCTCGTACACGACAGACCTACCAGCCCAAACCACCACTTGCTATCTTTAACTTTGCATGACACTTGCTCGGTATTTTACGGTATGTTACATGAAACTGGTCCAGAGCGCCTACGCAAACTTCCACACCTGAGTGCACCTAATAACATTGCTCTCAATAACTCAAGAAAAAAGTAAGCTTTGCTCACGGTTCATACGTAGTGCGAGGTAGTTCTTACAAGATTTGATTGTGGGAGAAGGAAACAATGCTCTTGGCCTTTGGAATTTGTATGTCTTAATTGATAAAATAATTTACAGCTAATCTAAATGCCACCAAGATATATTTTAATTTGCTACATAAAGAAGAAAATAATTGATGCTCCGCAAGGAGCTGCACTTTTAAGGCGTTAGCGTTATAGGGCCAGCCAACCTCAGGAGCTGCCCAAGCACAAAATGTGTAGGTAGGTCAGTTTCTAACCACTAGACGATTCCGAAAAAGAGCGGCGACCGGTGCCAGAGATTGAACCCGCCACCGGCGTGGAAGCCGAGTGCGGTGCTGACCGAGCTACAAGCCCAGCACGCAAAAACGGGAGGAGCAGAAGCAGGTGGTGTAAGGTGGCACGAAGAGCAGAGGGGTGGAAAGAGCGAGAAAGCGTGCTTCACTTCTCTAGGTGACCCAGAAAATTCAGTGCAAAGGCTTTGCATCCGGGGGGTGCTGAAGGGAAGCACGCTCAGTGTCAGAAAGAGACAATGGTGTGATGCAATTCGTTTCCATAAGAAACCCTGCCCCAGGCACCATCCAAACTATAAGCACCGCCTAACCTTTAAAGCTACAGCATTTAAATGCGATTGGGAGGTTGACCAAACATGCCGCCAATTTTGGTGACTAAAGTTCTTTGGGGAAATACAAGTACATCCCATAAATTGAAAGAAAGACGAGGGACCCACTTTCAGGTCGTGCGCAGTCTGGTTGACGAGCTGCAGCCGCTGGTTGGCCAGGTAAGTGGAGGAGATGTCACGCATCTCGTCCCCGATGTTGTCGATCATCTGCTCCAGGCTGTCCGTGTCGTCCAGCAGGGCGTGCACGCACTCGCCACACTCTGCGTCCGTAAGCAACGCACATCGGTGAATTGTGCTGTGTGCACATTTAGACGGCAAGAAGTGAAGACAGCCCCAATGTACATCTGGTCCCTACTTTCCTGCAAAACACTTGGGTGAGTCAATCGCTGCAATCCATAAAGAGAGCTCGGTAAATGACAAGGCTGTAAATACAGTCTAAGCTCGTTACAACAAACATTTGGATATAACATACCGACCTATGAAGTTCGGTTGGTTTTCCTTTACATGCCATTGACTCAACTTCATATCTGATACAACATACTCCTCTTACAACAGACCGAAATCTCGGTCAAAATCAAAGTCTGTTATAACCAGCTTAGACTCTATGTTTAGGCTTAAAGAACTGTCTTTGCTGAGACAGTAAGTGCGATGAAACGTCATGCCCAGTCGCGCAGCGCACAATGCTTTTTAAGTCTTAACATATATCCAGCCTCATCATTTGCCAAGCTCGCTCCGTAAATGAGAACGACTGGAATGTAGACTTTTCAGATTTCTTAGAACTGTAGCTGAGAAATTTATCCAGTGCAGTACAACTGCCAACCTGGGGTCTTTAGCGTGCACTGCGCAATGGTGACAGACGACCGCACGTCGGTACGATGTTTGTAAAGATAGAAATGGGTAGCGGTGGAGACTGAGCCCGGGATCCCTGGGGTCTGCAGCACGAGCATTCGCTCCTCATGCTACGAGCCGGTATGCAATAACACACTCGGCCATCCATCGCACCACGCATAGTTCAGTCTAAATATTTTAACTGCTTCTTCAATTCTACTGGCTGTAATGCGCATCGGTTCCTTTACCACACGTGATGTGCGCAATAAAACTAAAGCAGACGAGAGTAGAAAGTTGGGCTTGTTGGTGATTCCTAAAGGTTAAAAAGCGCGACAGGACAACGGACACAGAAGGAGACACAGACACAACGCTTATCGCTGTGTCTGTGTCTCCTTCTGTGTCCGTTGTCCTCTCATGCTTTTTAATCATTAAAATAAAGCAGCTGAATTATATGTGCCACCCAGAGAGGTTGTCAGCCTATGACAAACCTTAAAAAAATCTTTTTAACCTTTTGATTTATACGATTGGTTGCAACATTTACGTGTTCTGTCACAGAAGGACACCTACTCCTTTTGCTTCCTTTTTTCTGGCACTTATTCTCTGAATCTATAGGGTGCATTCATCTGCAGGCATCTGTCTTAGGACGATGACATGAGGTCATTCTGCAACATAACACGACGCGTCTTTCTTTTCTGTGTTCAAGGATTCTGAAACTTTGTGACAGACCCCCCCTCTCTCTTGACTGTCAGCAAAGAAAACCCCTCCCACTAGAGGCAGTGGTACAACAAAGCAGTGCACAAGCCTAGAGAACATTGTCAACAGTAGTGCATATATTAGGAAGCCTGACGTCACGTGACAAGGTGATACCACGTCACACCATGACATCACATGACATTGCGAACCCTTCATACATTCACAAAACCCTCACAATGTGACCACGCATTTAAGGCGCCCTATTTGAGCCTGTCATGGCTGGTGAATAGAAGCCCACCCTTGCAGCCCTCGCGCTCCACGAAGACCCATCGGTAGGGGCACCGGTCACACTTGTCCCCTTCCACGCCGGGCAGGCACTGGCACTGGCCCGTCTGCTGGTTGCACACGGCACCCGCCGAAAACTTGGCCGCACAGTTGCACGCTGAAACACGAGGCACATTGTTGGACGACATTCGGAGAGCATCTGCCACATGAAACGCCCTCCGACGAACCATAAAAATTACTTTTCCATGCAAAGCACTGAAATATGATGCCAGGACACTACCCCAAATATGTTTTTTCTATAGAGTTTCTATAAAAAGCAAGCTCGAACCAAAACCAGAGGACAAGGACAGAGAAGAATGTGATGTCAGACTCAAGAAGTCCTTGGGGTCATTTCAGTCCCCTGAACCTTTTTGTTGAAAGTTTATCTAAATTGACATGTTTTTCTGCATTTCAGTGGTATAAAATTGTGCGTTATGGATTTTATATATTTATTAATGAATATGTATCTGACTCAGGCAGCCTATTACTTCTAAGATACATATTGAGAATTGAAGCGCTCCCCTGGGCCGACGACTTTGTTGGTGATGGTGAGATCGTTTAACGAAAGCCAGGGCGACTGGCTTCGACGAAATCCATTCTCTAACTGCCTTTTTTGCTCCAGCTTGCTCTCTCTACCCATCTGACCTTGTTTTTTAGAGCCAAACGACAATCCCTCGCAGTCACTATTCGGCATTCAACGCTACACATTACTTGATTTTCTTGAGGACCTCATTTTTGCCAATTTCGCAACTTGAACAATTTCGAAAAACATCTTTTACGTGAATATATCACCCCATGGGGAAAGGGGTAATATTTGCCCCTTTCCCATAACATTTCACTCCAAATCACAAAACTTTGTGCCTCCAAAAATGACTAAAATATTGAGCTCGCAAAGATAAAGTTCTTTACAGTATCCAACAATATAACAAGGTCTGCACCCTCATCGTTATCATACATGACTGAGGAAAAAAAAAGTGGGGGAAGCGCCAAACAGTGAATTCTCCACAGGTGGTTTTTGCACAAAATCAAAGTTCAATCACTGGCCACAAACAATTTTTCTCAATAGTTACGCCCTCATAGTTGCGTTCCTCTAATACTATTACAGGCACCCATAAATAACTTGTCACTACAGTAACTGAAAAAAGTTTCCAACAGGTGCGTTTAATGTCCTATACTGCACGAGCATACAAAGTGGTACGAAAGCGGCAACAAATTACAACCCAGGAGGCAGTGGCAGGGTCCGCCAGTAGTCGCAATTCTCGCTGTTGGTCTCAAAAGTGCGAGCAAAGAAGGCGAAGCTACGAACGGGTCGCCACTGTCACAGCCTTTCAACTCCTGGCTGCCGGAGTCTCCGTCGACTGACCCTACAGCAAAACAGACGTCCACCATAACTGCCGCTTCACCCCTGCTTAAATCACAGTCAGCAACTAAACGCGACATCACGAGGCGGAAATTGAAAAGCCAAAAACGAGGATTGAAAAGCCAAAAACAAGGACACGACGAACACGTGAGGCGGCATCACGAGGCGAATATCGGGAAACCAGAAATAAAGGCGCAATGAACGCCACGATTGAAGATGCGCCGGTATTGTGGGCGCTCGCGAAAGAGCCACTCACAGATGCATCCGTCGGCCGAATAGCGCCAGTAGCCCGGCTCGCAGACGTCGCAGCGCGGCCCTCCGGCCCCCGGCTGGCAGGGGCACTGTCCCGTCTCCAGGTCACACTGCTTGGACCGAGAGGCCAGGCTGCAGTCGCACGAGCGGCAGCCTCGGCACTCCGAGAACCCCCAGTGGTTGGGCTGCACGGCCAGACACACGCCCACTCACTCACCGCAAGCCCAAGGGCGGTTTGTCCGCCCAAAATGTTGAGCATCCTTAAAACGCGGGCCAAGAAGAACACGCCGGTACTTTAGAACTTCTAGGCAAAACAGCAATGAGGAAAGAGCCACTGGGAACAAAACCAGCAGCATGAGCTTCGACCATTTCAACTGGCTGACATCCTTCCTTCACTGCAGAAATGACACGCAAAAGTTTACTGCCGATTAAAATAACGACCAGAAGTCCTTTCATCTGGTGCCGAAACCCAGAAATGAGGTGCAATAGAAAGAACCCGGTCGGTCAACTCGAGAGCATCTTCAGCAGCCAACAAAGGCCTAAAATACGTCCCATCAAGCCACGACTGACCATTCTTAAAGCACTTAAACAGAAACTTTTCAGCTCTCAACAAATGTTACATAAAAAACTTTCAGCCTTTCCACTCTGGTGAAGAAGGAAGACCAGCAAAGCTGTACTATGGTCAGACGACCTCAAGGACAACTTCTTGGACGACTTCTTAGACGACGCCTACAGAAATTCAGCCTTTCCACTCTGGTGAAAACCAAAGTAAAAAGGCTGGAAACGTTGCCGCCATCTATGAGCGGCGGTAGCAACCAGACAACCGGCAAGCCAGTTGTCTAGTTGCCACCGTCACTCACAGATGGCGGTAGCTGTCCAGAGTTTCGTGTCATCATTTGTTTGCTGACGAACACGATGCTGGGGAAACTAGCCCTTAACAGCTCCGCTGTAAAAAGAAAGTAGTTTTTTGAAGCACATTTTTTTTAACACATGCAGTTCGACGAGATAAATCTTTTGGCGCTTGAATTTTTTAAAATGGTCCACAAACAGAGAGGTTATGGTCATAAGATGAGAAGCTGATAAGCTCGAAAATTACTCCACTAGGGAAAGCACTCCGACACGAGTATGCCACGGCACCAATACATATGCTCGTTGACGATGACACAAGACATCTGTTTCTCATTTGCATCATACCGATTCCATGGGTTTACTCTAGGCACGAGGGGATTTTGAGTTCAAAGCGAATTTGATGCGGATAATGATTTTGGCCGAATATTTTCTAATCGAATATGGAAGAGTTTCTCTGAGCCTTTCACTACTGCACCATGCTTAAACAAAAATCCTGCTGAACTCATAAGGGTGTTCCCAAGCTTTTACTTAGAAGTCCATTTCTAAGCTAAATTCATATATAACTATATTTATGGACTGCGGCCTCAGAAAGTTTAATGCCTAAGGTTTTAAACTTTTAGAGATACCCCGATATACCTACCGTAGAATACTGTGCATCCACCCATTCCGCACTAAGCGCCTACCCTCAAAATTTAAAATATCTGAAAAAATATGCACAGGACATATATATAAGGGTGGTTCAAGTGACCAGGCTCGACCTAAAATGGGCCATATAAATCAACGCCTGCATGTAGCCATGTAAACTTTTCGTCAAAGGTGTATGTGTTTCACAGGTCGGTTTTTTCTTGTAAAATTACAAAGTGTAGTTCTCTTTTAGTAAAAAAATTGGGCCAAGAAACCTGCCAGGGTCTATGGCGGACGGCGACCCAGACGACCAAGTCCAGTAGCATGGTGTGTTTTGCGTTCGTATTGATAGATGGCGTCGGAGAGCAGCGCCTAAAGGTGCAGCCGACCAGCGAAAGATAGCAGACGAAATCCGTTGGCAGAAAAAGCGCCACCGTTATGCAGACGCGTTTCTTTACTTAAGTTTTGCTTTTATTGTTTGCATTTATTTTTTAACCGAAGGTACACTTCAAAAAGATTATATTCATTTTAATAAACCACGGTGGTCGCGAGCCGTCGCAATCAGGAGGGAGCGCCATCTATCAATACGAATGTCAAACACACCCCGCTACCGGAACTCTGTCATCTGCGTTGCTGCCTGCCTTAGACCCTGGCAAGGTTCTTGGCCTTAATTTTTACAGAAAGAGAGCTACGCTTTTGTAATTTTACAAGAAAAAACCGACCTGTGAAATACACCTTTGACGAAAAGTTTACATGGCTACGTGCAGGAGTCGATTTTTACGGTCCATTTTAGATCAAGCCTGGTGACTTGAACCACCCTACATGTAAAATTGATGACATCACATGCGCCCATCCCCTATTTTTTCGCGATTATCTCCAAATTTTGAGTACCTGCTTGATCGGTATTTTACGGTAATCGAGGGGATTTATACTACATCTTTGTGCATAAAAAAAATCTTTTCTTCAATCTCGTATTTTATGTACAACGAAAAGGCAGTCACTAATGATAAACGCAGGTTGCCCTCTAATATATGCTCCTGCATAATAAGCACAGTCTAATTCTTTTCATTTTACCGCTACATAGATGATAACGTTCACAAAGCTCACGCAACTCCAATATTTACTTTTCCAAGCGCTGATCGCGGCAGCATAGTCCCATTGAGCAGGTTTCTTACCAAGCACCGGTACGCTCCGGAGAAACAGCACCCACGGAGCTACCTTCTGCGGGTGCTGCTTCTCCACGGAGCACCAGTGCTCGGCAAGAAGCACAGTACTCGGGATTGACCCGCCGTCATCAACACTGAAGAAATATTAATATCACAGTCACCTGGAAGCAAATATTGAATAGTGTATTAATCGAAACTATTATTTGAAAATTTCTACAATCCTAGTCACTCCCAAGCTGTTTTTCCATCAAAAGATAAAATGTTATTTGTATGCTTCCAATGAAACTACAGTTTTCACTCGGCCAAATGGGAGGCCACCACGAGACAGCGTATACCACTCATACTGCCAGAGGGTGCAGGATGACACAGCGATATTGCGGTGATGAGCGGTCAACTACGGCAGCTTACTGCGCAACGGTCGCAGAGGCTCCCTTCCACGTTGGAGTGGCAGTTGCAGGTGCCCTGGAGGGGATTGCAGGAGTGCATGCCGCACTGGTTGCAGGAGCACTCTGCGAGAGAAAGCACGCAGGCTCCCGTTACACTGCCGGCAATGGATGCAGCTGCTTCAAAGCTACGGGGCCCTCTTACACAATAAACGATCGAGTGCAATGTTGCGAGTAAATGCCTGCGTATGTAATCCCTTTACAACATTTCATGTTACAATGTACCACAATGGGCGTTACGATGTACTGCAACAGACATTTCGAGCAACCTAGTTTCTAAGATAAAAGAACCCCAACGCAGGTTCTTTCTTTTTAAATGGTGATACCTCTAAAAATTACCCCCTGCGTCATGAGTCCCGCAACTTCTCACCCAATGATGATGCCACTATTACAGAACACTTTGTAAGATACTAAACCTGCAAATACGCTATCCTTTACAATATCTGCACAGTAACAGTGCACAAAGGTTTCATTCTCACACCCTAGCGAATGGAAGCATCTTAATTTAAGATGTTTCCATTCCCTAGTTGGACTGTCAGTTGGAGCAGGCAGGCGCTTACTGCGACAGTCCTTGACCGAGATGGCGTCGCCGTAGAATCCCGGAGCGCACAGTTCGCAGGCGGGTCCGGACGTGTTGTTGAGGCACAGCACGCACTCCCCCGTCACCGAGTCACAAGAGGCCGGGTTGGCCGGGTCAATGTTGCCGCTGCACTCGCACGGCTTGCAGCTGCTGCCAATCACGTCGGGCTCGCCAAAGTAGCCCGCATCACAGCTGCATGGAAGACCGTTTTTTTCATTTAGCCAAAACTCTGTGAGCCTGCTTTGTGACTGTGCAACAAAGAGCGTGCATGCATGAAAGAAAAATAATTAAGGCTCAAAAAATGCACATATCCAGGAGAAACTGAATCTCTCGTGAAACTCTCGGTAAAATGCCTATAGACCAACATCAGGGTGTTTACAAACAAGTCCGTGTTTGCCAACGCCATGTGTGAGCACTGCGTGTGCACAGAAACCAGATTCACGCATAAAGTATCTGCGCCCGTAGCAGCGTCATGGCAGTGGTGCGACGTCAGTCGTGCGTCTATGCATGGGACTCGTATGTCAAAAGACCAAATACGTGCAGAATGATACATTGATAGACCGAAGCAGCCAATGAGCCTATGCCAATAGAAGGTATCAACAGACCAATAGGTCATCAGTTTTGTCCATCCAAAGTTTTGCTCGAGTTTGCAGTTGTTCCAACACACTCCGAGATGCCTCGGCCCATTAACAGGTTAAAACAAGACAGGTCGAGCTTACACGTCGCAGCGAGGTCCGTAGTAGCCCTTCTTACAGTTGCAGCTAATCTCTTGTCCGCTCGGAGACACTTCGCAGCTGTCGGCGAAGCTGGAAAAGAAATAAAAAGAAGCGGGTGTCAAGCAGTCGTCTTCGATTTCCTGTCACTGGAACTCACTTGTTGGAGGGCAACGGGATCGGGCAGGCACAGATGAGGCAGTCGTCGTGGTTCCCCCTGGTGGCATCCCCGTGGTAACCGGGTAGGCACTGCTCGCAGTGGTCGCCAAAGGTGTTGTCTTGGCAGCTCTGAAAAGACAGCAACCAGCTGCGTCAGCATCTTGTGGCAAACTCGAGTTCTGTCAAACCGCACGAGCTAGAGGAGGGACTCACGTGGCACTTCCCCGTGACAACGTCGCACGTGTCGGCATGGCCGTTGCACTGGCAGGGCACGCAGAAGCCGAGGTAAGGGCCAGTTGCAGACCGGTAGTAGCCAGCGGCGCACTCCTGGAAGAGGGTAGTCAAGCCGGGTAAACGCAAGACTACTCTAAAGGACTATTTTTAACAATTTCCGGTTCAGGAGGTATTGGTATGGAAATATACTAGCATGTGCTCAAGCGAATATGGGCACCGTCGAGCGAAGACGCTAGATCCTGTTGGCTCCATTGAGCTGCAGTGAGCTGGACTGAGTTCCCCCAGTGTCCCTTTTGTGAACAGTGTGGCTTTTCTTTTACCCCAAGTTAGTTAAAAAAATGCTTCTTCTTCCAAGCTTCGAAAGCTTCAGAACTTCAAAGCAACTCTTACCTCGCAGGAGGTGCCCTTGTAGTTGGGCGGACAGTGGCACTGTTCTACAGTCAGAGCTTGTGCAGCATTCGGGACATACGATGTCAGTGCCGTGTCCAAGGCAACATTGCTCAGCCTGCAGATGGAAGGGAAACCAAAGATCATGAAAAATAATACCACAAAACAAATACAGATCATGGAACACAGAAAACAAATATAGACAATGTCAAATAAAATACAGCAAACGAACTGTAGATAATACAAAATAAAATGCAGAAAGAAACTCTGGATAAGAATATAGGAAGCATAATATAATTAGTAAAAAATACAATAAAGCCAACAAAAAGACAGACAAATATGAAAGAGGACTAAATGACAACAGGTAGGAACCACTCCTGACTGAAAACGTACCTGACGTCAAGACTGGGCTGGAAGTAGGAGCCTCGTATGTACAGCCCATCCAGGTTCACCAAAGCCATCATCAGTTGCTCCCGGGTCACCTTCCTGCCACTCAGCTGACGGAACTCGCCCTGCAGGCAAAGAAGCCCACTCTCAGCACCCACTTGAGACAGTGCAGCAGTTTGCGCCACACTCGATAGGTGGCGCTTGCCGCCACCCGGTCAGAAGTGTTCAACTGTGCGCTCTCTCATCCATCCAGTCATGCTCCCTACTTGCAGTGACAAAAAAACTTGGGGGACGCTTAAGCTTCATCTTTAAGAGTGAAACGCGACAGTGTTATCGGGTCCCGTTCGCAAAGCCTTCTCATATAAACGCTTGCTCATTGCCAAGCTGTGCACGCGTGTGTATGTGATCTAGGCGGTAGAGTCACGTGTCACGTGATGTCACACGTGGCTGTGACATCATGACCGTATCTACCAGCCAAATATGGCGGGAAAATTTTCCGCTGAATTTGGCGAGAAAATTTTCCGCTAAATTGGGTGGAAAAATTTTACCGCCATATTTAGAGGGTAAATCTCATAATGCAACAGGCGCAGCCATGTGTGACGTCATGTATGACACACGTGGCTGTGCGCGTTACATTATGAAATTTTTTGGTGACACCAACACCGGATTTGTCATGGCACAAGCTCGTAAACGCCATCACGTTAATATGGTGCCTGTAACGCATATTCAACCGGCCTGTATGGCGTCCCGTAGTGCCCATAGATGAAAGTGGTCCCAAGGTGGCAACAAATTGTGTGACACAAGCCGGCGCGTCATGCCATTGGATGTTGCAATCCTGGAGGTTGGTCCCAGAAGCTCTGACAAAAAAGAAGACGAGGCGATGGCAAGCGTCACCGTCATAGCGGCATTTCAACGTGTGGCTGCTCAAGTTTCCGGGCACTGTCAAGCTCGAGAGCAACCTACAGCAGGGCAGGCATCTGCTGTGTCTGGCTCCACTGCTGTCGTTGTCATGGCAGACAACGACGAGACACTTAAAAACTTAAAGGAAGATCCGTCGGATCCTGGGGAATGCGTTAGCATGACCCTTGGGAAATGCCACACACGTTTCCCTTCGAGAAATGCTATTGCTGACCCCTTAATTTTTTTCTTTTGGCTTTTTCTTTTGTTTTTTCTTAGTTTTTGCTGCCTCTTGGCTTTGTACGGGGTCAGTGTGAGCGTTTCCCAAAGGGAAACACCACCTGTGTGGTGTTTCCCAAGGGTCATGCCAACGCATTCCCTAAGGATCCACCAATGGGTCTCCCTTTTAATTATTTTCAGCTTCCACTGCACGCAGACCTGTGTTGGCTTGCCGCCTCTTGCGCCGCATTTCGGACAGCCGACCTGGGCGCTACTTCTGCTCCTTTGCCTCGTTCTTGCCCGCCTTGCATGCTTAGCAGCGGCACCAGTTGCCTGACGCTGCTCCCGCTCTTCGCCGGTTTCCTTCACGCGCATTGGCTTACGCACCGTGACGTCACCTCCTTCTCACCTTGCCCCGCCGCGTGTGCATTGGCTTCTGACCGTGACGTCAACTCTCTTTCACCTTTGTTCTTCCCTGCTCTCCTCCTCTCTATGTGGTGTGCTTCCCTTTTGCTCCATTTTGTCCACAGACAAATGGTGTCAGCTTTTTGCTGTCAGGTAGGCAGTAATGCTAATGCATTAATAATGTCATCAGGCCAAAATCAAGGGACCACGCTTGAGGATACGGTAAACGAACCAGTCAGTCATGCACGAAGGAAGGCCACTTGTGTTTTCAGATAAACCTCAGATGAGAGTGAGCCTTGTCTAGTCCCACTTGCCTCGGTCCTTACGCTATTTCGGCGCCGTTTTCCTTAGCAGTCGGAGGCATCTAAGGCTCCGCAGAACGATACCTCAAACGCATCTTTGCATTTGACAGCACGGCACTTTTGCGTTGTCGTCGGGCGGACATCGAAAGACCACTTCTTAGGACGCGGTAACCCCATCGGTCGGAAACGCGTTCCATGCGCAGCGACCGTGGCGAAAGGGCCTCACCTCGACCAATCGTAGGTGGACTTCCAGGGGGACACCGGCGGCGGGTTGCTCCACGTGTTCGTGCACCAGGGTCAGGTTGTTGCCCTGCGTAGAGGTCGTTCGCGTCCAGCAACGGATGAGGCAACTGTTTGAGTGCCGCTTACCCTGAGGACCACGTCGGGTCCAATCACGCTTCCAAAGTCCACCAGGTTGTCCGCGGTGGCCACAAGGCTGTAGGCCAGCGTCCCTCCGTACGAGGTCACCTGGGAGGGAGGCACGCGTCAGCGAGGAGCACCAACGAGTCGGCGAGGAAACGCAGTTGGGCGGATCGCCGATGCCATTCGTGCGCAACATCAATTGATCACGATTGACCCTCAAGAAACGGAGCGCTTTAGAATCTTTGATAGAACCTTGAGGGGGCAAAAAACAGATAAAAGATGGATCCCCTCATCTGCAAAAGATCCTACATTCTCCTTCTTTCTTATTCTTTGCCTCTTCCAATTAAAATATTGCGACAATTTTTGAATACTTTCAAACCAACATGAGCGGTCGTTTGCACTTCCAAGCGCCTTGGTAGGAATTCATACCGGGAGCGAATCATAAAGCAAAAAAGTCAACAGCCAAACAAAGTACTAGTGATTACAACATCTGACTGCAATTACGATCTACAGACGGTCAAACGTTTGAATGTCAAACCTCTCGGCTCAAATAACTCCGTTGGCTTTGATTATGCTGCAGTAATGCTGTCTCCCAAGGCACCAAAACGCCGTTCTAGCAACAATCGGTAAAAGCCATAGAGTTAATAGAGGAGTCAAGACGAAAAGGTGCTACGCATTCCGGCCACTTCGAAATGGCAGGGCATAGACGCAGACATCAGTGGTACCGACGGACCCGTATCGCTGCCAAAGCGGGAAAATATCACCTGTAAAGTCTGTACCTCAATCTTTTTTAGCCTACTTTGCAGGAAAACGTCGGCATTGCACACTGTATAAAAATGAATAACTTTAACTTCGACTCACTGCGGCAAAACAAACACACCTAACCTACCATCTTTCTTCTTCGTCTGCTGCTATGTTACTTCTCTCTCTTTCATTATATCTTTCGGGACCACCAATGTCAGTGCTCCTCCTCCCTCCCTCCCTCCCTCCCTCCCTCCCTCCCTCCCTCCCTCCCTCCCTCCCTCCCTCCCCCCCCTCCCCCCCCCCCCAGTATCAATTCCAGGAGAGGCACCTTGTTGCCCAGATAGGGGGAGGGTGCGGCCAGGTAGAAGTGGGAGCCCACGGGCAGGTCCGAAGGGGCCGTGGCCTGCACCGAGCTGGGGGAAGAGGACACGCCCCCGTCCAGCTCTTCCAGGGTGAGCTCACCCACCACACCCAACACAACGGGCGACCAGCCGTCCATCTCCAGAACCTGCGGGGCCAACCAGTTGTGCGGGCATCTGTCATTGTTGCAAAACAAACCCTCCACAAGCAAACCCAAGCAAGTTTACATTAGGCTCGGTCGGTCGTCCGCAATTCACCCTTTTCTGAATTCCCAGTTTGAGTGCATTTCGGTGCGAGGTTGCGCGGGCGTGGGAAGAGCGAGCGCGGACATTCCATGGAACGCCGACGCCAGATCCAGTTGGCTCCACTAAGCTACGACAGCCAAGAGTGGGCGTTCGAAACATTGTTTTTACACCCATTGTGGCTTATTCCTGCCCCCCAGTTCGTACAAAAAAGCCTTTCCAATTACTGATTCTGGCCTTTCTTCCCTCGTGCTTCGTGTCGAGGAATTCTTGAGCCGATGCTTTTGCGGGTGTTGCTTCACCACAGTGCACCCGTGCTTGGTAAGAAGTGCACTCAAAAGGGATAACAAACTGCGACCGACACTTTGAAAAATATGAACGTCATAGTTCGTGTCGAAGTGAATATTGAGTAGAATATCATCTTAAACTACTATCAAAACTGCGACCGACACTTGTTTCTCTGAAGGTACCCCCTTAAATCACGACTCCTCTATTCTCAATGCCTCCCCCCCCAACCCCCTTAAAAATTAGACATTCATTTCAATTCCTGGGCAAACCCCTGAATACTCTTTTTGACCCTCGTTTCCACAGTGCCGCAGCTCTATGCCGCTGCGAGAGCATCTGGCTTCGTTTCGCTGCGCCATGTGTGCCCGTCTCCGACGCTCCGTCAGCATTAAAGCACTGCGGAGGTTACACTACCTTTGACAACGTGGCACAAAAGAGCCAACGCCGAGCTTGCACGTTTACCTTTACCCTGGTGAAAAATGCAGAGTCACTGGGTCGTGGACACACCCGTGGCATCTGACCTTCTGCGGAAGAGAGCCACTACGCGTGCTTAGAATGCAATCCATAGCCCAGTGGATGAAGATGACTGTGCACAAAAGGTGATAATTGGAAATGTCCAAAGTTCTCTCAATTGGGTTCCCCGAGCCCTCAAATTCCCTCGACCATCCCTGCCCCTAAGTAAAGTGCTTTTCCAGATTAAGCATAATGCTGACAGTTCTGAGCCATTCATTGATGAATAACTATGAGCCAGAAAGTCCCTAGTACGAGGTGTGATCAGAAAGTTCCGGGACTGACTTTGTAGCGTAAAAAGAGAGGGCAGCACAGTGATGCGCACTCAGCAGTCAAAGGAAGGGACCTTCAAGTCTCGTTATACCAAAGGGCGCCGCTCTGGGAACATTGGGAGCTGCGTTTCATGAGTTCTCGTGACCACGTGCACGGGCATAATGGCGCTTTTACCAAATACGATATAGCTTCGCCAATACTGGAAACTCCTCCGAAAACCCATAGGAGCGGCGGCGATCGTGACAGTGGCGCCTCTAGCGGACTCGGAGTCTACGGAAACAGTCGCCGCAATGGAAAAGTACAGGCTCCGCGACGTCCTCGAGCTTTACGAGCCCCGTTTCGTCACCCTAACAGCAGAAACAATTTATTACGGTCAGTCCGCTTGCAAAGCGGAATCCACTGATCGCAACTGCAACGACAATCGAATAACAACGCGCGCATAAACGAAGATAGAGCAGTTTATTTAGCGGTCTCAAACGCCTCCCAGGGGATCACACGCGTTTGAAACGCGTCTGGGAAGCGGAAAAAAGGCGTTTAGCTACTCGAACGACGTCGTAATCATTAAAACATGCAAAAACGACGTGTTAATATTACCAGAGCAAGCGCACGAGCGGCTAGAGCATAAAAACTAAACAAAAAGTAAGGATAAAAATGACCGTGCAAACACTTACCGAACTTTGCAGAAAAGACGGTGTAGCCATTCCCGATGAAAATAAAAAGAAACGGGAAAGAGAAGCGAACAACGGCGAATAAAACAAAGAAGCTAGCAAAAAACTATTTCAACGACGACGATCGTTGCGGCGCTTATAGAAAAAAAGAAAGAAAAATGGAAAGCAGCAAATGAATAGCTGGTGGTCGCCACCGGTGTTGAGTTAACAACAAACAAAACGGAAACAGACGAAACTAATAAAAAAAGAAGGAAGCGTCCCTTTTTTTTTCAGCTGCTTGTTGTACGTTTGTTTATCTGCTTTCGCGGCGTAGGTATGACCTAAAAACAAAGCAGGGGAAATAAATAACGTAGTGCAGATCACACTGCTCGGTAAAAAAGAGTCGCAGAAATGTTTTGGTCGCAGGCAGCAATCTTCTATATGTGCTAGCAGTGAGTAACCTTTTTTTGCTTTCGAATTTCTTTTTCCAGTGACTTTGGCGGGTTGTTCGTTCCGTCGCTTGACGAAGCAGTTTAAAAGTACATTCAAGTACCTGTTGACTTAGGTGTCCGTAGGTTGACGTAGGAAGCAGAAGAAAGATTTTCCACCACATCGCACAAACATGTTCTTGCAATGGTAGGCAGCACAAAGCATGCCTGCCATCTCTAAGTATGCTCTGGTGTATGCTCGAATGCGGCCGGTTGATCAACAAACGATGACCCGTAGCAGACGTGCCGGCCGGAGTACACAAATAAAATTCGAATAAAAATGGGTAACGAGCTTACACTTCTTAATATATTTAATAAATATCAAAAAGCACATATAACGATTTTGGATTAGAAACTCAATTGAAGGCGAAAATAGGAGGTTATCGGAGACGACAGTGAAAGAAAACAACAAGAACAGCAGCAAAGTTGCAGACGGCTCTCAAAATGCCCGGGCCTAGCGTAGCAGACGAACCGGGGGTAGTAAGCGCCAAAGCGAAGGAAAGGGAGTAAAAACTAAGCCAAACAAAGCAAGATACGTGATGGTTTACACGTCGGGTAAAAAAAAAGAGCGAAAAGAAAACAAAAAATATACACAGCAACATATAAGCAGGAGTAAGAAATAACGCGGCAGAGTGGCGTCGCCTCAAAAATATAAAAGAAAGAAGACTCAAAAATGGAAAGAGTGGAGACGGCCGGTTCAACGGGTGTCGGCCTTTATCGTAGAAGTAAAGAAGCAGCGAAGCAGAAGTTGTTGGTCGTCCCCGCGCTAACAATCGGAATTTGTGCACTGTAAATAACGTGACTGAAATCACCTTTTTTCGCGGGGCTACGACGCTCTCCCCTTCTTTCTTTGCAAGGGCTAGAAGTCTGCTTTTTTCGTAACTCCGCTTTTGTTAATCTATAATCGCGTCAGATTTGCATATGCACAACGACTTCTTTCGGAGCATACTGACATCGCCGTAACGTACGTGGTTCGAAATTGACTTCTGCTTCTTCATCCGGAGACGATCTTAACGGGATTAGCCAGCTCACCTGTTCGACGAAACGGTTATAAGCAAGTACATTCACGAGAAATGAGAATTGCAACAACAAAACGAATTGACTGGTAAGAACAATAAAGTTGAAACGAAGCTATGTTCTGAAATGTTTGTACATTGCCCTTTTTCACGAAACAGCGCGAAGGCATACATTCGTGTTTTGCTTGGCTTACATAAGTTGTGACAGAATGTTTTCTTCTGGAGAACTCCGAAATTGCACCCAGAAAGCTGTAACATCTTTCCCACGCGAAGAGAATGTCCTTCACTCATAAGCTGGCACCCATTTTTTAACTTTCAAAGCAGCGAATGTCCGTGACAAGTTTTTTTCGTTGCTCACCTCGCACGGAGATCGGCAAAACCAATGCATTTTGGAGAATTTGTCTGCTAGCGGACACTCCGAGCTCTCCAGGGGCGCTGCAATCACTTTTCGCCCGTTTTCTGCGGGAGTTGCCAGTATTGGCTTCCACGGTATTTGCTTTTACTATAGACTACAAACCAGAGCGAGAGCTAACATCAATTTTGCATCAAACTCGACAAATATAAAGCAGAGACCTTTGATATGATTCAGCAGGCTTGTGTAAAAAAGAAGTGAATTTTGCGAAGTTTTTTATTTTAAGTGGCACTCGCACTTCAGAAACGGCAGAACATCGCTGGAAGACGAAGAGCGGTAGGGCGACTTTATCCAACCTCTCCTTGACTTCGGTGACGTTCTGCCATTCTTGAGGCGCAAGTGCCACTCAAAACACCTCGCACACCTCACTTTTTTGTTACATAAGCCTTCTAAATCATTTTAGACGTCTGCTTTATGTTTGCTGAGCTTGACGTAAAATTGATGTTCGTTCTCGCATTGGTTTGAAGTGCGTGGAAAGATTGCCATCATGCTCGTGCATGTGGTCAAACAAACTAGTGTAGCGCAGCTCCAAATGCTCACAGAGCGCCGCCCTTTGGTATAATGAATGAAACACTAAGGTTCTTTACTTTGGCTGCTGCGCGCGCATCATGGTACCGCCCTCACTTTCTACGCTACAAAATCAGTCCCAGAACTTTTTGATCACCCCTCGTATGTATTGTTTACAAGGTCTGCAGGCATTTGCACTAATTTATTGCATCAATGCGGAGTCCGCTCTGCCGAAACTTTTCTACTCAGTGTGTACTAAAACAATGGTATCAAATTCCTTGAATGTTCCAGGTTTTCCCGACTATATTGTCGAAATTTCATGACCAACCACTAAGAGAACAGGACGTGTATGAAGTGTACTTTTTGTCTAAAAAAATTGTAGAGCCCTTCCACTTCAGGTGAAGATGGAGGACGAGTGAAGCTGTAATTTTTACGACATCTAGGACAATGACTAGAGGACGCCGTCTAGGGCGACCTCAAGGACGACCTCAAAGACAACGTCTAGGACAACCTCAAGGACGACTTCTAGGATGACCTCGAGGACAATGTCTAGAGGACGATGCCTAGGACGACCTCATAGATGACTTCTAGGACTACCTCAAGGACAATGTCTAGGACGACCCCAAGGACGACTTCTAGGATGACCTCGAGGACAATGCCTAGAAGACGACCTCTTAGACGACCTCAAGGATGACTTCTAGGATGACCTCGAGGATGACTTCTAGGACGACCTCGAGGACGACTTCTAGGACGACCTCAAGCACGACGTATAGGGCGATGTCAAGGACGACTTCCACGACGACCTCAAGGACGACGCCTAGCCTAACATAACCCATCCCAACCCATCCCAACACAAGCCTGCCTCCCAGAAACTGCAGGCTGCATGTACCCCCAGACGTGCGACCTCTAGGACGACCTCGAAGACGAAGGCCAGAGATGATAACATTAGATGATAACTATCTAATAATGCCAAGGAAGGCTGACTCACGCTGGTTGCGCCATCTTTTTATTTTTATTTATTTATACTTGCCACGACCAATGGAGAGTTTTCTGTCAACATCCGCGAACACGTTTTTTCTCAGATCCTAGCGCATAACACTTTCTCTGTAAAAACACTGGTATACTCAAGGGCCAACACCGGATCCCATTGCCCTGCCTGTCTATTCTTTCATATTTATTGCTCAATAAATGTCCCATTTTAAATAAAGCACACAGCTAACGTATTGGTGCAAGAACAAGGAGAGAAGTTTGTCTTGGTGCATGCGTTTCCAGACAAGGTAATTCGGGTTCTTCCAATACTCGTTTCCCAGCAGATGTCCGTTCGCACGCCGGCTGAGCCGCATCGCATGCAACGCGTGCCACACACACTCCACACACATCGTTTGCTGTCGCCCAGAGAAGGAAGAGACTGATTTTCCTGACCGGCGTCAACTCGAGCGAAAATTCCCCGACTTTTTCTCAACGTTTCCAGACTTGCCAATCTCCCTATAAATTTCCTCGTTTTCCCTGTTTTTCAGGCTGGTAGACACCCTGTAAGAGGGGTGCCTCAGCTTTCAGTCAAGCTAGACAGGGGTTCCTCGAAATCGACGAGTTTGAGAACCTCTGGTCTATAGAAATCCAAAACCCGCTCCCAAGGCCTTTTCTTCACGGCAGCCACACCCACCTGGCTGCGGAATATGAGTGCGCTGTTGCAGCGGTCCGTGGTGCCGAAGCAGAAGCACTTGGTGCAGCCCACAGGGTTGCTCTCCTCCAGGAAGAAGGTGCCCGGCTTGCAGACGTCGCACGAATCCCCTTCAACATTTTCCTGCATGAAAGAGCGGAGGTCGTAGCATCCCCTCATTTCACTTATTTCTGCTGGTTCACTCAAGACATGATCCTCCTTACAGGCCACCCATACGAGAGCTATCTTTCTACTGCTTGCAGCAGTACTTGCTAGACCAATCAGGTTGTTTGAGAAAGAGCGCACAACATGGTTGATTTGCAGCTGTGATTTACTAGAACACAGTGGACGCAGTAATTACGGAAGTATCACATGCTGAGACCCGAAAGATTGAGCACGGATTAAAAATAAGCCGCAGTTTGTTTCCCTCCTCTCAATCTTGATTTATCGTGTCAAATCTATATGAACTTTCACAGTATATCTTACTTCACTGTGATTACACGATAGACAGCTCATTGTGAAGGGCAATAAAATAGCTCCACCCTAATTTGGTCATCTATGAAATTGTGATTCCATAAACAGAGCTGCAACGAACGTCGACTTAAAACATTTGCGATATAATGTCATAGTGTCCTCCTCTTATCTTGATTTCATCAAAGGGCACATTATTTCTCGCAATTTAGCAAAGTAGATCCGCACAGCAAGTTTCAATTTAATGCCTTACCAGGAAGAGCACATATATCTTTAGAGCTCTTACCCAAGACGTTAATGTTCAACATAAGAAACAAATTTTTCACTCGATTTCCATCACCCATGCCCAGCTTACAACTTAGCCTTTGCATTCACAACCTTTCTCTGATAACAAAGTGTTTCCCACAACATGAGTGCACAAGTATGACTTCAAAGGCTGTTTCATCAGTTGGGCAAACACCTGTGCAGTGGTGCGGCCTTCTCAAACTTTAGCCCATGTACACACGTGTTCCTCTGCCCTGTTGCGGAAACATCCAAAGTAATCCAGATGCTAAGGAGACCTGGAAAAGTCATATATACGAAGAGATCTTCTAGACGGCGCAGTGGCCATGAGGCAGTGATCAACAGAAGCTGCCCACCTTGCAGAAGCATTCGGCCGTGTCCTGGTTGCAGATGTCCTCGACGGTTCCACGCAGGTCACAGTTGCAGAGGCGGCAGCGTGGGAAGTCCCAGTAACCCCACTTGCACTCGTCGCAAGTGCGTCCTACGATGCTCGTCTTGCACCTAAGGGGGGAGGCATCCTCATAACCACGGCAGTTGGAGTGCACTCGGGTTGCACTCAAGGTGCACTCGGGCTGCACTCGGGCAACTTACTTGCACTGGCCGCTCTGCAGGTCACACTGGAGGTTGTTCCCCTGCACACCCTGGGGGTGGCAGTTGCACTCCTGCAAGAGTGTACACAGCAACTCAGTCAAGGTCCCACCCAAAACAACATGCCTAGAGCAGCTGCGTGTCCTCGCTCAGAGTACAGAGGGACCCCATTGTGAAAACAAAATGGCAGAATATGTGTAAACTATGCCAATGGCTTTGTCATTTGTCCCAATAAAAAAATTTGATTGTCACAACAGTGACCCTGGCACAGCCATCGACGAACTGCCATATGTAACATCTGCTGCTCACCCTACCTCGGCGAGTGGCTCAGGCTCAGGTTTTTGTGCGTTGCATATTACTAACGCCAGTATTCTAGTAGCTTGTGATAGAAGCCCACCTTACCTCTGGTCGCATATAAAGGTGACTGAGCTCATTTGTGATGCAGCACTTGTTTATGAAATGAATGTAAATTTGTTAAGGTTGTGTAATCAATTGAGAAACTGTTTTCATGATCTGTACTTCATCTCAGCCTAAGATGGACCACAACAGATGCCATCAAGCCATCCCAGTCAATTCAGAACCAACTGGATGTCACAAGACCTTGAGTACCGCATATTGCTGCGCCTGTTGTGGAGTGTTGGGGTTTTCGAGGTTGGACAGTGTGTCAAGAGAGGACGATAAAGATTGGATTGATTTCTGCAGAGTCACCTTGTTGCAACAAGATCATACAGAGTAACTCTTGCCCTTTCGGAGGTGACTCTAGCACGTCCAGCAGAGTTACTTTGTCACAACAGTCACAGAGTGAATCCTACACCCTTTCAGAGACAACTCTAGCAAGTCCTGCGGAGTGACCTTGTTGCAACAGATTCATATTGAGTAACTCTCTTAACCTTTCAGAAGTGACTCTAGCAGGTCCTGCAGAGTGACTTTGTTGTAACAGTCATATTAAGTAACTCTCTTGACCTTTCAGAAGTGAGTCTAGCAGGTCCTGCGGAGTGACCTTGTTGCAAGTCATATCAACTTTATTGACCTTTCAGAAGTGACTCTAGCAAGTCCTGCAGAGTGACCTTGTTGTAAGAGAGTCATATTAAGTAACTCTAATAACCTTTCAGAGGTGACTCTAGCAGGTCCTGCAGAGTCACCTTGTTACACAGGGTCAAATTGAGTAACTCTCTTAGCCTTAAAAAGGTGACTTTAGCAGGTCCTGCAGAGTCACCTTATTCCAACAGTCATATTCAGTAACTCTCTTAACCTTTCAAAAGTGACTAGCAGGTCCTACAGATTGACCTTGTTGCAACAGAGTCAATTTGAGTGACTCTCCTAACCTCTCAGAAGTGACTCTAGCAGGTCGTGCAGAGTGACCTTGTTGCAACAGAGTCATTCAGAGTGACTCTCATGCACTTTGAAAGCAGGAGCACGGGGGGAAGTGAGGAAGGAGGCCCACCTCGCAACCCACGATGCGGGTATATCCGAAGGTGAGGGGCATGCAGGTGTCGCACTTGTCCCCCATCACTCGGGGCGGGCAGATGCACTGGCCCGTGATGGGGTGGCACACCGCCGTGTTGGGGCAGTCGCACGGCCGGCACGAAGGAAACCCGAAGTAGCCCGTGCGGCACTGCGAACACGTGCGGCCAATCACGTTCTCCTTGCAGGCGCACTGGCCCCCAAAGCGCTCGCACTCAAAGGACAGCGACCCGTCGATGTTGCACTGGCAGGGCAGGGCGCCGTTGTTGTATTCGGAGGTCAGCGAAAATACGGCCTCCTTGCACAGCTCTGCGGGTCAAGGGAGAGCCCAGTTTAATATTGCAAGCACCTACCCAAAATTTGCAGATAACCTCGAAAAACTGGGGGATGGACCGAGGGCAGAAATGCAGAAGAAATATGTAATAGGGCGAGTTTTACTTAGAGAAGCGGCTGACACGGATAACTACAGTCCCTGACAAAACGACAGAGAGGTCCTATAGTTGTCCTGTCTTCAGTGCAAACTTCCTACCTCTTAAAACACTTCAGCAGCTTGCAAGGTTCAAGCATGCACGTGCAGCTTGCACGTGCATGCTTGAACAGAGCATCTAAAGGAGATGCCCTGTTGTTCTTGTCTTGTCAATGGCTACAGGTGGGAGTAGGAGCGTGGGGTAAGCACTGGATATGTACATGGCAGTGCCCAGTTGTGGTACCCCTCATGGAAATTGCACAACAAAAGGGTAACCGAAGCAGAGTTTGATTCAGTGCAGTGGCGCTGGCGCAATAGGATATTTTCGTCTGCTAGTGGGCTTTCTTGAGAAACACAGCAAAGGTTAACGGAAATGCGCTTTTTACTAAAGCAAAACATGCAACAAAAAAAAATTTTCTTTTTGGAGACTATTTGGTATTTCAAGAAAAAGGTAAGTTCTTACAAAATTTGGTTGACAAAAAAAGTTATGCTTTTTGTATATGAAATTTATTCTTGATAAAATCACAAATAACTCGTCCTAATTGTGCATACAAAGATCTTAATTCACGCCGCAAAAAGTGAAATCAGTACCATCCCACGAGGAGCTCAATATCCACCGGAAATGCATCATGGACAGGGAAGTTAACTTTATTACGAAAACATTGTATAACTGCGTGTATGGGTTGTACCCGTGTAATGGCTGCTGCACCACCACCAAATTATTTTAAAAAATATTAAAAAACTGCACATGTATTAGGAGTGCCTCCCCCCCCCCCCCCCCCCCCTTTTTTTTTCGAGGCGCGCCAACCTCTTCCGCAGTGTGGTGCGCGCTTCGCATCTCCATCGTCTTTATCCCGCCATCTTTGTCCCCCTGCTCCAGCTTTTCACTGTGTTTTGAAGTGCAGATAAGAAAGATTACGAGAGTAAAGTTTCGAAAAGTTGTACTTTTTATGGTTTTTGTATCATCTGCGATCGCCTTCTGTCCATGTGACAATAGTTTCCGTGAAATTGGGCATGCAGATTTACGAACGTCGCCGTTAGGTTTCGTGAATGTTTCGTTCTGCTAAGTAGGTTTGTGCGGCCCCACAGCCTGAGAGCAGTGGGCAAGTATACTTTCGAACTGTCACTCAGGCCCTGGAGTGCAGCAGACGTGCAACGGGTCGCAAAGACGGAGTCCACCAGATCTGCCTAGAGCAATGGACAAAGCATGCAATCCGGGGCAGGCTCGCTGCTATGCTGCAACCATTCGACGTCGGCATAGAAACGTACGTCGAGGCAAAATTCTACTGAATAAATGGCCAACACGAACCCCGAAAATGCACATACTGACAAGTGGTAATTGTTGGGCGAGTTGATATTGTACGCGAGAAAACATGACTGTGCTTTAAGAGAAGGACAGAGGAAAAACAGACACTGTCCTTGTCTTAAAGTGTAATCATGTTTTCTCAGGCACTTGCTGAATGGCTGAAAAGAGCAGCTCTGGCCACAGCTGACATCAGTCAGACCTGAGCGCCGAGAATACTGCCGGTTTCAACGATAAAGGCCAAAATAAAGGCGCTCAAGACCGATGTATCCAATCACAACTACATTTGTTTTTTTATGCGCATCCAAAACCATTTTGTTTTCATCCGTGTAAGGCCGCACTTAAAAATTGGCCTCAAAATATTTTTTTAAAAAGAGTGGCCTTTACACACATTTATAAAATGAGTGAGCATTTTAAACCTGTTACGTATCTCTATTAACACACCAGACACCTAAACTGAGCGAAAAAACATTCTTTGAAAAATATATCATTGAAACAACAACCACCAATATTTTAAAAGCTGTTTGTTTTTTGTTACCGTGAGGAGCCGGCTAGTTCACGATTGCTTCCTAATACGATCGGTCTCTTACAGCAGACATGCAGGCACTCTCTTCCAGAAGAAAGTGTCTGCATATTCTGAATATTTTCCCGGTTCCTCAGACAAGAATGCTGGTCGTGCTACAGCCGTCCTTGGCCTCCTCACCGCTGGTGTTGGCTGTCATGTGGAAGCTGTTCTGTCCACACTGCTTGATGAAGTCCACCGCCTTGTCCAACGGCAAGGGCCCCAGCAGGGACTCGTCAAACTGGTCCTCTCGGATCAGCATCACGTGGTCCTGGGGTGGGGAAGGCGCACGGTCGGGGCAGGGGTTGCGCAAGGGGCAGAGAGGGTGCAAAAAACTGGTCCCTTTCCCGCACTACTGCAGCAAAGAGTGTGAGTGGTAACATAAAATATATTCCACGTTGCTTCAAGCTGTGCTTGGTATGCTTTTTCTACTTCAAAGGCACCAACACTGTCGTGTATGGAGTCTCTGAAAGAAAGTCCTGCCCAAGCTAGCGCTCCGGCGAGTGGAACACCAGGCCAGCATCTTTTGCGGTTGCACACCTGAGCTTTGACCCCACCATTTTGCACACCAGTTTCCTCCAAAGTATGTGCTCATTCATTCTTTTCCCTCACACCTAATGCACGCTCTTCCACTTTATGTGCGAGCACGCTCACTCAATGCCCCTTATATAAAGACACATTCACACTGTACCGTTTCACTAGGTTTGATTCTATCGCGAGGACTTGCATCGAGGTACGACTGCGAGTCACCGTGACATCTCTGTTTCGCACAGTGCTTAAAAACTAACCCGAGGACTAGATCAGACCGCAGCATGCGAAGCAGGGAAGTATACTTGCAACTCGAGAGCCGGTTCTCTAGAAACAAACCCTTAACAAAAAATGAAAGTCTCTTACAACCCCCTGTAACACCGAATTAGAGCGCAGCTCTTGAGGAGGAGGGAAGGGTACTGAGGGGAGTGTATACCGTTCCTCCCTCCTCCTCACCTCCTCATCCTGCCAGCTACTCCTTCCTCTGAAAGACGTCGCCGTCGGCGTAATTATGAGGTCACGTGACTCTTGTGAACTTACGGGGGTTACCTCACAGGGGTCACGTGACCTCTTGGGAGTCACGTGAGGTCACAAGGGTCATGTTATGTCACCGGGGTCACGTGACCTCACGGGGGTCAGGTGACCTCAGGGGGGTCACGTGACGTCACCCGGGTCACGTGATCTCATGGGGGTCATGTGATGCCGTCGAGGTCACGTGACCTCAAGGGGGTCACGTGATTTCGCGGTTATGCCAACGGCGACGCTGCTCAAGCCGGAAACGGGCACCTAACAGCTGCACTCCAAAACCGCGCAAAAAAGAGTACCGTCAAAGCTACGGTCGCGGAAAGCTTTCTGTGGCGATTCGGGAGAAGTGAAGAGTGCGCACGCACAGCTTTCATCGACACTCAAGGTGCGTGAGCACCCGGGCACCCGTAGCTTCGACCGCGTAGCCACAGAAAGTTGTCTGCCAGTATGGCACACGAGCGGAGTGACACGTGAAGTCGAGCCCGAAGTGTTCACATGCACCAGGCTTGGCAGGCTTTCTTTTGCACAGCCTTAGCTAAGACTCTGTTCCTTGCAACCGGGTCATATCCCTTGGGACGTGTGCCAAAATTTACTCGATACCGTCGCGTGCGCGGTCGGGAGGGAACACTTTTCCGTACTTCTAGAAGATTTGTGTTTACTCTTACCCCGAGTGTAAAAGATAAGGAAGCCAAAATTACTTTGCCGAGTCAGTCTCCCAAGTGTTCAATGCTCGAACATTCTAGTGTTCGAGCACCAAGTACACGGGAGACTGACTCTTATCCTATACTTATCTACTACTCCAGTGTAGAAGATATAAGGAGCCCAGCATGGCCTTGCCGACTCGCACACGCCACCTGTCACGTCGACACCAAGATGCTCGCTGCTGCAGCTTTCGATGCTCGCTGCTGCTTTATTGACACTCATTTTTTCTTTCGTTTCTGGCACAAGTTCTCCGATTAAACCTTTATTTTCAGTTTTACTCTGGTTGAGCCTTTCCCATCCACGACAATATTACTCCAGTGTCAAGGGTTTCTACCTTGGCATTAGAAAATCGGCCGATGTCCAGCTTTGCTACTTCTACGTTATCACGTGACATAACCTATAGAGGGGAAGTTAGATTCAATCGAGTAAGGTTGGGAACACAGTCGACATAACATAGTTAAATGCTGCCATGTGAATAGACCCTGGCAAGGCCATAGTGCTGGATTTTCTACATTATTAACCGGAGGTCAACGCAGGGCACAGAGTGGGCACAAGTGCTGCCTTAGCGTTTGGCTAAAACCCGCCTTCAATCAGTGAACACACGAGTCCCAGCCGAGCGCTGAGATAGCGGTCGTATCCAATATGTGCCCCATAAGGGTCTCCAGTAGGCAAGAGGAAATTCGGCACCACAGCCTCGCTGGCCCAGCTCGAGACTTTTTAAACTTTCCAACCTTGAGAGTCGACCCCTGTGTGCCGATAGGCAAGGAACCTCTCCTGCTCTTGGGACGAGGGGTTTCACGCAGTAGTTCAGAAGCCTGAAGACTTTGCAAACAATGATGCGCATCCCGAGGAGTGTTTGCACATACTTGCGCACCACAGGAATGCTGGGATCTACTCAAAAGGTGCTTACACTGGGAAAAAAAGTTTACTGAGGGCTAATAGGGAAGAAAGAGAGAGGGGAAAAGAGGGGGTACGCACCAGCCAGGCGGACTTGCGGCCCGGATCGCCGAGGGTGAGGGTGAAGTTGTCGAGGAGCGGGAAGGCGGGGGAACCGCCCTGCGCATTGGCGAGCACGGCCCGGCAGCCCGCCGCCCAGGGGCAGTGGGCCAGGGGCAGGCGGGCTTCCTGGTTGCTGTCCCCACTCTGCACCACTCCGTCCAGCTCAAAGGCAGGGTGGTCCGGCTGAAATTGCCCGGAAAAATTACGCTTTCTCACGCAAAACGCACCTGAACGAGAGGGCAAAGAGGCAAAGCCGTTTTGAGACGCTGATGCCACGAGAACGGCAGGGCGTCTCTCTCTGATGCGCACTCTCGTTTCCTTTTCCCATGGTTTGTCGTGCAATGATGACGAAGGTGATGATTTGGCTGTGCGTGCATGCTCGAGGCTCGGGAGATGCTGGAGGATTATTGAAGGCGGGCAGCCGAAGGACATCCCTGCTGTTCTCGTTTCGTCAGTTACTGCAGACAAGAATGACTTCTCTTATCTAGCGTCATCCTGGCGGATCCACGCAACGCTGCCTAGCTCGCGTCTGCGTCGCCACAAGTGTGCCTTGCAGCACCTCGCACAAAACAAGACAACGGTGCGAGGCGACGCCAAGGTCGGCACATCTGCCTCGTTGATCTTTGACGTGCGTGCCGCTTGTGGCGAGTCGGGAAGCCACTAACGAGGACGTAACATGTGGGCCTTGTTTTCCAAGTGCAAGATGTCAAGGCACTTCATTCTTTTACTACGGCGGTGCATAAGAAAAAAAAATGAAGTACAACAAAAACAACGAAGCCAGCGTGGAAGACTAGCCCTTTATAGTTTAGTGGATTCTTTCACTCCCTGCTACTGCACTTCCAAGTTCTCCCAACATTGTTCCTCTTCCTCATAAAATAATGCAGTATACATTCCGTTATATTTATTGATAAAGATGCGCCTCCGATAGTCTACTGCTTCTAAAATGCTGGGAGTTCTGCAATCATCATCACGCATGACCGACGAAGAGAGACAGGGGGCACTCCTATGCGGCAATTAGTTCTAGAGCTACATACCTCCTCAAAAGATTATGTCCAATTACTAAAAACACAGATTCCCAGGGTCACACTTCTTAAACGCTACTGCAAGTCCTCAAGTATAAATCAATTACATTCTTTTAATAAAATTTTGAAATTTGTTAGTACCGTATTTACTCGCAGAATGAACGCACTTTTTTTCCGAAAAATCGATGCAAAGTTAGGGGGGGGCGTTCATTACGCGAAGTAAAATTTCTGCTTCCGTATTTACTCGCATAATGAACGGACCTTTTATCCTAAAAAAATCGAAGTAACTTCTTATCTCTTTGCGCGCGGCGCCCGACACCGTAACCAAACCAAGCTGTGAAAAAAAAAAGAACTTTCTTTTATGTCTTGGGTGTTTTTTTTTGTTTTTTTTTTGCCGCCTTTCGCAAGCTTTTTTGTTTGCTTAGGCGTTGCTTAGGCGAGGGCTCTCCGCTTATCTTTTTTATCTCCTTGCGCGGGGCGCGTGACCCCCCTTACCAAACTGCGCTGTGCAAAAAAAAAAAAAGAAAAAAGGTTCTCTTTCTTTTGTTTTTTTCTCAGTTCCGTGGGTCTTTTTTTTTTTTGCCGCCTTTCGCAAGCTGTTTTATTTGCTTAGAGGGCTTCTCCACTCCTCTTTCTTGCCTCCTTGCGCGCGGCGCGCGACCCCCCGTAACGAAACTGCGCTATGCAAAAAAAAGAAAAAAAGCTCCTTTTTGTTTTCTCTTAGTTCCGTGGCTTTTCTTTTCTTTTTGCCGCCTTTCGCAAGCTGTTTCGTTCGCTTAGAGCGCTTCTCCGCTTTTCTTTCTTACTTCCTTGCACGCGGCGGCGCACGAACCCAAAGTCCAGACTGCGCTGTGCAAAAAAAAAAAAAAGAAGAAAAAGCTCCTCTCCATGTTTTTTTTTCTTGCTTCCGTTGGATCTTTGCGAATTTTTTTAACGCCTTTCGCAAGGCGTTTCGTTCGCCCACGCTGCCCATGCATTCGCGACCTCGCTGCACCAGGATAGAAAAGTGCGTTCATTTCGCACGCATGGGGGGAGGGGGTCAAATGTTTGACGTCCGAGTTGGGGGTGCGTTTATTACGCGAGTGAAAAAAAAAGTCGAAATTTTGAGAGCCGACTTGGGGGGTGCGTTCATTACGCGAGTGCGTTCATTGTGCGAGTAAATACGGTACTCTCCCCACGTTTGCCTTTTTCTTCAACAAAAACAAAAATTGTTAATAGGTTATCCCTTACTCACTAGATGGTACAGTGTCCAGTGACATTCTGACTGCTTTATACATTCAGAAAACCTTCGCAGTGTGCCCTTCCATAGCCCTTTTTCTCTGCTCGCAAAAGGAGCAACGTGAAGAATTTCCATAAAGGCTACGCAGTTAGAGTGCCTCTGGGAAATGCCAACTTTTTCTTTTGTTACGATGTCTCTCGGCTTCTGAAGCCCCCTTGCGTCCCACCTGGTAGTAGTGCACCACCAGGACGTAGCGGCCCGGCTCAGATACGTTTCCCTCCACGTGCACGGAGGGGTTCCGTTCGTCCACCAGCACCAGCACCGTCGAGTTGTCCATCAGCGTCGGCGGAAGCTCCACTGCCGGTTCCGCGCCACTCTCAAACTCAACCTGCGCAACGGGCAACAGCTCTGTCGGTGGCGCCCAAAGGGCTCGGCACGGGCTCCAACATGCTGACCACATGACTACGTCACTCTGGCTACACGAAACAGGTAGGCAGAGCACTGCTTTTCATATCATATGCTGAAAAACAAAAATCCTACATATAGAGTAAGAAAGATGCAGGATGGAGTGGAATTTTTTAACTCGTGGAATTCTATGTTATAACGGAAGTAACTGATCTCAGAAATTTATCCGTCCATTCACCGGCACATACTGCAAGATAGGACATATCAGCACAACTGTAGCATGATGTAACATGATGTCACAGTGTCACATGACACTGCAGGTGACCCAACGTGGCATGACCACGTTGCACGACGTCATAATCTCGCACGACACTACAAGCTGACACGATGCTGCGGCATGCGTGACACAATGCCAGGTCACTTCGCCACATTGACCAACATGACAGTGCCACGTGAATATGTCACGTGGCATCATGGCGCTACGTGACACCACAACTTGATGCCATAGCATCATGTTTAATGCCCTCCAAACAAATTTGTATTGTAGTGCATTAGTAACAATTACCTAGTCTCCGGCCAAACACCTTCGGGCAAGGCGTCAGTTCACAAGTCGTGTGGTCACGTCACATGATCACAGATGTACGTCACGCGACGTCTCGAGATCACGAATGTCTGCGACATTCGAGACATCATGCAACATCTTTTGACTGCAAAGATGTACCCTCCACCCGTGAGATCCCACGAGGTGCATCAGTGATGGTACTGGCATAGCAGAAGCTACAAAAGCAAGCTCTGGTCCTTCGGCATTCATGCTAGGCATGTGCTGCCAAGCAGTGCAAACCTCACTTGAGGTTACATGTTTGTGCTTGCAGCGTCCACTTTGCTGACACATAAAGTGAAACGAACTGTGTAGTATAGTTTACCAGCACCCTCAAGCCACAGATTTCTACACAGAAAATACTATACCGAGTAATTTAAAGGGAAGCTACGGAGCTTCTTGGAAAAAATGAGTTAGAAGTGAATTCTAGTGTATTTTTACCCCGTGAACCCGAATACCCAAACCATTTTCTGCGTAAGTATTGTTAAACGCGAGAAAAACGCGAAAGACAGTCGCTGTCTGTGACGTCATCGACGGCTCTTTTGGCTGCCCAAGGCTAGGGAGGCGGGGCTTCAGTCCTATTTTAAAATTGCTCGTATGGCTCTCCGGCGCGTCGCATTGAAATCTAATTTTGATATCTGTTATTCTAAAGGCCAAATGAACGCAATTCAAGCGTTTTTTCTCAAATGTAGAAGTGCCCCATCTTCCCTTTAAGAAAAAAACACTTCACTGAACACCAGGTATGAAAAGAGTTCCAAAGTATCCAAATAAAAATAAACTAACAAAGTACCGTAGAGGGGAATGTACCTAGGCTAGTTGGCGATTAAATGATAAAACTGCTAAAGAGACAACCGACAAGTAAAATGGATGACAAACGCCATGGAGCACTCCGTGCTGTTTGTCGTCCTTTTAGTGATCTCATCCTATACCAACCAAGTACCTTGGAGGCGGGAGAGAAAGAGGGGAAGGGTGTGGGCTGGCACTCCCCGCCCGCCCTGCGGATGCACTCCTCCTGGGGCAGAAGGTAGTCCGTGTGCCACTGGTCCAAGGGCACGGCCACCAGGCGCTCCAGGGCAAGCTCCCCGGAAGGTACCGAGAGGTCCAGGGTGACCTGCAGGGGCTCTTCATTCCCACGCAGCTCCAGCTCCAACACGCGACCGGAGTGGTCCAGCACCACCTGCATGCAACCAAGGGGTGGCGTTTTGGAGCCTGCTCAATCGCTGTCCCTCTACCAAATATGGAGGCTCTCAGACTCCTTCGCATGATGACAAAATATCGCAGGATTCATCCACACCAAAAACTCATCCCCAACACATCACTACTGGCCTCACGAAATCACTCAGCATCAAATTATGAGCTCTTTGAAGAGAACAAAGTCACTCACCATCACATTACAAACTTTTCATCATGCAGAGTTAAAGAAATCACACACTATCATACCGTGAACCCTCCAAAGTTCACAAAGTCGCTCACCATCACACAAACTCTTCAGAGTTCACAAAGTCCCTCACCAACATATTATGACCTCTTTGGGGTTTACCAGTCGATCACCATCACTTCACGACCTCTTGAGAATCCTCAATGTCACCCACCATCACATCACAAACACATCATTCGCAAGACATTCTGTACTCCCGTCTTTGTCAGCACGATCAAGTTCGCGTAACTTAACTTTAAGAGCGTAACTTAACTTTAAGTGCCTAAATAGGACATGCATGTCAGGAACAAACTTTTTACCAGGCTGGCCATTAAAGACACCCTAAACTCGCAAGAACACTATTCAGAAATGCCTAGATTTGAGATACACCACAAAAATAGGAAACAGCACACAAAACAACGAGGATGGGAGAGACGAACACAGGGCAAGCACTGAACTTTTCTTCCATCCTAGTTGTTTTGTACATTGTTTCTTATTTTGCTTAAAGGGGTATAGAAACGAAATTTTAGGGCTCCTTTTATTGCTTAGGTGTATACCACGTCGCATCAGCACCTGGGAAACATTTCCTTTGTAAATGCAAGAAAAGTCATTTTAAAACTAATAAAACAATTTCCCACTTCCACCTGCTAATTGGGGGGCCGAAGCTTCCTTGGGGGATCGTGACGTGTTGCTCTGACCCTTCCTTTATGCTATTCCCTTAGAAACAAAATCCCTACCACTCGAGAACATTTTCTGGGTAAAAAACTCAACCGTCAAAGGGTTAATAACAAGGTACGTTATGTGCAAATTTTTTTGCACAGCGATGCTTTGCGGCAATATGCACCGAGCCACAGGGACGTAAGTACAGGTCCCCAGAGTCTCTGTTCCGTTCTCTCCTAAGGATATTTACTCATTTATTTTACTCTCGGGGCTCGTAGGCATTACAGTGGGGAACGGGGAATAAAAAAGCACATACATAGCGGGGCCCCCGAAAAAGTTTCAGGGTTTCATCGCAAAAATAAAGTATGCATCGCTGGATGCACAATCTCTGCCCAAATGTAGCGCTAGCGATTCGGACCAGACGCCAAGGTTCCAGAACTAACCATTGTCTTATGCCAAAGTTATAAGTGATTTTCTGAAACTTTCAATGGGAAAATGGGGAACATTCTCTGTAGTTTTGACCATTCGGGCCCATGCATTCGTGGGTGTTGTTGGCTACCACTTTACCATTGAAAGTTTCTAAAAAATTGCTGGAAACTTTTGTTTAATATCATGGTTCGTTCCGAAACTTTGTCATCTGGTTCAGACCACCCAGACCACATCTGGGTAGAAATTGAGTGTTTGACAATGTATACACTCCGTGCGACGCGACTGGCGCGCCGCTGCGCGGCCGGTACCGAAGGTAGGCAGCGAGAACCCCAGAGAAAACGAAACCGAAACCACGCCACGTACGTTGGTACGCATTGAAGTCGGAGTGGTGAGGTAGCGCTGGTTTCACAGCATGAAGCTGTGCTGCGTCATTAAGTGCTTCAATAGTTATGCGTCGTATCTCGTGGAGACAGTTTCACAGTTTTTCACCTCGCCGATGTTTTGTGGGACAGCGACAACGATGGAGCCGTGCCGTACGACGTGAGAAATCTGGTCTCCCGATCATGTCTGCCACTGTGTCGGCACGGCTGACATATTCTACACTGCCGCTTTGCGCTCTGCGTTTGTTTTTGTACCAGTAACGCCTACATGTGTCAGCGCCGATGGGACGAACCCACACTCGCAGGTATGCGGTTCCAATTTCGTTGGAGGAATGCCCTCCAAAGAAGTTTCGTCCCCATCGTACGTGTCGATGATATTTCCGGACAAGTATGGTACGCTATCTGTATCTCATGAAGAAAGATTCGAACGGTACAAAAAGTGACAAATATAAATCTAAAGGAAACAACAATAAAACTCTGAATCAGTGGAGAATCGACGTTTGAGTATGGAAGTTTATGTGGTGTGCTTTCCTTCTTGACCAGCCTCATTTTGGATGTGCAAACGCTGACACCCCGACTTCTGTAGACAACAAATTTTTTTTCTCGGCTTTAGAGCCACCTATCGCAAAGTGGTTCGAACTGGAAGTACCGTCCACTGGTCCCTTCCTACCTGTAAAGTGTGCACCTCCCACGATGAGTGGTATTACCTGACAGCCTTTGACGGTCAAAGCCAGTTCCCATTTAGTTACGCCGCCCAAACTAAATTTCCACCTGGTTTCGCTATGAAAACTCTTTTTGTTATAATAAGTGTTGTGCCAAGTGACGGTCATGTCAAAGTACCTGTGCACCGAAAATCAGCACCTCGCACAGCAGGTTATTACACAACAGCTGACCGCAAAAGCCCTTGGCGGCCAAACCGTGTGTTGGCCGACAACTTTGTTTTCTCGGCTTTGGAACCACCTTTCGTAAAGTTGTTTCAATTGGAAGTACAGTCCACTAGTCCCTTCCTACCTCTAAAGTCTCCACCTCCCCCGACCAGTCGTACTCTCTTCACAGCCTTTTCATGATCAAAAACCGGTTCCCTTTGAGTTACGCCGCCCAAACCAAATTTTCACCTAATTTCCCTATGCCACCTTTTTTTTTTTTTTTTTGTATAATAAGATCTGTGTTATGTTACTGTCAAGTCCAAGCACCTGTGTGCCCAAATCTGCACTTTGCACAGCCCGCTATAACACAACATTTAGGGACCAATATTAGATATCCCGTACAGCTTTATTTCTTTATTCGTTAAAAACATAACTTTCACACCTGCTGTCTTAAAGAAACTTGGCACTCTTCGTGCACAAACTTAGTGAACATCTCACTCGCCTCCAAATATCATCTTTGCAGCAGTCCTAGGTTTACAGTGACGAGCGAAATAAATTTCCCACTCGGATCAATTAAGGTGGCGGCCCTCTTTGTTTTTCGGAAAATTACTCCAACTTCTTTTTCGGCCGCAACTAGAGAAATTACCCCTAATTACGACTCAAACTCAATATATAAGAAGTGGAGAACAGCTAAATGCCCTTTTGCCCCAGCACTCATGCAACGTCACCCTCAACTTATCAGCTCAAAAAGCAAAAGTTTCGTCTGTGTGCGCTTCCGCCGCCACAGCTTGGCATGCGAAAAGGCGCCGCAGGCTGCTGAACGCGTCTCACAGTCGAACGCCAGCTCCTCCGCTAGCGGCCCTGCTTGCGTTTTTCAAAGCGCCCCCTATAGTTCCCGCACGGAGTGTATAGGTAATTTTCGTAACTAAAAAGAGTGTAAAGTTTTTTTCGGAGAGGCCTTGTACAATTTTTAAACAATAAGGAACTGATAGTTAGCAATAGCTGTACGACAAAAGTGTGTAGTCAACAACTGATACAAGTGATGCAGGCAAGTAATTGTAGTCATTCAATGTTGAAGGAATGAATTATGCACACGACATATTAGCCCTAAGAAAGGCCATCAACTCCGCAGGTTAGCCTCCAAACAAAGCAACCTGATGATGAAGCGTTTTATGCTAGGTTACACATCACATTCTTTTAGTATGACATGTGACCTGAGAGACAGGTGTTGTATTGGAACTTGTGTAACAGGCCAGTGCTAGAAATAAAACTGTGTAATCAATCGAACAAGATGAGAGGATGATCTCCCGGCGAAAGAACAGGCTGAAAGGGCACAAAATATCTAAACGAATCTCGCAAAAACGATGGCACCATTTTTACTCGGCACCAGAACCAAGCCATGGAATGGGTGGGATGGACACAACATCTGAGCAGTGTGCAGAGCGTGGCGGAAGCAAAGCAGCCCGTGCAGCGCACCTGTCGGCAGAGCAGGTTGTAGTTGCAGTGGTGGAAGTTTGCCCTGCCCGTGGCCAGCCGGTCGGCGCCCGACAGCACCAGGTCTGCGGCCACAGAGCCGTCATTGTCCAGCGAGTGGTAGAAGAAGACCAGGGCGTGCGGCCCGGCCCTGGGCACTCGCAGGTCCAGCCGCAGGGACCCGTGGTCTTCGTCCAGGTGAGCCATGGGCCCGCTGTGCAGCTCCTGGGGACGACCGCCACAATGATGGGGATCACGGGTCTTATGACGCAAAAAAGAACTGCTTTGTAGGCTATACTGTGTCCAAACTAGGTTATATTGCTGCGAACGGAACAGTGATGGAAGCATACACAGCTACAACACGGGATAACTGCGTATGTATATACATTTATATGCATTTTTATAAAAAGCCAAAAGGAAAGCATTGTTATCATTTTGATATAAGAAGCTAAGGATGTGTTCTCTTTTTCGTTAAATTTTTGTGCTCCATATAGCGTGCAAAAGCAGACGCTGACAGATGCTTATATACCGTTCCGATGTTTACAAAATCACAGCCGGCATGCTATCTTTTCCGCCGAGCACACGCTTATTCATTGATTCGGAAAGCGAGCAAAGCACCCACCATGCGCACGAATATTGAGCACTGCACCGGCTTTAAGCCCTTTGTTTACAAACTACTCGGCTATTGAACACCACACAGCTCAGCTCGCGATCTTCATGGCCTAGCATGTGCATGTTCGTTGCAACAGAAAGCGAGTAATGCATGCATAAGTACGAACATTGAAAACTGTACCGGTCAAAAGTCCTTCTCTGCCTACGATTGCAATTTGTACATGATCAAACGATAGTCATCATTTATCCACGTCTAAAGAATGGATTGCACGAAGCGAAGTTTAACAGCGAAATTCTCGCTGCTAAACTCCATCGCAACGCACTGCCTCCTATTTGTTGTCACCACACGAGCCCGGTACATGCAATCAAGGTGCCGGTTGTGCTGGCGACTCCATAACTTGTGACAGTACAGAGGTTGTCTGTAAATGAAGACAACCAGCGTATACAACCAATGCACAACGCAATCGACAAATGTGGCGTTCACGTGAAATAGGTGCATTCAAATGGTTGAAACGTGGTTCTAACTTCGGAGCCAGTTCTACATCACTGGCTCATGTTCCGCGAACAATATCTACAGCTCGCCTAAATCGACGGTCAACAACTTGTGTCCCAAGCCAACACTGAGCTGCATACCCAACTGGGAGCAGGTCGTTTGTTCCGGAAAAGTTTAGCACCATCTAGAAGGAAGAGACTACAAATAAATTGCCGGTAAATCCCTCTTAAGAAAGCATTGTTTTAGTACGAACTTCAATGCAAATTCAGCCCGCAGCGGTACTATAAAATTATATCATGGCTCAAATACTGGTCTAAAAAATGAAAAAAGTGGTAGATCACAAAAAAAAATAGCTGCATTTTTAAAATAGTAATTTCCAAAACTATGATATTTTAGGGAGTTTTTAGTGCCAAAGACCCATGTCTTCCCTTAAAGGGTAACTCGAATTAGTTGTCGAACTAAAATAAGTGACTGGTATCGATTCACGGAGACTAAATACGAGCACTGCCAAAATATTACACTAATAAGAAAGTGTGATCCACTCTAAAACCCATATTAAAGATGTTACCACCAGCTTATCCTCGGGCATTCGGCGAGTTGGCGTCGGGGCCCAAGAAACCTTGGGCCCCGTCGTCACGTCCGCACTCAAGCAGGTTACTTGTTCGTATTGCCACTTTCCTTACCATGCTTTTCTGCTTTGTTTTCAGCTGTCCCAGCCTAAGATTTCTGCTCGTTATGTTACGCTTTAGTGGTTGTTGATTGTAAGTGCTCCTCAGCGACCGTGCACAAAGATTCTCGACTCCCTGCTCGCTCAATCGGGTCGTGCTGCCGAAGTGCGAGGAGCCCAAGGGACTGGCATCGTTGCACAATGCCGAGCACTCCTTGCCAAGCTGTGGGTTGTGCAAACAACCTGCTGCGCAACCCAAGCTTGTGTTTTCACCGGTTCCTCAAAAACTCAGAGTTGAGGAGGGTGTGGGTCGACGCCGTTTGTCGAATCGATTCTGGAAGACCGTGGACACCGAAACCTTCACTGGCGGCCATAATCGAGTTCGTTCCTGTGTTTGTGCTTGGAATCAAACTTTAGTATTCAAAGAGGGAAGGAAATTACGGCAGCCGTACACCTATGCGCTAGATACCCTGGTTTCTTGTCCCCGCGTAGTGACTTCAAAATTCCTCTTCCGGGTGGTTAACCCGTCGAGAGCGATACCCACCTTGATCAGCAAACCGGCCCAGGGCCGGTAGATACATTGAGGTCTACCTACTTTCTACCTACTATTGACGCCTACCTACATTGTAAGCGTCATTTTAAGTGCTGCCACAAGGTTCTCAGACAAAGCACACGAGTTGGAGATATCCACAAGAAAGCTTTTCAAGCCACGGCCCGAGCCGAGCTCTCGTACCTCCAGGACGTCCGCGTCGTCGAGAATCCGCACGGGGGCACCCTGTCCGTCCGCTCCCTGGGCGGCGGCCACCGGCACGGCCGTGTCCGGCAGGGCCGGGTAGCGCAGTTGGCGGCAAGGGCCCGCCATGTTGCCCCCCCGCAGGCACGGGTGGCGCACCCGCTCCTGCAGCAGCGTCGCCTCGTAGAAGGCCTCGGGCAGCAGCACCATGTAGTCCTGGGAATGCGGGGCCACACTCACTCCCACGTTCCAGGGGGCCGACCCAGCGAATCAAATCAAAGTTGTAGGTTTTACGTGCCAAACCAATGAAGGGCATTCGGTACGCCTAAGCGTACTAAATAACCGAGGATCGAGTTCAACTGCCCGGGGACCTTTTTACACGCAACCGAAATGTTGGCTCCCAGCAATAAGCCTCCATCAAATTGCAGGGACCTCGGCCGAGATTCGGACCTGCCACTTGGGGATCCGTAGGCCGGTGCTTTGCCTCAAGACCACCAAGGCGGCAGGCCGACGCGCAGCCTTCCTCCCCGTGGGTATGGTGGCGGAACGTGTCTCCGACTGGTGTAATTACTGCATCCTCACACGTCCTCTCTCAATTTCTGACTGAGGACATCGCAGAAGTGGCGCGCCATCGCCTGCCGTGACCCCCGGCGGTGTCGCAGCCGTGGAGTTCTACAGCAAGTCGCACACGAGCTTGACAATCCACAGACGCTTGAGCAGCCAGGAGTTGGCATGCCACGACGACGACGCCACCCTCGCTCGCTTGCCTCTTTTTGCAAAACTTCTACGACCAACTGCCAGGATTGCAACGTCCGACAACGTGACATGCCAGCTCCCGCGACATACTCTGTAGCCACTTCGGGACCACTTCACTGCGTGGGAGGGACAGGATGCTAAGTACACCGGCCAAAGACGCGTCCCGGGCAGGCAGGGACCACGCATCCGCTACGTACCAGGAAGACGGGCCGGGGGGCCTTGATGGAAAGGGTCCATCGGCCGGGGTTCAGCACGAAGGGGAGGGCAGTGACCCCGTCCTGCCCCACCACCCCCTGGAAGCGGGGCTCTCGGCTCGGGGGCAGCACCAGCGTTTCCGTCTGCTTGCTCTCTGAAAGGGGTGCCACGTGGGAAGGTCGCTCATTCTAGAGGGCTGCAGGGGGTTCGCAGCACAGAGGTAATATAATAACCCAGAGGGAACGGTCCCGTGTATTCCGGCCACGCTCAAGGTCATTTCCACGGCCGAGCAGCAGGGAAGGAAACAAAACTACAAAAGTAAAAATACTCCCCGGTTCGCACAGTCTGAAAACTCAATGCTCGGTGTAAAGTGGCTAGCCCCATCACCATAGTGACAGTGTTTATGTCCGCCCATTTCGGCATCCATATCGCGCACATTCTCTCGCGCGGACTCGTGTCCGTCAATTTAAGATAAAAAAAAAAAAAAAGGAAAAAAAAACAAAAAAACTTTTAGGCTTTATTTAAATGAAAGGGCATCACGCTGGCGGAAAAAAATAACGGAGCAGCACTTCATGGCCTCGCAATCCCAGCCACCCGACGAGCTCGCAAAATGTTCTTTAAAAGACGACCCTGCCAGAGGCGACAGCCGCGCACTCGCGCATGCGCAGGAAGCGTGGCACTTGAAACGCTTTAGACCAAAGCAAGTATTAATTACCTCTGTGGACAGTGAAGAACCATCGTCGGACTACTGCACGGCATTTATTTTTGTGTTGGCGTGCGTTTCATAAAATCTGTTCTATGAGGTATCGGGTCAATCTTCATTATTTTACTTACACGGAAGAATTGGCAGCAATTTACCTTTTGATTTTTTGAAAGCTGAATCTGCCTGCACGTTAGAATTGGGGGCGCGTCAGAATCTTGCAAACAGTTCCTTTAAATAAAAAGCTGGCAGAGTGATATTACATATACCAACTACCGTATTTATTCAAATATAGGTCGACCTTTTTTTTTTCGGAAATGTTGTCAAAAATTAAGGGTCGACCTATAATCGTGACCAAAAAATTTCGACCTAATTCGCGACCAAAATTTGAAACCCTACAGAGGATACCTAGCCGGCGTGGCGGTAGAGCCGCGCGGCTTCTTATTTCAAAAAGCTTTTGATGCACAAAAACAACCGAACAGCAGCAGCCGACAGCCCGTGTCCACCGCCGGCTACGGCTCTCGCGCACATTGCCTCGGCGTCGGGTTTCGCCATCATGCCTGTAGCGTTCCCTTCGCTGGGCAAGGGGGAAGGGGAGAGAGAGGAACGCGATGCGCCATGCACTTTGCCCTCCTATGCGCTCCATTCCTCCCCTTCACAAACGCGCACGAAAAAAAAAAAAAAAAAAACCCGGAGGTACTTTAGTTTGTTTTTTTCGGCGGGTCGCGTGTTGCTCACGGGGCTCGCAGCGTTGCTCATGTCTTTGTATTTGGTCTTTCGTTGCTCGCCCGTCTCCACCTTCTTTCGTTTCTTCTTGTCGTCATTTTCCAACGGTGTCAGTGAGGTATTGTTGCCAATTTGTGAGGATGTCTACCAAGCTGACGAAGCTTCGGACGACGATATGTCCGGAAGTTCTGACGATGAATAAGTTTTTGACATCGCCCTGTGATTTAGCTGAGAGTGCTGTAAAGGTTTGTTTCTTTTGCCCTAACTTTCCCCTGTTCCTTAAAAAAAATAAGAAAAGAAAGGTCGACCTATATTTGAATTATTTTTTTTTATTCTCGGTGGGCTCAATAAATAGGGGTCGACCTATTTTCGTGGTCGACCTATTTTCGGGTAAATACGGTATATCATTTATGACGTTTTAAAGGTAAGTCCAGATATAACAAACTACTGATAAAACTACCACTTTTCACGGAACTGTCGCGTTCATTATAGGTGGGTTTGACTGTAATTGACAAGCACTCGAACAGCTCAAACTCTTTGTGGCAAAACGAACATGTCTAATTGATCGTCTGCTTTCCTTCTCCGCTTCTCTGTCGCTCTCTTTCTCGTTCTTTCTCTCTAAACTACCGATGAACGTGCTTATGATTTGCCATGCCTCGCTCCCATCTCCTTCCCCCCCCCCTTGCTCATAGTGACAGGAGCCTCCATGAACAAGTACTGGGAAAAATTTGGGTGCCAGTCCACAACTTTAGAAATAAAGTTTGGCGCCACCCGGAGGGAGATGAGATAGGGTTCAAGTATTTCCAGGATGAAACAATGCAACATCAGAAAGGAGAGGGAGGAAGCGTCTCAGAACAAACTTGGGGGCAAAAAGATGAGCCACAATAGGCATAAAAGGGACTTTGGGAGAGTGCAATGTAGATTACTGCAGCTCAATGGAGCCTGCAGGATCTAGCTTCCTTGGTTGAGGGAGTGCCTGCACTCAGCTGAGCATGTGCTCATATATTTTCATACCAGAATCTCCTGAAGTTTCCGAAAATAGTTTGTTTGACTCGTGAGGCTTGACAGTGTTCCTCCAAGAAACAGACAATTGTGGCGTCTGTTTTATAAATTTCTTTTATACCTGTTCCAACACTAAGACCATGTGGTGTCCTGTACAGTGAAATAAATAAGGTACCGCTATTAAAGTGCAGCATAATTTAAAGTGGGATCGACTGATTTATGGGCCGACATACGCACGAAATGCTAGGCGACAGCATTTCGTGATCAAAGGGTACGCTAATCGTTCATCTAGATAGTAAATTTAGCAGAAAAAACGAAGCGTTCCCAAATCTCTGATCAAGCTCGAGTACTGCAAAAGAATGCAGAAGAATGGCAACTAGCACTGGTAGCTTTGAGAGCAAAGGTTCTACTCTAACTAACTTCAAACATCTACTGTACCACTTTATATGCACAGCGAACATATATTCACTTTTTCTTGCATGAGTTGCAATGTGGTGGCGCCAGTGCGCAAATTAAACACTAGATGGCAAGTTTTGTAGCATTTGCAAGATTGTATTTACACACTATTTTCGGAAAAAGGTCTCTCATAGCATTGTAAGACGTAGTTCGCTCTTACGGTGAAAGAATGACGCATAAAAAATGAGAGAATATAGGCGAATTGGAAGTGTTCCAGAGCTACCCCATGGATGGCGCCACCGAGTTTGTTGCCAATGAGAAAAAGGGCGAACAGATGTACACTTGTTACATGCTACATATTAGCCGTGAGAAGGGTAGACTATTATCACCACCAACAGCCCTTTCGGCTATTTTGGAGTGTGACGCTCAAAATTTCTTCAAGGGGTGTTTCTGCCAATAAATCCAAAACATTGCAAGAGCTTGCCCGTTATCACTGTGAAAAGGCATTCGATCCTGCTGATGACACACCCTCACAATTGATCGATAGTCATCTCTAGTTGCTACAGAGAGTCCGCGTACTTTTCACGTCTGTCCAAACATAAAGCACTGCTAGTCTGCTGCATTTCAAGCAAATCCTGACTCTAGTGACTGACAACGTGAGGACAGCAGCGCTTTTCTTTCGAGCGCCCGGACTCTGGCACGCCCTAGTAGCCTTTCGCCCTGCTTTGGGAGCCTCGCGAAACGACAAAGCGTCGTAGAAGCTAAGAAGCTTGCGCTGGAGGCGGGGCAACCGAAACTCCTCCCCGTCGTCCTCATCCTGTCAGTTACCACGGTGAAGAAATTTCGCCGCAGTAAATGGATAGTTTTGGGTACAATCGAACGTGCAGCCTCAGAAAATGGTTCGTATAAGGACGCCGGTCGGGTAGCCCGTCCACGAGAAGCGGCACTGACCTCCGTACGTGTCCGGAGTGAAGCTGATGTTGCAGTAGACATTGTCGCCGTTGAGGCTCACGTAGCGCGCTATCACCTGGTACAGCCCAGGCTTCTGGATGTGCAGGTCAATCAGGATCTCCTTCTGCGGGTCAGGAAGGCATTGGCACGACAACAGTTAGGGAAAGGACTCTAGCGTTTCTTTTAATGAGCCAGAACAAACTGCGTAGTGCATGAGAACAACTGGGTTTCTCGATAAATGGATCACCCACTCGTTATAATTATAACGATAATAATCATCTTTATATTTCCAATCTTCTAAAAGCCTCCGGGTCATCTGGACCATGCACGGCACATTGCAAGACAAGTGAAGGTTGCTACCGTGACAATAAAACAAAAACCTTAGAAAGAAAACAGACAAATCAAAGAAGAAATGCATCTGGCAGTATAAGAAAGGACTGTGTGGGAGGATTGACAATGGGCCAAAAAGGTCGATAGAAGAAGACTCCTAACAATTATGCGGGTCTGGCGATAATTCATGATATACCTATAGGGAGTATTCACTGGACGCCACATTTGTGGGTGCTGTTTAGAGCGCATGCTCCGAACGAGCTCACATCAATAGGCTGCTAAGACCGGCACTCTTCATGGGCCGGAATGCACGTTGCAAAAGGACTGTGGAAGCTCGCAATCAGCACGCGCTCAGCAGCAGCGCACACGGATATAGCCACCAGTGAATACTCCCTATATGCTCAATAAATGATAGCATTAGAATTAGTCCCTGCATTATACTGTCAAGAATTGTGTCTTTGTATACTGATGTAGATGCCCTCTAAGCAGTGCAAATAGGGCAAGGTACGTGGAAAGCGATCTTAGTCTTGGGCAGGGTGTAAGATAGACAGGTGGGGAAACGGCCCATAGAAGCCTACCGCAGCGCCGTGACCGGATTGTGTACTTGTCTGCTTGCGGGTACCCCCGATTTGCGACAGATGGTGCTGCGGCGAGAGGAAAAAAAGTCGGAATCGGATTTGCGTGCAACTCTACGGGAGAGTGCGCAAAATAAACCGAGAGCACGACAGTCCCCCATTGAAAATCCACGAGAAACCATCTCCGTCAGTTTAGCTGGTCGCCACCGGTCGCCCACCCGGAGTGAGAGTTTGCGGTGCTCCACATAGATGGCGCCACAGAAAAAGAGAAAACCGAGGGGGACACAATCCGGTCGCTCATTTGACTCTCGTTTCCCCACCTGTCTACCTTACACCCTGGTCTTGGGCCCGTTCCATTTCAAGTATAGAGTAAGACTCAGTCAGACCCAACAAGCAAATGGACAGTTTCCTAGTTCTCAGAGATTCAAATACGGTACCAACTTCAGTGCTAAAGTTTGGTGATTTGCGCATACCTGCGAGAGAAAACTGTGCTAAAGGATCGGGGTAATGCCCACATTAAGATGAACACCGCTGTTGAGAGCTCCCAGGTGCTGGTCCCGTCCCAGGTGAAAACCATGCAGTCCACTTTCAGCTGGATTAGGCAACCAGTCTTAGCTGGATCCATTCAGATTGTCTGATTTTCAGCTGGAGGCATCTGAGACCACACATGTCAGGCGACATAATAACAAGACATTGCATGTCGTGTTGCGTGGTGCTCCAAACAACGTCGTCATGCGAAGCGTCATGTGATGCAACACACCATATCATGTGATGAATCACTGCAATGTCACTCTTGCTATAATTATATATTAACAGTTCACCCGCAGCTGCATTATGAAACTGGTCCCAGCCGGATCCAGCTAAGACCAGTTCCATAATCCAGCACATTTTTGTGTCTTTTCTTACACAGACTCTCCCGTAACAGATTGTAAGGTTATATGGTAGAACAGTGCTGTCTCGTCCATAGGGACGCCTCCGTTCCCCAAAACATTGCGAGTTGTTCATTATAACGAGACAAAAAAATGTATATTTACCCAATTCATCCCTTGCCTATATAAAGGGGGCATCCATTTTAATGGGGTTCGTATTAACGACACATGACTGTACAACGTACAGTGCAATCCACTTATAACGATAATTAAAAAACCTGAAAATTCAATCGTTTTAAAAGGTTAGCACTGTATCTGAGCTAGAAACCCTAGAAACTGATCATTATAAGCAGTACATTGTTTTATGTGGTATCGGTATAAGTGGATTGCACTGTAGCGAGTAGAGTATTTTTGTCTCTCACCTGAATGTTGGAGAAGATGGCGTAGCCCTTCCAGGAGAAGCCCGGGAAGAGGCCGCTGTCGAAGTCAAAGCGGGCGTTGACCCCGCTGGGGGTGTGTCCGTCCTCCACCTCGTACTTGTGCTGGTGCAGCGTGGGGAAGAAGTGCGCCTGCAGGGGCTCCGAGCAACGGCGCCCCGTGATGCGGGGCCGGCACTGGCACTGGCCGCTCCGGGCGTCGCACGAGCTGCCCACCGCTCCGCCCACGTCGCACTGGCAGTCTGCGCAACACAAAAGGAGCGGCACAGTGTTGCCAAACTATTACTTATGCCTATGCTTAAACGACAACTCCGCTTCAGTTTTGAAAAAACAATGCAGTCCTCTTCAGTATTCTCTACGAAGGCCACACGTAAAATATTACGACCAAGTTCTCTCTAAATGTTTCTTAAACGGTCTGGCTGACTTTGGAAAGTGCCAAGTTGCCAAAATTGGGCGACTCTAACGGGCGTATTGAGGCACTGTTGACAGCGCAGTCGTAGCCGACATTGAGTTAAACGTCATCAATATTGCAATACTTTGTTTAAGCTGAAGTCTTGGCAGGCTTTCAGCGTTCCTGCCAAGCACGCACGCTCAAGCAGTGCGAGTACCGTTCGGGGCCACATGCTCAAGCTTGTAGCGTTGGCTGCATCAGGACTTAAGCTGAAACAAAGTCTACTTTTTGTTTGTTTTTACTTCCCCCGGCAAGCGTAATGGGGGACGTCACCAGCGTCTCTTCTCGGTGCTCGGCGGTATCCAGGTGATTGGCTAAACACGCCTGCGCAGCCCGCTTCTCAGCCTTGGGAGAGCCGTCCAGCCGTCCTGCTGTTACCGCCGTCTGACACGTCTCAACCGTCGTCATCATCGCCTCGCCAGCCGCAATTATTGACTCTCGCGAGTTTTGTACACACTACGTGCACAGACTGATGCCGCAGTTATGCAGACCTTGTAAGATATCGTAGACACCAAAACGTGGTGAAGACTGCAGTGCAGACGACACTTGCACCTTGCACACACCCGCCCTACAGTTACTTACCCCGATCCCGCCCATTATTGCGTAGAAGATTATGTGACCGCACGTACCACGCAACAGCTATATTTTGGGCGGCCGGAAGCCAATGTTGCCTGACGGAGCCAAAGTTTTGGTTTCGGTGTCTGCTCATGTTTAAAGTAAGATTTCACAAAATATATCCCATTTCTTGAGAAGCAAATGACGTAGTGGCTTTTATTGGTGCTTTTAAATGTGAAATCACTCATAATTTTGAAATTTTCTGAATTGAGTGGAGCTGCCCTCTAACACAAATTGCCACCAAATTCACAAAAATAAAATACAGCGAACAAGTCAACTAAAATGCCTCCTACCACATATGAAAGGAGGTGCAAAAAACAGTGAGGATAAATAATTGTGTACAGCCGACTTTTCCCCAGCAGATAGCATCCTTTATGGTGGCTAGCACCTACCATCACAAAAGGTTAAAAAAAAAAGAGAGATTAAAGGATTTAAAGATCTAGCACAAACCACACATGGAAGTGTGGTTTCTGCAGCACATTCTGTGAACACAGGTTTTTGTCAGCATGATTAGGCGTGTACATTTGTTTCAGAGGCCAAGTTCAGCTTTGTAAAGAACTGGTGGATCTCTGGCAGTCGCAGGAAAAACAAGGCAGTCATTGCTACAACTAGCAGACAATGCTCCTTTTGCACACCCATTAGTATATCCTCTGGGCAGAGCTTTGTGCTTTGACATAGCGCTTTCCTTTAGCCCCCGTCTCCCTGAAGCTTTTTGTGCTCAAATATCTTGTTTGCTCGAAATTAGACTATGCTGCTGCAATCTGGTGTCCTGTTTAGACCACCCTCGCAGCTAACCTGGAGTCACTTCAAAATTGCAGTGCTCATATTATAATAACCAACTATCATCAAACACCCAGTGTTTCATTCATGAAAATTAACCTCTCTTTACCTCTTCTTTTATTGTGCCATAGGTTTCTATGTCTTCTCTACAAAATATATCATACTAATCCTCTCCTAAAAGAAACACTCTTCCTCGACCATCAGTTCAAAGTTGGCATTCCTCACTGTCAGGCCTCAGCCTATAACGATTCCTTCCAACCTAGAACATCATCAGAGTGGAACCACCTGCCTGCATCTATAATATCAATACCATCGTTAGATTTGTTTAAAACTACCATTAATAATAACTTTTGAAATCCCGTAATTGCGTTCAATTCATATGTATGTCTTTTTACTGTGTTCAGTTGCCCACTACCTTCTGTAATGCCCTTTCGGCCCCGAGGGTATTGCAATAAATAAACAAGCAATAAAAAGTTCGCGAGCAAATACCTGCACAGTCAGTGAAATAGAGAGAGGATAACTACAAAAGAAAGTACAGTATGAGACAAGCAGTGAGGAAAAGAAGGTTGCCGTCCGGTCAGCGACCGAAAGCACCCCGCTGCCCTGGATGCCTATCTACAGAAGACGGGAGTAAAATGCCAAGGCCCAGAGGCCAAGACCCACCCTGGCAGCCGAGCAGGTCCTGGTCCTGGAGGTGGAAGGTCCCGTCGAGGCACTCTGTGCACTGGCGCTGGCCCACGTTGGGCTTGCACAGGCACTGGCCGCTCTGGCCGTCGCACACCCGCAGCCCCCCCAGGGTGCCCGGGGAGTGGCACTCGCAGTCTGCGCAAGGGGAGGGAACGGCGGCGTTAGCAAACCACCTCGAGCGCTCCGGTTTTGAGGCATTGTACCTTAAAGCGTGGGTTCTCAAACAGGGTTCCCCAGAGCACCCTTAAGGGTTCCAGAAGCAGCCTCAAGGGTTCCTTGGAGCACCCCCAAGGGTTCTCCAGAGCACTCTCGAGGGTTCCCAAGAGCACCCTTAAGAGTTCCTTGGAGCACCCCCAAGGGTTCTCCAGAGCACTCTCGAGGGTTCCCAAGAGCACCCTTAAGAGTTCCTTGGAGCACCCCCAAGGGTTCTCCAGAGCACTCTCGAGGGTTCCCAAGAACACCCTTAAGAGTTCCTTGGAGCACCCCCAAGGGTTCTCCAGAGCACTCTCGAGGGTTCCCAAGAGCACCCTTAAGAGTTCCTTGGAGCACCCCCAAGGGTTCTCCGGAGCACTCTAGAGGGTTCCCAAGAGCACCCTTAAGAGTTCCTTGGAGCACCCCCAAGGGTTCTCCAGAGCACTCTCGAGGGTTCCCAAGAGCACCCTTAAGAGTTCCTTGGAGCACCCCCAAGGGTTCTCCAGAGCACTCTCGAGGGTTCCCAAGAGCACCCTTAAGAGTTCCTTGGAGCACCCCCAAGGGTTCTCCAGAGCACTCTCGAGGGTTCCCAAGAACACCCTTAAGAGTTCCTTGGAGCACCCCCAAGGGTTCTCCAGAGCACTCTCGAGGGTTCCCAAGAGCACCCTTAAGAGTTCCTTGGAGCACCCCCAAGGGTTCTCCAGAGCACTCTCGAGGGTTCCCAAGAACACCCTTAAGAGTTCCTTGGAGCACCCCCAAGGGTTCTCCAGAGCACTCTCGAGGGTTCCCAAGAGCACCCTTAAGAGTTCCTTGGAGCACCCCCAAGGGTCCTCCAGAGCACTCTCGAGGGTTCCCAAGAGCACCCTTAAGAGTTCCTTGGAGCACCCCCAAGGGTTCTCCAGAGCACTCTCGAGGGTACCCAAGAGCACCCTTAAGAGTTCCTTGGAGCACCCCCAAGGGTTCTCCAGAGCACTCACGAGGGTTCCCAAGAGCACCCTTAAGAGTTCCTTGGAGCACCCCCAAGGGTTCTCCAGAGCACTCTCGAGGGTTCTCAAGAGCACCCTTAAGAGTTCCTTGGAGCACCCCCAAGGGTTCTCCAGAGCACCCTCGAGGGTTCCCCAGAGCACTCTCAAGCTCCCCAATTTCCTCGACCGCACTTGTCCCAAAGTAAAGTGCCTTTCCAGATTAAGTAGGCAGATTTGAGCCATTGATTGATGCTTAGCTATGAGCCAAGCACTATCTAGTAAGTGCATGATTGTTTAGAAGGCCTGTGGGCTTTTGTGCTGCTTTATTGCATGAGGAGGGGTTCCTTGGTCTTCAGTCGAGCCAGATAAAGGTTCCTCAAGGTCAGAAAGTTTTGAGAACTTGTGCTTCACTTTGTCCCCATTCTTCTAGTGCAGTCTCTAACAAAAGGCAAGATTAACTTTAAGAGCATGGGGGTGCTGCACAGATTTTGGATGGTTTCATAATGCTGCCAAGAAAACCACAACCTGACCAAGTGCATCTCCTCCCCTCAAATGCGAGCAAGCAGAATTGGGTTCTTTATGCTTTTCTTTAACCGATACCCGACACCTAAGGCTTGAATAACAGGCTTAGGTTGAGCTAATTGGTACTTGTCAATACAAGGAAGTCAGCTTGAACATTAGACAAACACAGAGAGGTCTGTATGTTTGTTTTCTCTCTTTGCATTTGTCTAATGTTCAGGCTGACCTCCTTGCATTGACCCTAAGGAACGTCATGACAGGTGGTCCTGGTGCCTCAACCATTCTTTACCGATTTCTGACAGCGGAAGTTACAAACACTGTTTTCCTCTTTTGTCTAAAAAACAAAATGATGCTGTTTTAGACAAAAGAAAAAGCCAGGCACATGAGTGCACAGAGTTTGCACTGCCTCCACCAGATGCCATCACTCATGACGCCAAATTTAGGCAGTGGTGGCAGTATTGAAAAGTCATTTTTGAGAACAAGACAAAGGAAGGAAGGACGAGTTCTTTTTCAGAGATCAATAAAGATAAGAATGGCTAAGTAGACAATTCCACGTGCAGATTCAAAGACGCTAACATTAATGAGACATGCCTTCAGCGGAATGGCGAGCTGCTGCCATTTGAACCGAATTCTCGAAACCCAATATGGCGACTGCACTGCCAACCGCAACAAAACACAAACAAAACAATTGTCGGCAAAGGGAGGAGAGATGCGACACTCCAAAAACTATGGCGGCAGAAAGCTCCTGGACGCGACATGAGGCCACGAGAGGTGAAGCCAGAAGTGTGGAGGGATATGCCCTCAACAATGACCAAAACCAAGAGACGCCGTTGTACGAAAAGGAGAAATGACTTGGCGCCAACAGCTGTTCTGGTCACCGCCGGGGCCCCGAAGGGGACCAAGGGTGGTGTCATGTCGCCTCCAGAAGCTTTTGACCTCGACGCCAAAAGTGTATACGGTGTCTCTATGCCAGACTACACCCGAGCCTCACCCTCGCAACCCTGCGGGTCGCTCGGCTTGAGGTTCCAGTAGAGCGGGCGGCACTGGTCGCAGATGCGTCCCGTGACTCGCTCCTTGCACTCGCACAGCTCCCCACTCGTCAGGCTGCCGCAGCCGCCAAACGTCGCCAGAATCCCCGCCGGGTTGCAGTTGCAGCCTGCGGGAAGCCACGCCCCCTTCCCCTTGAGACACCCTCGCAGACAACAAGCTTAGTAATTCTCAAAAACATCCGTGGGATGCCTTACAGATTGAAGGGGCAAAAACATTGACAAACTGTTACGTAAAATAGCTTAATGTACACTGCAAGATACTGTTAGAGAAAACAAAGAATTGGCAGTTTTTCTTGTCTTTTAGAATCGAAAGAGCATGATACAAATTACTAGTGTGGTGGAAAGGACTCGTCTGGGGCCCTCACCTAACGGCAAAATATAGTGGCCGCCGGTATGTGATTGAAGTGAAAAGCAAAAAAAGTGCCGATGGTGTATTCGCACTAACAGTGTCGCACAGTGTACACGCTATGTTCATACAAAACTGAGCTAGTAATGCAGAAAAAGTATACAATGAAAAATTCAAGATTCGGCTTTGAAGTTTGTATTGGGAAGCTCGCAATGGGTGACTAGGTACGACAGAGTGTGAACGTAAGCCCAAATGGCAATATTTAGGTTTTTCGTCTTAAATTTGCTCAAAATATTTATCGCTGAAACACTGGTCTTGACAAGCAGAGATATATAAAAGCTCTTTCAACATTACAGATAAAAATGACTGCCGTAAAAATTAGATTCCTTTAAGAAAAGACGTACCGCAACACCTCTTTTTTATGTAGAGACAGCGCGTGGTCCGAACTCCATTCTGTCATTCACTCTCACCATCACAACGAATAATGCGTTTTTTGTGTATTTTTGTTGAATACGTCAATATAAAGATAACAAACAAGAGCTAGAGAACTACAAAAACTGCATTTTCGAAAACCTTTCGCTCGTGGAATTAACAAAAAAGTGTTAATGTCAATTACAGTGATGCCAATAAGCAAGTTCAAGTCAGTCGTGATACATAGCAAGAATGTGAAAACCTTATGCCAATTTGTCCGTTATAGTAATGGACTGAGTTTGAGCACATGATATTGTCACGGATGAAAAAGGATAGACAAGCGTCAAACCGAAAATAAAGGATTTATCCGCAAACTTGCGCCAGAAGCAAAATAAAACAAAAAAAAAAGATTGCCGAAAAAGCAGAAGCGAGCATCGAGGTGTCGGCGTGACAGCTGGCTGGAGCGAGAGGGAGTCGGCAAGGCCGTGCTGGGCCCCTTATCTATTACCCTCGGGATCTCAAACATTCGGCCTAGAATGTTCGAGCGTTTTAACATTGGGGGTAAAAGTAAACACAAATCATTACAAGTATGAATAGGGTTCCGCGTTTACGGTTTTTATTTTTTCAAAATTCGGCATACTTTTTTCGGTGTCTATTTTAAAATTTAATTTTCGTTTTTTTTCGGTGAATATGAAAGTTTACCTTTTTTTTTTCGGTGAATATAAAAAAAAACACCATCGGACACCAGATCAGATGATCCTTGTAGCTGTGATATTTGTGATCACTCAAAGAATAACGGCACATATACATAATTGGTCTTCGCTACAACTTCCGTCAGGATACACCTCAAAATCGCGAAATTTGCGGGCATAATCTTCCGCGCGCTTCTTTCTCCTTCCCATTCTGACGACGTGACCGTCTGAGGTGATGACCGTACAGTGACCAGCGGAATGGCAAAACAAATCCATTTTATTTATGTTCTCAACCACAGGGAAGTTTGAGAGAGGGTGTTAAGAAAGGTATTAACGGCTTTCCTGGATGTCCCCTGAACTGTATGAAGCGATAAAACATTATACTAGCCCACATCCAAACATTTTTTGGGGGACCAAGACTTTGACACACTAAGCCCGATCACAGAAAGGACACAGATGTCCCGTGAAGGCCAATCCAAGACCTCTTTTGTTGAATATTGAACCTTGGAAGAGGGCAATCTAGAAGACGTCACACAATGTTGAACCCTGCAATGCCCTCTCCCCCCCCCACCCCTCCCCCCATCCACCTCGACGCGGCCCTAAAAAAACTGACCTTTTCCGGTTAACCCATTCGCTTCCAAAGCCGGCGATCCGCCGGCCGCTTCTGCCAAGGCCAAAGTGCGAGAAGCCGGCGAATCGCCGTCCTCCTAAAAACGCATTGTTTTTAAAAAGCAGCAATAGATGGCGCTTCCCTGCATAATTAAATTACAAATAGCGCTAGGACGAGGACAGACGAAGAAGTGGACAGGACAGGCGCTAACTCACAACTGACGGTTTTATATACAACGTTAAAGAAGAAGGTGAAGGAAGTGTCTGGTGTTGAAAAAAAGAAGAAAAAACCGTGGGAGACAAATTGAGAATACAAATATTGGATAAAAATTAATAGAAAAAAAGTTAATAGAAAAAAAGGTGATCGTCCAAAGGCCGCCGATCAGTGCCTCGTACAGCTTATTTACCTTTTTACATCCAACAGGCACCACAGCCAAAGCTATACCGGCGCGAGCGCATAGACTCGCGCCGGTATAGCTTTGGCTGTGGTGCCTGTTGGATGTAAAAAGGTAAATAAGCTGTACGAGGCACTGATCGGCGGCCTTTGGACGATCACCTTTTTTTCTATTAACTTTTTTCTATTAATTTTTATCCAATATTTGTATTCTCAATTTGTCTCCCACGGTTTTTTCTTCTTTTTTTCAACACCAGACACTTCCTTCACCTTCTTCTTTAACGTTGTATATAAAACCGTCAGTTGTGAGTTAGCGCCTGTCCTGTCCACTTCTTCGTCTGTCCTCGTCCTAGCGCTATTTGTAATTTAATTATGTGTAACCAACTAGCCCGCCAGAATGTTTTAATTCAGTTCATTGCTTCCCTGCACACTGATTTCTTGTTGTTTTGTCTTTTTCACACCAGATGGACATAGTTGTCCACTATTTTTGAGCTTTGGTTGTATAAAAAAAGAAAAAGTTCGCAGCTTTGTTTTTTCTGTCGATTCTTTCGCCGTGTCGGAATCGGAAGCATGGCGCCGCGAAAGAAGAGAGCGCTCACATGTGAGGAAATCCTCGAGCTGGTGTTCGAGAGTGATGATGAAAGTGACTGTGGCGACGATCTAGAAGATGTATCGGACCAAGAAAGTAGCGACGACGAGAGTGACGGTGAGAGCGGCAGTGACTGTGAAGGCGACGTGTGTGTATCACAAGACACCTCTATTTCCTCCCCACCACCGTCAAAGAAGCCTAGACGTGAAGATTGGCAGTGGGAGGAAGAAGACAGTTCAGAGAACGTCGTCAAACTGTCCTTTAGTGGAAACCCAGGTGTCAAGCGAGCTATCCGACTGAAAGTGGGTGAAAGCCCCAGTCCTTTGGGCATCTTCAACGCTCTCCTCGAAGACGATTTTTGGGACATGATTGCAAGGCACACCAACGCTTATGCAAAGGAAAAGCAGTCTTCCAAGCCGGACCCTACATGGCATGACACGACACCGGCGGAGATGAAAGCCTACTTTGCGCTCTGTGTGCTAATGAGCCAAGTAAAGAAGAGCAGTATCCAGGCATATTGGTCAAAGAGAAGTGTCATCAGCACACCATTTTTCGGGACGGTGATGCCCAGGCAACGTTTCTGGGCACTCTCCCGATATCTACATCTTTCCGACAACAACCTTCCAGCAAGTGATGACAAGCTGAGGAAGCTACGGCCTGTACTGGACTACATCATCAAGTCCATTGGCAGTGCCTACTCTCCAGAAGAAGGTCTCACTGTCGATGAAAGTTTGATGAAATTTCGTGGTTGGCTCTCATACGTCCAGTTCAACCCCTCAAAACGAGCACGGTTTGGGGTGAAATTCTACAAGCTATGTGAATCTGGCAGTGGCTACTGTCTGAAGTTCTCTGTCTACACAGGAAAAAGTGAGCAAACCCCTGCTACCATCGGAATGTTGTGCAGTGAGGCCGTCGTCATCAACCTTGTCGGCGATCGTCTCGCAGACGGCCACACAGTCTATATGGATAATTGGTACTCCTCACCACACTCCTGTTCCTTCACATACACCAAGCTGGATCAAACGCGGTGGGTACTGTTAGGGTGCACCGCAAGAACATGCCCAAGGAGGTAAAAAATATCAAGCTGAAAAAAGGCGAGTGCAAGACCTTCTTCTCGCACGGCGTGATGGCCCTGACATGGCAGGACAAGAAGCCTGTCAACCTGCTCTCAACGTGTCACACCACTGCCAATGTGACTGACACTGGCAAGAAACAGCGCCAGAGTGACCTGCCTGTTTTGAAGCCCCAGGTTGTCCAGGACTACAACCGAGGAATGGGAGGTGTGGATCGGGAAGACCAACAGTTGGCTTCCTTTCCTATAATGCGAAGGTACGCAAAGGGCTACAAGAAGATATTTTTTTACATCATGGACATCGCTGTTTATAACAGCTACATCCTCTCCGCCAAGATTACAGGCAAGCGAATGAGCTATACGGACTGGAAAGTGGACCTGGCGGAACAACTGATCGAAGAGGCCGTGTTGCCGGGATACCGGCGACGAGGCAAACCGCCCGTTGGTCCCTCACCGATGCGGCTAGAGGCCTGCGAGTGGGCTCACTTCCCTCGCCAGATCCCGCCGAATGCGATCAAGCAGAATCCATCCAGACAATGTCATATATGTAAGGCCCAGGGGAAGAAGAGCGAGAGCCGCTGGGAGTGCGAGAAATGTGAAGTGGCACTTCACATGCCCGTCTGCTTCAAGACCTTCCACACCCGCAAGGTACTCTGAGTGAATCGCTTCCGGAAATCATTCCCGAACAAAATAAAGTAAAAAGTGTTCACCCGCGAGTTATATGGCAGAAGTTACAGAGCTTTCTTTGCGACGCCGCACACGGCAGTCCGCTTGGGGGAAAATTGCGCGGTACAGCTCGCGGGAACGGGTGTGGATGCCGCGGAAGCGAAAGGGTTAAAACCGAATTTCAGAAAATGGATTCGGCATACTTTTATCGTTTTTTATCGGTTTTAACCGAAAACTCCAAACCCTAGGTATGAAGTAGCGTTCCCCCTCAGCCATGTACACGGCTATATCAGACCAATGAGATACATAAAAAGATGACAACAAACAGAGGCGAAGCAGATTATGATGCTACGAGAGAAGCACAACCGAGACAATTTTCTATGTGTTGACAGTGTGGATACCTTCGCAGAGGGGATAGTTGTAGAAGCCCTTCTTGCAGCGGTCGCACTTCTCTCCGTCGAAGCTGGGCTTGCAGAAGCAGGTGCCGTCGCTCCCACACGACAGTCCCACGGATCCGTACGAGTCGCAGCCGCAGGCTGCAGGGGACACACTGAGGGTCATTCACTCCAGGGCGCAGCAGTTCTCATGAGATTTGAAGCATCAGAGGACCTTCGTGCCAACTTCTCACTAGTGTGAGCTCAGACGGTGCAGAAATGTTGAAGGACAAAATTGCCTAAACCAAAAATTAGGAAGTCAAGATTAAAATTACATGAGACTGTGCGACACAAGAAAAGGAATGTCTCAAACTTAGCTACTGCATTTATTTCCTCCAATTCCTATACAGCCACGAATCTAGCACTTGATAACCGACCTCACAGTACCATTCTTTGTTACAGAGTTCACCCAACCTTTAGGTTTCCCATCTTTCACCACAGTCCCGGGTAATTTTCAACACAACCAACATCCACCAGCTCACTTGCACACTCACTGTATTTTTGAAAAGAAAGCCACTTTTCTTCATTTACGTAATCAATCACAAATTGCAAAACCGCAAGTTATTACACATTCAATCTTCAGGCTGAGCAATCTGGTCTGTTCACAATGTCCCGCATAATGCTGAATAAAGACCAGTGCTGCAAAACACCGGTTCAACCATCCAGGCAATTTTTCACGTACGGGGCCTGGCACAGATGGTCAAGTTTTAGCAAACAAGCAACATTTTCGCAAGCGTCACATTTAAACTGAACTACGTAGCGTTGCAGTAGATTATTTCAGTGGAGCTCAAAGTTGTCTTTCCAGTGTGATATAACACCCTAAAAAAAAAATCTTACGGGGGCTGACAAAAGAATATAGTTTTTATGCATCAAAGGGCTAAAACATTCGTGAAAGGTTGGCATAGCCTGTCAAACCCACCTATCCTTGGAATGGCACCTATACGAAAGTTTTCAATTAGTTCTTAGGCACCGCTTTTCACCTTTATGCTTTTCCAGCGAGACAGCTCGAAAGATATCTAAATTGTGCCAAAGATGATCAAATGCTTTACGTAGAGGGTGAAGAAAATCCGGGGTCTTAAGCTCTTGGCTGGAGAAGTTTGTCCGTAATATTTAGAGCGAGAAGACTGAAGACCTCAGTTTTCACAAAATTTGAATGTGAATGCAAGGCCGACAAAGAATGATTTGCAAAATCCATTTCAAGCCCCCCCTACACCCTTATATGTATCGCAGAGAAGCACTCACGGTTGCAGTCTGGGTAGCTGTAGTAGCCCGGGGCACACTGGTCGCATCGCAGGCCCGTGAAGCTGGCCAGGCAGTGGCACTTGCCCGCGTTGTCGCACGAATTGCCCAGGGAGCCCTTGCTGTCGCATTCACAGGCTGCACAAATAAAGCACGGACCACTGCTGGCACTCTCTCCCGTGGCCTTGCTACAGTGTGACCACCGTCGACACGAGCAAGCAAAATCTGTGCACTGCGCTACCCTGCGCTGCTCACAACACTGCGAGGCACCACAGTCTTCTCGGCCCAAACATTGCCTCTGGAACAAAGTGTTAAGGCAGCAAGTTGCTGGTAGGAATAGCAAAAAAAAAATTGCCAATGACCTTTAGCTTTAAATTACTATAATCGGGGTTCCGTGTTTCCAAAGTTTATTTTTCTCAAATTATGAGGGTGTTTTTCGGAGTTTACTTTTTGCCAAAAAGTCCGAGTTTATCGGAGTTTATTTTTGTTAGATCCCCAATTCTCCAAAATTCGGAGTTTAATTTTATTATGTTTCTTTTATTTTTGAACGTAAAAATAAAAATAAATAATATAGGGGTCTATACTTGTGCTAGGTTCAAGAGAATGCACTTGTATCAAATAATATTTCTTTCGATGGATTTGGCATTGGCACCCTAGCTATTGGCAATACTAACCTGCCCCAAGACAAAGCGTGCAAACAATGTTGCCTTAATAAACGTCGATACCTTATAATTATTAAATTCTTCGAGGTAGTCACTGGAAAGCTTGTTTTCATTCCACCGTATTCCGTCACCTTACCCGTGGCTGTGCGGGGTGGAGTGATAAAGGGTGTAAATATAGATGCTTCAACTGCCTTTCAGCTTCCCATGAAATCTCTATGGTTCGTAGATTTCACTCCTACAAAAACACAACCCTCCTTCCTCTAAGAAGCCCAGATAATATGGTCCAAACTGGAAACCGGAAGAGTGACTTTTGTCGTGACTTGGGAGCACAATGATCCATTGTTATGAATGAGCCTTTGGCTGAGATGAACGGTGCGACAACTTTTGTCAATGATCCTAGATTTGAAAGAAAACCGAGATGGCATTTTCTCAGCAGCATTGAACCAGTGCACTGATCAAACTTAATTGTAGGATACTTTTTTTCTTTACATTGGGACACTGAAATTTTGGGTTTATCGAATATAAATCCGAAGTGACGAAAACTTCACTGGCGGTTACTTCTCCGAGTTTTTTGGTTTTATCTGAAAACACGGAAACCTAACCCAAAATGCATGAAATTGAGTATTTAGGAGAGATTGTTTCAACTGTTTGGGAGAGATTGAACAGTTGTTGCAACAGTGAAGAACCTATATTTTTATCACTTTTGGGGAAACAGAATTTGTGTGTCATGTAACCTGAAGTGGGGAGGGAGCACTGTAGGACTGCAAGGAGGGGCACTGGGAGAGGGAAAGAAGGGAAAACAGGGACACTGAATTGGTGTCACATGGCCAAGGAGGGGGGGGGGGCAGAGGGAGGGGAAGGGAGAGCACCCTAGGAGAAGGGGGAAGAGATGGAAATAGAAAGGAGAAGAGAGAAGGAGGAGAGGGGAGGAGAAAAATGGGGAGAGGGAGTTTGTGTGACATATGGCGTATATTTCCCTGCGAAATTTAGCATGGAAACTGAATTTTTTTGTAGGTCATGAGGTGTCAGGTCAAGTGACGTTGACTTTCCCCGCTAAATTCAGCGGAGAAGCTGGATTGGTGTTTAGGTAAAGTGACATCCATTTTTTCGGCCCTCATCAAGCCCACGTGCTCGATGGGGGCCGAAGTTGTCGAGTGCATGCAGAAGGTAGAGCTTTTCCGCAGATCCTGTATTTCAACAGGCTACAAGATTGTGCAATAAGATTTGTGCAAAAGATTGCAGATGTGACTAATCTACAGTCGTGCAGAAACTAAATTGCTCCGAGCGAACGAGCGTTTCTTTTCTGAGGAGCGCTTTCCTGCCGGTTTTCCTTCATACTAGTGCTGACATCTGGACTCGTCCATGTGAAACAGACAAGGGGGGAGCCCATCAACGCAAAGAAACCGCTGTTATCATACGCATCTTCTCAGCATGGTCTGATTGAAAGGGGAGAACACACACTTGTTTGGAGCTATTTAGTTTCTGCATGACTGTACACTCACAGTTTCCACAAATGAATAAAAGCGCCCATATTGCTCCGTTCAATAAACAAAGCTTTCCTGCGTGTTTTTGTTGGATTTTTGTGTCTGTCCTGGATAGCTTTTTCAACTTACACTATTTAAGAGCTTTCACCATGAAGCACCAAAATAAAAGCAGTCAACAATCATTCCAAAAGAAGAGCAAAGTCACAGGAGCACAGGAGGTACTCACGAATGCAGTTGGGGAAGTTGTAGAATCCCGGGGCACATTGGTCGCAGCGTGGGCCCCCGTACTGGGGCTTGCATAGGCACTGGCCCGTCTGGTTGCTGCACACCTCCTCCGTAGTGCCCGTCGGGTCGCACGAACACACTGTACGGACACCGGGCACGCACCATTGTCAGGACACGCCATTTTTTAAAAGTTTACTAGGTTCGTTCAATCTATACCTACGCCTCCCGCACCAGCTGCACTCGATGCACGTTGTCATGTTCGATTTACGAGTGCAGCGTATCTGAAAGCGTATGCTGGCCCAGGCGAAAGTCGGCCCACCAGCAGCTGGATAACGAAACTGGTCTTTGCTGTTCCATCCAGTTCCATCATCCAACTGCAGGTCGATTTTCAACCGGGGAGCTACAGTGCCCCGCGATTTTCTGCACCGCGTTACAGTTTTCCACACCACCGTAGGCCGACGCACGTATGTCGAACGAATCCACCACACTCCCAGAAATCATTTTGAACTGCGTGGATAGGACCTACCGTATTTATTCGAATATAGGTCGACCTTTTTTTTTTTCGGAAATGTTGTCAAAAATTAAGGGTCGACCTATAATCGTGACCGAAGAATTTCGACCTAATTCGCAAGCAAAATTTGAAACCCTACCGAGGGTATGGAGCTATCAATCACCTAGCCGTTGTCGCGGTAGAGCCGTGCGGCTTGTTGTTTCAAAAAGCTTTTGATGCACAAAAAGAACCGAACAGCAGCAGCCGACAGTCCGTGACCGCCCGCTACGGCTCTCGCGCACATTCCTCGGGCATCGAGTTTCGCCATCACGCCTGTAGCGTTCCCCTCGCTGGGCAAGGGGGAAGGCGAGGGAGAGGAAAGCGATGCGCCATGCACTTTGCCCTTCTATGCGCTCCATTCCTCTCTCCCTCGCAAACGCGCAAACAAAAAAAAACAAAAAAACCACCGGAGGTATTTTAGTTTGTTTTTTTTTCGGCGGGTCGCGTGTTGCTCAAGGGGCTCGCAGCGTTGCTCGTGTCTTTGTGTTTGATCTTTCGTCGCTCGCCCGTCTCCACCTTCTTTCGTTTCTTCTTGTTGTCATTTATTTTACAACGGTGTCAGTGAGGTATTGTTGCCAATTTGCGAGGATGTCTACCAAGCTGACGAAGCTTTTTTGACATCGCCCTGTGATTTAGCTGAGAGTGCTGTAAATAAAGGTTTGTTTCTTTTGCCCTAACTTTCTCCTGTTCCTTAAAAAAAAAGAAAGGTCGACCTATATTTGAATTATTTTTTTTTATTCTCGGTGGGCTCAATAAATAGGGGTCGACCTATTTTCGAGTAAATACAGTAAGTGACAAACTGACGATTGCTCATTTACGACAATGATTTATCGACGCACCAAGCAATACATCCATTTCCTCAACTTTGTTCGTCGTTACTTCTGCGTTCACTTGATGAAGCATTCAATCGACCGACTTGTACGTCAATCGGGCAACCATTCGATCGACCGAGACAACATAAAGCAAAAATGAGCAGACTCACGTTTGCAGGTGGGGTAGTCGTAGAAGCCCACTTGGCAGTGGAGGCACTGACGGCCGCCGTAGCTGTTCCGGCAGGTGCACTGCCCGCTCTCCGCGTCGCACGAAGCGCCTAGGGACGCCGACGGGTGGCAGTCACAGGCTGCAAAAGGACAACCGCCAAATAAAGAACCCATGGAACACTCGAGTCCCTTTGTTGACTGAAGCTACAGTGCCTGGAACAAGTGTTTGACTGGCGCGTTTAGCGTCCCATTCCACCCATGCATCAAAAGCGGTACCGAACCGGCAACTGACAGCATCGCAGGAACTGGCATACCATCATGCTGCGTTGCTATCCCAGCTGTTAGTCCTAGAAATTTATTATTTATTTATTTATTTAGGAATACTGCAGGCCAATTGCGGCCCAAGCAGGATTGGGGGTTACAAAAGTGGAGTCAAAAAAGTGCAACACCAGGTAATCCGTAAAATGGGAGAGGGGAACAGGGGAAAATTATGCAAAAATTTAAATAAAGCATATGTAATAGCTCACAACAAAGTTGGGAGGGGTGGCGGTAGTGGGGAACAGGAAAATGAAACACTATGCAAAGAGTTACACATCAAACAAATGCTCAATCGACTCCAAAACATTGTCAGATATAAATAGGTGATGAGGTAGGTTGTTCCATTCTGTTATGGTTCTGGGAAAGAAGGAGTATTTAATGCAGGCGGGAAAGGGGACAGGATGCGAGGACCATTGTCGTCATCGCGTCCCATCTCAAGTCCGTTTTTGTTTGCGTGGACCGTCTTGCTGCAGAGTGAACTGCAGCGGAAGAGGATTCTGCTGCCCCACCCTCCGCTCCCACACCACGGCAAAGCCCACAGCCGGCAACAACATGGCACTTCTACCACCACATTACACGAGAATTGGGGAACCACATTCCAGGACGCGGTAAACGCACCAGTCGGAGGCCCGTTCCAGGCCCCATATCAAAACTAACTGAAGTGTTCAGTGATATTAAATCATGAGGGTACAGTCGAGTCCACTTATAACGATACCGTTTACAACAATATATCGGTTATAACGATGAACAACGATAGCACCGTCCACTTTTATATGCTTTCAATGGTAAAATAAACCGCTTATTACGATGCTCCAGGGCTGCGATATCGGATATAGCGATTGATTCTGGTTACAGCGTGCGCCGAAAATGCCAGCCACCGCCGGCTCTCCGCAGCATGCTGTGCCCCGCGACACGCATCCCTTCCACCCCTCAGAAAACGAGTCGACTGCGCCGCTTGCTAGGAAGGAAGCGAGAGGAGGAGCAGCTTTCCTTCCGAACTCCCCTCCCGGAGACGCCGCTTTGGCCTCGTCCGCGCACCCGGTCGCGCCACTCGCGCACTCGGCGCACTGGCGCCACTCGCTCGCTCACTCGACTGTTGTGTGCTCGCTGCTTAGATTATCTCTCTCCGACTTCGTTTTACGTTTCACTGCGGACGGGGCGTCGTGGCCGATCTGTCTGTGGCGCATTCTACGCAAGATCGGGTCTGGACGACTTCCTTCATGCAGACGATGTTGTGGAAACGTCCGAGTGCCTCAGTGATGAGGCGATCGTCGCGCGTGTACATGCTGCTGACAACGGTGAGACCGACGACTCCGACGACGTGGTTGAGGAGCCTACCCAGGTACTGTCATCGCAGGAGGCCCAGCGGATAATACAGTCCCTCAGGGACTTTGTTTTCGCGAAGGACCTCCCGCTAAGCTACGTGGAGCACCTAGATGCTCTAGAAAAAGATGTGCGCCAGCTTCGCGTGAAGCAATCAAAGCTGACAGACTATGGCTTTTCTGCAAACAAGTAGTTGCACTTGCACAACCTTACTTGCCTGCAAATAAAATGTTTTGATCTCTCTTTTGTCTTTTTTTCCTCAACCCGCTTATAACAATTATCGGTTATAACGAAGGTATTTTCTTGGCACTTGGATATCGTTATAAGTGAACTCGACTGTATACTAAACGGGGGGAAGTTAGTGAGCCCCGACAGGCATTTGGTGTTTCTAATAAATTAAGCCAGTACTGCCGCTAATCTGGGGTCTTTTTGGTGCATTACGCGGTGGTTATACAGCAAGTTCTCATTAACTCGAAGTCATAAAAACTAGAAAGAAATTCGAGAGTAGAGCAGTTTCGAGATAAGCGAGGTACGGAATTTTCATTACACTGATCGTGCATTGTGCAAATGGAACCCTTCCGACAACCGCGCCAATTGACTTGGCGCTAACACATGCGGCAGGTGCAGGTGCGGTGGGGAGAACAAAACAAAATGCAACAAAATTAATATTAAAAATCAATAAGAAGAGACAGCAAAACTAAGAAACAAAATGCAAAAAAAAATTGAAAGAATAAAAAAAAAAAGATTGAAAGGATAAAGCTGGAAGATAACGCTGAGTGCGAGGGAGACAGAAACAGGGGCACCAACCACCAAGCCATATTAGGGAAAGAAAAAGGCTCAAAGTATACCTAATCACTTCTTATGAGTTGCGAATGCCAAAGCATGCAAGCGGCTCGTCCGCTCCCTTGTTTCGTCTGCTGCATACTTTTCATTGCGGGTCAGCACGCGCTCACCTGGGCGCGCTGACCTTGGACGTTCCGTGTTAACGCTACGCTAACGGACACGCAGCGCCGCGCGAGCGGTCGTTGAAACTGACGTGCAGTGGCCAATGGGAGCCTCGTCGACGCACGCCAGCCAATGGGATTGAAGCCGAAAATCCATCAGCTTTATTTCACTCTTTTGGGATTGGAGAATTTTGGTGCCGCTGGCTAGCTTTTCGCGTGGTTTCACAGCTGGGAGTTGGCTTCACTCGGAGAAAGGATTTAAGATGCCGTTTGGCGTGGTTTCAAAGCTGATGATGTCAGTTCACTCCATGAGACCCGGTTAATGCTTTCGTATTAAAAGAAAGTGAGACAACAAATGTCCTTGAGGCACATGTTGCTCCGCGAAGTGCCTTTGCTGCACCTGCGCACGTTGCCGCACTCATGACACAGACTTTCTTTTTCTTTTTCTTTGTGCGTTGTTGCACACGTGCGATGATGCACAATTTTTTTCTTTTTTGTGTGTTTGTGGGTTTCCTTCAAGAACCAATGTTTAGGCCACCAGGTCATTATTTGCTGTGCTCTGCCTGTTTTTCTTTTTTTTTTTGTAATATTTGTTGTCAGGATTTTGAGATATCCAAGGTGGGTCTGAAACCTTTTTGAGATAAGCAATGAGTAAATGGATTGTGCCTATGTGAGTTCATTTTATGGCTAGGAAATCTTCCGACTTAACCGATATTTCGAGATAGCCGAGTTCGAGCTAACGAGGGATTACCGTACACGAATGCATAACGGTACGATGCTCGGTGCAATCGAACAGGCAGGGCTGGGGAGTGAACCTAGGATTCCTCCACGCACACCAAGGTGCGGCACGTTAACACACTCACTCGGCCACCATTCTCCCGCTGGTGCCATTCATTCTGGTATAGCCAAGAAATAAAGCATGGGCTAGGATGCATGCAGCATAGAAGATGCAAAGATAGCAAAAACTGATAGAGGAATGAGTGACTAGTTAACACGGCTATACATAGATACAAGAGGAGGAAGAAGACCCACAAATAGGACATGCACGAGGACAGTCCGTGTGTGTCCTCTTTACGTGTCTTCCTCCTCCTGCGTCTCAGGTTTAGTCACATAAAGATGGCAAGCAGCTGTGTCCGAGAAAGTCTCAAGTCTTTTCTCCTTTCTTGGTCAACTGTCATGTTATCACCTTATCCACCTTACTCATTTCGCATTTCCTGAAAACAAGAAAGTGCGATCTGAATGCCCATCTCAACAGTAGAAACTCCAGACATTAAAGACTAGCAAAGATAAATATATATATCAGATGTTTTTCCCACAAAAGCTGGACTTCCCTAGAAAAAGGTCTTCCTCTGTCAATGTGCAACTGACTAACGCATTATTAAGCCTAAAGGAAACAGCTTCCTTCAGTGACTCGAGGTAAAGCCACCAAACAAGCTATGCCTCAGAGTAACAGAACTTTGGGTTGTCTTGGTACTAGAAGTCATTGCTGCCAGTTATCCGCATCTGAAATCGCGAGGAACTGTTTTTCGTCCTCAATAAAAGTAAAAACAGTTTGCAAAAAAAAAAACAAAAAAAAAAACAGCATTGCCTGAGCTTTCTACCATCATATCTAAAGTTCAAGAATTCACACTGTTTGATCATAAAAATCGCCAATTTTATTCAAAAGTTATAAGCGATTTTCTGAAATTTATAATGCGAAAATGGCGGTTGACGGAGCTCTCATATTACATAGAGCTGTATGATGCCAGTTACCGAAAACGGCCAAAGACAAGACCGATTTTCCCACTGAAATTTTCCGAAAATCACTAATAAATTTGGACAGAGATAATGGTTCGTTCTGAAGCTTTGGCATTTGCTTTGAACCGCTAGCACTACCATTTGGGCAGAGAATGGGCGTTCGGCAATGCACAGTTTAATTTTGTAAAAAAATAAACACTGTAAATTTTTTTTTTTGGGGGGGGGGGGGGGGAAGGGGGGGAGGGGGGGGGGGGAGGGGGGGGAGGGGGGGAACACGCTGTACTAAGAATTAAAATGGAGGCACCCCCAACAAAATCGGGGGATGGAGTGCCTCTACTCCGAGGGTAGCCCTTAGCACAAGGTAAACTTTGTTATCAGTTCCACTGACTACCTGATCGGCCCATCAGAGTGCGCCCCACCCGATGCGGCGCAGGCCCAATGCTTGCAATCAGGGTCGCAAGCCGATTTGCTGATCACTTAATGCCAGTCAATGGAACCAACATTAAACCTTACGGTTACGGCATCCCGTGATCTCACGAAAACACCAGTCTTTCTGGCTTAGACCTTTGGGGCGGGGTGTAGCCACCCCACCCCAGATGCAATCAAGTTATCGCTTCACGACGGGGCAGATCGGGAGATCCAAGTGGACTCGCGACCTCCGTTTCTCCTCCTGGCCAACAGATGGCACTTCGGCACCCCTTGGCAAGGCCCCGACAAGGCTCCGCGCCCGTCGGACACGAGAGGAACGGTGAGAGGAGAAGGGGAAGCCTCTCTCGCCATTGGACTGGGCCGACCTGCCCGCAAGTGTTTGGAAAACCAGATCCTGGGCGGCCACGAGGTTTAGGCCTACTTGTACATAATTGTGAGGCATACATAGTTTGTGTTGAATGTAGCATTTGCGATATATTTCAAATGTTTCGTGGCGTGTGAATAAATGGGAGCTGGAGTCCACTCTTGCAACCAAACAAACGTCTGTACGTAACACCCGGACGACAGACCCCGTGGGGCCGGGTTGCCAACCGCAGCACGCATTTCTCACATTGTGTAGTGGGGCCGTTATCACTTAGCGACTCGTGACGGTTCGGGCACTCACGTCTGCAGTCCGGGAATCCGTAGTAGCCGGGGGAGCAGCGGTCGCAGTTCTTGCCCTCGTAGTAGCGCCTGCAGGGGCACTGTCCGCCGTTCACCTGGCAGACCCGTCCTTGCGTGCCGTTGGCGTGGCAGTCGCAGGGGCGGCACTGGGGGTAGCCGTAGTAGCCCGCGTTGCACTGGTCGCAGCTGGGCGGCAGAAACTCCGGCCGGCACTCGCACTGGCCGGAGCCCTCCATGCAGTTGCCCGACGAGAAGGTCAGGTCGCAGCGACACGCTGCAGAGGACCCGGATTCCCGCTTCAACCCTTTCGCTTTCCCCAAGGGGCCCCAAACACGTCCGTAATATTAAGTCGAGACAAAAATGTGAGCCTTCACCCAGTTAGTCTTCAAAAATTCTGTCCATGTAGCAGATTACCCATATTAACGAGGCACGACTGTACTCGTAAATACATTGAGCTCTTCCAGAAACAAAGCCTGTCCATATTAAACGCCTTATTGCTAATGAAGAATCGCATTCAAAAAGAAGCCTACTCAAATTCCACGTGCATTTCTGGCAAGGCACGGGGTGGCACAAGTGGAGACGGAATAATTGATCTAATAGGAGGGTGGAGAAGGAACAGAGTAGAGTTGCCCTTAACATTTGCATGCGTCACTCTATGTACTCCAATGGCCATCCAACACACCACCTGCGTGCATTGACACACGGGATGCACGTGATGAATTACTACACCCAATCCACTCCACTGATGCAGCCAATCCATCGACGCGTGAGCATGCCCAAACATTCCCTACCGCATAAATTCTAAAGTCGAGTTCCTAGGAACCCAGGCGTTTGTTCCTCAGTGTACCCTGAGGGGATCCTTCAAGTTTCCTCAACCGTCCCTGTCCCTGAGAAAGGTATTTCCCAAGATTAAGCACTATCTTGCCCTTTTCCCGGTCGGCCACTAAATCTGCAGAGAATCATTGGGGTACCAAAAAGCCTGTGGCCCACTCACGCTGGCAGACGTCGGTGGCATTCAGGAGCTTGTTGAAGGGCCGGTAGAATCCCGGCCGACACTTGTGGCAGTTGACGCCCTCCGTGTTGTGCTGGCAGTTGCGGCAGACGCCGCCGCCGTCGTAGATGCCGTGCACATTCAGGCTCTCCTGCCGTTCGTCCACCTTCTCATCGTAGTAGCAATCGTTCGAGTGGCCGAAGCAGTTGCAGGCTGTCGGGAAAGCAAACCAACAGGGTGATTCCGCACTGTCACTGCGTGCAATATTGCTCCAGTCGAATAGATCCAACCCACTTCAAATGTCCAAAGCAGAAAGCTGTAACTAAATTAAATTATAGACGCATCCCTCATATTTCAGGTCGAAGATGTGCCTATGTCGTCCCTTGTCACGCTTATTTATTGGTTTCTTTCTTTTGTGGCTGCTTGTGATTAGGAGGCCTGTGTGGAGGAAATCATCAAATTCCTTCTTTGTAAGTGTTGACAACCATAAAACCAATTGTAATTTTACCTTGCATCATATCTAGATTTTTTCTGATAATTCAGACAAAATTCATGGCTTCCTGGAGTTTGAATTAATGTGAGTTTACACTGTTTTGCCAGAGCCTAGTCACTCACTGATGCCCAACCATGAGACGAACACTCTTTAGAAAGCACATTAGTGTCTAAAGATTCTGTAGGCTTCTCACTGTTTTAATGCATCAATGTCTGCAGATCAGGTGGAGTTTCTTGGCTGCCATTCAAGGCACATAAGGATTCTTCCAGAACCAAAAGTTTATGAACCCCTGCGACAGACCATGCTAACTAATTAATTATAATAAATCGGGTGTCTCTTTGGACCAAAGGCACTCTAAGTGCATAGCATTCATAGATAGTCTGTAATGTCATGCTGGGACATGACATTACTTCAGATGACCACATGATGCGATGACGATGCGACTTATGGTTGGGCATCAGTTAGGTATAACATCGGCGTCACGTGACGTCACTATGTCACGTGACGCATTGGTTACATTACGCAATGTGACGTCAGCGTGACATCCGTCACGCTGACGTCACAAGAACACCACGACGTCATCATGGTGTTAACACAATGATATCACAGTGAACCTTTAAAACGCCGATGACATTGTGTGAACACAGTGATGTGTGCAGTGTGACACTATCATTGAGGCTACGTGACATGGACACAGGAGTGCTAAGAGCCGGCGGCATGTGTGCTATGTATTAAATGCCTTTTTAAAGCGAAAGCTCCGGAAAAAGTTTGCTGCAACCAGAGTTACAGACGTACGTTCACAGACGTTTGGGTTGTCGATGCTGGCGCGCTGCCACTTGTTCTGCTGGTATCCCGGACAGCACTGCTCGCACTGGGGCCCGCAGGTGTGGTGCTGGCAGCTGCAGTTCAGCTTGGACGGGTTGTTGGGGTCCGTGATGTCGCAAGTGTCTGCGTGCCCGTTGCACACGCACCGGCCGCCAATGTTTATGTCCTTGATGCTGTAGAAGTACTGCAGGACAGCAAGATCTAGGTCAGTGGAATACTCGGTTGCATGGAATGCGAAAGGGTTACTTGGTATACTCGTGACGGGACAAAATCGAGTAATGCGCCATCTGCAACACTTCACGAGACTGTGAGACAAGTTGAAATGCGCCTTGCGCGAACCGATCGAAGCATGTATCGACAAGAAGCTCCGCTGCAGCTCAGTAATCATGAAATAGGCTTTGCCCATGCGGACGCAACCCGTTTTGACACTAGAAGGGCCGGGTCCCTTTACATAGTTGAGGGAAGTCTGGACAAAATGCACCACCTGCCATGGTCCATTACCGAAATCCTATGTTGTAGCGCTAGCGCAAGAGGATTACTGTGAAGCAGCATAGCACGCTGCACAAACGGAAGAAAAAATTTTCAGTTTTATTTTGATCTATTAATTAAACTGTCGTATACAGAATTATGAATGCTGCACCATCCACTTCAGGCACTGAAAGACTAAGTCGTCCCACCCTAGGCACCACCCAAGCTAAGAGCACCACCCACCCTAAGCTACCATGTTTAAACGCATCTGGAAGAATGACCAAAGTTGCAGTTAATTTTTGCTTTGTTTTTTGCTTTCTTTTAAAGTTGTGTAGTGTGGCTGGCAGAGCTCATGGCACAGGGGTTTGGCAGCTCGCCAACTCTCTTCAACAGTGGTCCGCTTCATTTTTTGAGGCTAAATAAAAGTTTGCTTCAGTAAGAATGCAACTGAATTAAAAAGAGCTTATAAGGAAATAATTCCATAAGAGAGAATCAGTTCTGTATAATCCGATGAGTGGCAAATTGATTATGTTTCTTGAAAGGCACCTTGAAGTTCCTTTTCCCTTCGGCTAACCAGCTCTCAGAATTAGCACTTCATCAATCTGAAGCAGACATCAAATTTCATTTACATGCCATGTTTGTTTCTTTAATTTCTCTTGGCAGAAATTGCATGTAGAAAGGCCACATTCCATTTCCCCGTTGACTTAATCTCTCAACGAAACAAATAAGGAAAAAATTATTACCTCTTGGTGGCAGGCAATCTGTTTTGGCCCAGCTTACAAGAGGTTAAATTCAAAACTTCAAATGTGGTAAACAAAAAGCTGCAGTTAATTGCGGTTTAGGAACCCTGAGACGTGATAGAAGGAATCCATGTGACACGAGGATACAATTACGTGCAGGAGATAAGGGCCATTCGATTCCACGTTACCAGTTTCAGTTTTGTAGTCGCTTTAAATGTTTTCAACTGTTTGCAATGTGTGCTTCAGTACACCATTAATAAAAAAAATTGACCCTTTCCCCCCGCTATTGCGGCAAAGACTGTGGTAACACAGAACGTGATGCAGAGTCAAGCTAGACGAGACTACAGCACCGCTGCTTCCAGTGCTGTGGCAACTCCGTCTTCATAACTCCAGGCACGAAGAAGATGAAAGAGTACACTGCGGCTTCCTCGTGAACAGGCCCATACAGAAAGCGCACCAACAAGAAAACACTAGAATCCCAAAGCTTGTTCGTTTAGAGCGTGCTAGGAGTAGAGGGCATTGCTCGTGTCGCTCCATGTTTAATCGTGTGATGTGATCCGTGGGAGTAACTCGGATCTATTAGAGCAAGATGTTTGGCTGGCACTCGTGTCCAATCCACGAGGAGAGGAACGCTGTATTGGCATTGGACTGTCACTGACGTTTTCTTTTTTTGTAACTGGAGTGTGAAACTGGAATCGGTTAGGCGCCAGCCATATAATGCAGCCTACATTAAGAAATACCTGTTGACATCTGTTTTAAAAAGACCAACGAAATGCCTCGCTCACACCAGCACTCAAGCAGGAAAAGAACTTCTTCACGGAAATGATCCTGCTGGCAAAAGAGTCAAGCGGGCAGACGTACCCGTCGGGTGACCGTGGGGTCCTGCCTTTCGACGGACATGAGGTGGCCGAGCAGGGTCTTGGTGCGCAGCAGGCGCAGGCGGACGTTGGTGGCCTTGGTCCACTCTTGCAGCACGGGAGAGTAGGTGAAGTTGTTGGCGCTGGGACGCCCGTTCAGCAGCGAGATCACCATCTGCACATTGGAGTGCCTTCCTTTGGACCAGCAATTAGGAAGAAACGCTCTAGCAGAAAGAAAAAAGAAGGCGGCATTAAACGGTTGCTAGTCCGGCGCTGTGAGTGTATCAATTCTTTTGTGTGCCTATTTTGCGCTATTCTGTTTGGCCGGCTACTTTCACATACGAGATGTTCCTCCGTGTCAGCTGCTTCTCGAGAAACTGAAGCAAGGCAGTGAAACTTGATGCGCCGGCACGAAGCATGCTTCATGAGAGCAGGGAGGCTGCTTTAAAAATTAGGGGCTACACCAGAGCCCCATACCGTGTTCTTTTGGATTCAACAAGGGCCGATCGTACCATGTGCCACTTCTGCTTTTCTGCTCTCAAACCTAACAGGGTGCAAATCCCCATTCTTTTAATTATCTCTAACTTTTAGATGGGTGCTTGCTCGGTATTCTACAGTAGGTTGTCAAAGTGAGAAAGCTACATTTATGCACCAAAAACAATGTTCAAACAATGGCCATAATAAAAATTTAAAAAATACTGGGTATTTTGGAGAACACAGAACCTTGTTTTTTTCGCTGCAAAAATAAACCATGCATTGTTATATGCTCAGCCTCCACCCAAATGTAGCCCTAGTGGTTGAAACCAGATGCCAGATTTTCAAAACTTATCATTATCTAACTAAAGAATTATGAGCAAGTTTTAGACATTTTCAATAAGAGAATGGCAATCAAAAAAAGCACACAAATACGTGGAGATTAATGGCAGGCGCCTCAGAGATTGTGCTCTGTTTTTGCATCTTCAAACCTCCAAAAATCGCTGATAACTTTTTGATTGGGTAATGTTAAGTTCCGAAACTTTGGCATCCGATGGTCTGAACCACCAATGCTATAGTTATGCGAGGATTGAGACGATCTGCACCTTATTTTTGCAGTGCATACAGCACGGTTCTATTCTCTTCCAAACACCCGGTGCTTTTGTTAGCAGCAAGCCGGTGCAAAAGAAGTCTCGATGCATGAATGCAAGGCCCGCTTCCAGCATAGTATGGCATTGTAACATCAGATGGCATTCATGGGTCGTGTTGTCTGCTACCGTTACTAGATGGTGCCACTCTATCATCAGCGTCATCAGCCCATTGCAGCAATTGTCGAGTCCCCATACCCCTCCGCCTAATTGTGGGACTCTCAAGAATACATCAGTTTTCATCTCTAATCTCCAACACGTGGAAACATCACTTTTCTCACTCTGTGTGCCCGCCTGGTCCCAGGCCACCGAGATTCCTTTGTCTCACATGCGGCATCGTGTAAGCCCTCTTCTATTCCTCAGCAGGCTTTCCTTGGTTCTGCTTTTCCAAGCAATTCAGAGGCTTTTCCCCCTTTCCCTTAGCGGCCATCCTCGACCTGTACGCCCGGCACTGACCTCTCCGCCTTCCAGGGGGACCACCTTGGAGAACTTGGTCTCGCAGATGACCGAGTCGTCCCTGCTGATGCCGTGCTCCACCTCCGGGCCGAAGTAGGTGTCGCAGTCGGCGTAGCTGTCCGCAAAGTACTGCCACGCCTGGTAGGTCTTGCCCTCGTCCGTCGACCGTTCCAGCACCCACACGCCGGGCCGGGGAGAGTTGGCCATCTTGATAAACACGTAGGCCACGTGGAACTCCTGCACCCAAGACGTCCGGTCAGTTGACCTCCGTGGACATACCTTAAGCCACTAAACAAGCTATGCTTCGAAGTAATGACACTTCAGCAATCTGGGCGCTTAGAGTCATTGTCGTCAGTTACCTGAAGCTCTGTCTAAAACCGCAGGAAGTGGTTGTCTGTCCTTCAGAAATGTTAGAACGAACCACGATGGAGCAAGACGATGTTGCCCAAGCTGGCCGACACCTTTTTCTAGAACTCAAGCATTTTCTAAACGGAACGATCGTCACTTGTGCCCGCTCTGCACGGAGCACCAAGATGGCGGCACCCACAAGAAAGTCACGGAGTGGACACTCCGAGCATACCTTTTCTAGTGGTAGTTTTTCCCTGACCATCTTCCACCACCCATCCAAGCTCAGACACCAGCAACTATATTTCGCTCCAAGAACATTTCAGGAACATATACCTTCACTAAACTTAAAGGGGCAGTGCAACGGTTTTAATGTTGACAAAATTGCCAGTTTGCATTTTTTATATTGTTTATATAAGCCCAAGTGACCAAAACGCGTCACCTTTTTCCAAAAAACGGCTATTCTGCTGCGTAACTGCTAGGCAAAAAACGAATTATTTGCCGATCTGCAGCCGCCGGTGGCGGCTACGGGAACTAAAATGACGGCATCTCTGGGGGATACGCGGAAGTCAACAAACCCTGTACCCCTCCGCTGGTACACTCGCCGTCAGCCCCGTGGCGAACCGTCCTTTGTGTCCATCGCTCGCCGCGACCTTCGACGAGGCTAATCCTTTGAAAGTCGGCAATTGCGGAGGAAGCGGCTGGGGTCTCTGAAGAGAGGGCCCAAGGGGAAACCACAGGAACCCCCAGAGACGTCACTCGAAAGTCGGCGTGGAAAGTTGAGAGGCACTTCGACCTTTGATTTGTTTCACTTTTTTAAAATAAGAACAAGCGCTTGCAAAAAAATGCGGCTTTCGGTTTTTCGTTCCGTAGGTGACGCAGATTAATTTCCGCAGTTAATTGGCCAAAGTCTGAAAATCGTTGCACTGCCCCTTTAATTGAGACTTCTACTACTTGACTCGGTACGTATCAACTCGCAGGTTCATTTCTCAAATCAGGTTTGAGATGGATTGCCAGAAGGTCCTTGAACAAAAGGTTGCTCATCTGGAAAGTAACACACTCATTTCTTTTTTCATGTATACTTTCCATTTCAGTGAAGGTATGTATGGTTGGAATGAGAGCGCGTCGAAAAAAATTGTGGTGAGGCTACTTTTACTTTGAGGGCATATATTTCATAACAGAAACTTTCTAGTCTACTCCCAGTACAGAATTTACTGTTACTTCATGTTTTCCCAAACCCTAAGTGGGCTCAAGAAAATCGTTAACTCAAACTGGGTTAGCTGCGGGAGGGGCCGATAAAATTTTTCTATCCCAAGCCTCGCTTACTCCCATCTAGTGCAAAAAGGCTTATAGAAACCCTCGAAAAACTTGAAATGACCAAACATAGTTAGGGGGTTCATTTTCTATTAATTCTGTGGTTCGTGATTCGATTCAAACCTTTCCGGAATCACTTGCGTGGATTACTGTGGGTGATCTATTACAATTATTAATGTTTTGTGACTCTTTTCACTTCACAATTATGAAATCATTCTAAGAGGAAGTCATCTTGGTTTAAAAGAAGTTGAGTTTGATACAATGAAATTACGGTCAGTACGCAGGCGAGCTGGTGGAAGTTTACCATGATTATTTTAATCCAAAACTGGGGCAAATGATTTTTTTTTTTTTTTAACAGTTGAAGAGAAAGTTACATTCTCTTCAACTGTAAACATTTTCCCTCCATCATGATGTAATACAAAAACACCATCCCAAATCACAATTTAAAAAAAAAAAAAAAATTTAAGATAGCAGTTTAGAAGCATGAAGTATATCTGCACTGCTGCGCTATTTGTTGCAAATAATCAGGGTCGAACCGAAACCGACCTATCAGCCCGGAGGAGTGTGATGTCAGACTCCGGAAGCCACGTGTTGCCGTTTTTCCCCACGTGACCGCGCGGTCGATGCAGCAGACGACACCTCAGACGAGTATAAAAATACTGTCTACAACCGCATTTTTCTTTTAATTTTCTTTTTTCGGAAAGTATCTGTTTTTAGCGCACTTACACGTTATGTAAAAAGGTAACCCACTGTTTTCGCGAACCGCCAAAAGTGCCATTTCGAAGCGAAAGTGGGACGCTGTGTGTGATACGTTTCCGAAGGACCGAGTAGAGCGCAGGAGTCGACGAAACACTTCGTAAGCTTACCAGTTTGTGCCCTTTCGACGACACCCATTTTCAGTGGCGAAAGTGGGTGACGGCTCGGTGTGTGCACCGCCAACGCACCGCCCGATCCCTCTCGCACACGTCGTACGTTACCAAACCCAACCGTTCTCAAAGCTCGAGGGAACGACGGGTCCGAACCTTCGTATCGCCGTTTTTCGTGTTGGCACTTGCGCTGCTCATACTTCTCAACACTTGGAACTTGCTGTTCGTCATCAGATCAACAAAGCAGTCCGTGCAGAACATTGATCTCGCTTCCCCGTTGCGCTTCCCGCCAGCTTCCCGCTCAGAGATCAGTCAGTGTTCCCGCTCATCTCAATGACAATTGATGGATCGCGCTTCCCGCTCCAGCGAGTGAAGCCACCGGACGGCCATCTTGCTCGTAGACGATTAGCGGTTCTGCTAGCGTTACAGAGGCTGGCGGCAGCGTGCTGAAGACACATTTTATACTCGTTCGTCGTGATTTGTCGAAGAAGATTTTTAGAACACCGTGTAAGGCTTAAGACTTGCCGTTGAGAACTCGTGAATGTTTTTATGAAAGCACAGTGCAGCAGGAAAAGGCCACAACAAAAGTAAAGATTTAACTGATTTGATTGCCATAAGAACGGAGTGGAAGCTCCTCCCACCTCTTTCCACTTTAGTAAAGCTGACGCGGGAGAGGAGCCGACTTCCTTTCCACCGTTCGCTCCGCTGAAGTGGAAAGGGGTGGGAGGAGCTTCCACTTAAACAAAACAAAAACCGCGCCGCTGATGCCATTCCCTTCCCCTCCCTTCCTTCCCCTCCTCTTCCGTCGCCACTGGACACAGGATCAAGCCAATGCCACCTAGAAGACAAGGCCTGCGCATGACGTTTCGTTAGTAGGTCCCCGACCCGCCCCAAGCGGCAAACACCCCGAAGCTTGACGAGAGTAGGAGCCGCGTCGCAACTACGTCGCATTCACTTGCGACCGCAGCTGTGTGCGTGACTGCTGAGCGCGAGCTGATAGCGAGCTTCCAGTGCATTTGCGACGTGCGCGCGAACGCTCCCTCGGCCAGGAGCGCGAGCTAGTACGCGCTCCTGGCTTTGAGACGCGCATTTCTAGCGCGCGCGCTCGTTCTGCGGTAGAACGCTTCGAAGCAGCTACCCGAAAATGGCGTCCAGTGTCAGCGTCCAGCGTCCAACGAAGGGCTTTTCAGCTCTTCGCGCAGCAGTAAGGCAATTTCACTCATGCATTTGACGCTCCACGTGAACGTCTAACTTCATCGTATGCTATTTGCAAGAGACACTCGGCGTGAGCATCTGTTTCATTATCTGTTACACAAACCACTGAAGCAGGCGATGGAGCAGACGATGTAGCAGACGACGTTGCTCATCCGGGCTAGCTAGGGGGCGCTGAGGGGATCTACTAGTGATGACGTTTAGAGGAGGAAACGCGCAGGCCTTGTGTTCTAGGTGGTATTGATCAAGCCCGTTGTGAACCGCGAGTGCCGCAAGTTACAAAGTAAAAGTAAAACCAAATCGTATTTGGTAAAACGCTGCCCAGATGTACATACGGCTTCACACACATTGCACTCGCAAAACACAACCACACGGCGTCATTTCTTGATTGGTATCCAAGCGTGCGAAGGCACAGAGATGCAGCACTTCGGCGTGCCAAAGAAGCTTTGATCCCACCGCTAGACCGGCGAAACCTGCTTTCGACGAGTTGTACCTTTTTTCTGCAGCACTGCGCTTTTGTGAAATTTTTAACGTGTTCACAACGGCAAGTCTCAACGGTTACACAGGGTTTTAAAACAACTTCTTCGGCGAATGATGACTAACGAGTAAAAAAACATATCTACAGCACCCTGCCGTTAGCCTCTGCAACGCTTGCAAAACCGCAAATCGTCTGCGAGCAAAATGGCCGTTCGGAAAAACACAGAGTTGGTGAACAGGTTGACCGAGATTTCGTGCTTTATAGCGGGAATTATTTTTAGGGGTCTATTGAAATGTTAAATACTACATGTCTGTAGATATTGGCCGTGTTCCAAAATTTACTTGATCATACTCCAGGGTAAGGGTTTTGTACCCTTGGCATTCTGAAACCTACTCGCGTCCAGCGTTTTTCAATCTGTGCTGTCACGTGACACGATCCGCCGGAGTAACTCGGATCCATTAGGGTAAGATTTGGAACACAGCCATTGACGTGGAACGTGTTAATTTAGAATATGAATGTGTTAATGGCAATATGGTTCCTTTATTTGCAAAACCTAAGCTGGGCTTCTTTCGAAAGACAGCCACAGTGTGCGGGTTTAGTTTCGGTTTCAAAACTTTGTCACGGCTCTTCGAAGCACCTCGAAGGAAGAGATCCAGCGGCTGTGACACTGCGCGTGCTAGCACGAACCAACGTTACTAAAACACTCAGTTGGGAAACTCGCCGTCGAAACCTGGGCCGCTGGCGTCCACCGAGACCGAGCTAAATTAAAGCCCCTAGACGTGTTTACGTCTCTTGCAAGTAGCGTCAAATGCGCGAGCGCACGAGGCCCATGTCTCGAGCGGCCCTTGGAAGCAAATGGCGGTGCAGCACTGAAATGAGCGGGCCTTGGAAGCGAATGGCGGCGGAGCACGCGCTCGCGGCACGTGTCTCGCGCGTTTCCACAACAATGGTTGGCGGTACTTGTAAAAAAGGCCTTTATCAAGGGGCTTTAAGCTAAATGCGACAACAGCGCCACTCTTTAT